CGAACAAAGGCAGTTAACGAGCTGTAAAACCTTTCTATCTACTGTGACTAAGTACATTTAGCAACAAACATAAGTTTAAACATTTGGGTTATATTTCTGCAATATATGTTTAAAATGGTACATATGATTCAGCAAACATATCTTTTTGCGTTAATCGTTTCTCAGTTTGAAAAAAGATCATCATGGTTCCAGGCAATCATTTTATATCACAAATGTGTAGTTATTAATTTAATTCAAATCAAAGACGGTATGTGAAATATTTCTAAAATATATCATATATTTGAATAAATCGCCTTGAAAAATTATGTTACAAGGACTCTGCCGTGTTTTGGCATCACGGGTCTTGAAATATTCTATTTTATTGACATGTGTTGTCTATTTATTATTATTTTTATCATCATCATCAATATTATTATAATTATTACTATTATTATTATTATTATTATTATTATTATTATTATCATTATTATTATTATTAGTAGTAGTAGTATTATTATTATTTTTTTCATCATCATTATTATTATTATTTTCATCATTATTATTATCATCATCATTATTATTATTATTATTATTCTTTTTTTCTTTTTTTAAATTAATGTGTCATTTGATGAAGGTCTAGACCAATTACTAAAATTTCAAATCAATTGCTCACTTCGTTTTCCAGAATGATTATTTTTTAAATTTGAATCAGCCTAAAACTGCACATAGATCTGAGTTTAGTCTTTCAATATCTTTTAAATATCTTTCTGATTTAATGTTAGATATCAGATTATTTGTAAATTATTTGCGTTGTACATGGCTTGTTAATCAATTGTTAATCAAAAACAAACAAAGAATTTTGACATCATGGTGCATTGTAGTTTTATGTATTTTTGGTAAACTACGTATAGGTTCGTATTTACTAGTAAAAAGAAATAAAAATGTTTTGCACTGATGACGGCATATAGCCGAATTGTATGCAATAAATAATGACTGAATGTTCGTTTTTGTGTTGCTTGTCTGTTTCTTTTGTTTTTAATTAGTGTTTATTAGTACGCATTAACAAAATAAATTTGGTCAAAAACGGCGAAGCTTACAGTAATACATATTTTATTTAGTTCATTTATACTATCATATTAAATCCATGCAATACTGAAACTGTATATGTTTGCGTATTTCTTCCAATTAACAATATATCGTGAATATAATTTTTTTTTTAATGCACCAGGTTAATGTGTATCTAAAAAGAAAAATATGAGTTTTGCTGGGGTCTCACGTCAAACATTTTATTCACAAATCAAAACCATTCATTATTGACAGAATGCACATATTATATTTAGAAGCTGCAATCCCTGGACAAATTAATTTAGCCTTTTTTTAAATAAACTGCCATTTCCTTTTTAAATGACACTACGTATTCATACAGTGTTTACCTAAAGCGTGCAGAGCTTAAAACATATATTCTTTGAGAACTAAGGTCATACATATTTTACATTTTCCAAAAAGTCTATTAAATAATTGTCAAATATTATCATTTTCAAAGAAGAAATTTGAGCATACATTTTTTTAATCCTTTCATGGCAATTATCACTGATCGATAGGCGCACCTGTCACGAAAAGTATTTTTCTCTATGAAAAATAACGCTATTTTTTTCTTTTATCTTTCAAGCTGCCAACATTCAAGATTTTTAAGACATATTGAGTGCATCTATAATGTTAAACGACTTAAAAGACAAAAAGCTATTTCAAGGTTCGTTTCTCTTATAACATTCTGTACTTTTATCTATGAGAATAATATTATATTCTACGTAAGTCGCAATTCGATACATGTTCTCTTTCATTCTTTATAATAACCTTTCACAACAAAGGGTTTCATAATAATTTACTTTGTATATCTATTTTACTAAATATATTTACAATTTATGATTGTATTTCTCTGTCATGCAGGTTTTGTGATCTTGTATAATGTCTGGTTCAAGCCCCCTGTCTCACTTTCCTCATCCTAGGCGTGGCAAAAAGAAAAGTTAACTTGTTTTGGTTTCATGCACTATAACTCTCCAGGATGCCAAAAATGGAGCAGTATTTTTTTACAAATTGTTTACATTGATAAGTGTGCTTCATTCATTATATATTTTGTATCACAAATTTTGATTTGTACTATTTCAAAAGCCCGTGATATTTATCAGAAGTTTTAATACTTCATTGATTAACGATTGTTACACATTACTATCAATTTGAAAATAAAAACTAATATTTTTCGAATAAGGCTTTCATTTTTGGTACTAGAAAAGTATCTTTTTCTTTTTCTTGATTACGGAGCTACGAAGGAATGAAATGCATTAAGATAATATGTTTCGTGTTAATTAATTACATCTTTGCCAAATTATCAGTTGCTTATAAGAAAATGGAAGCTCAATCAATTACTGTATATCTCTAAAGAAATAAAGTGAAACAGAGTTTTTTTAAAATACCCACAAGATATGTTACGCAGAAAAAAGACCACAAGTTATGTTACGCAGAAAAAAGAACTATGCGACCATGTGGTATTTTTCTAATTTACTTTCTCATCTTCGGTATATATTGAAACGTAACTTATTTTATTGAAAAGCACAAAGCAAAGTTGACTTTCCATAAATGATAACGTCTGAAACCATGTATGCCATTTTCAATTTCTTTCAGTTTGATTTACTATATTTACTGTAAGATAATTAAGTGTGTGTACTAGTTACACAGATGGTACGTTATTTTCACATTCCTGTGATATTGGATATACCCGGTGAAAAGATAATATGGCGACTTTCCGGCGTTTGTGGTAAAGGAAGACCCTTTAAATTTTTGTTAAATAGCGCGTATTGAATGATATATAATAAGGTCATTGTTGAATGATAGCTGGAATAAGAAGTTTGTACTTATTTGGAATAATAATTGGTAAATGTCTAGTAGTGGTATAAATAGTATTTCTTGATAAATTCTGAGGTTTCCCAGGACTTTTAATATGCCAAGGTCACACTTTTGGGGGAAATTTTTACGTTTAAATCTAAAAATGTCTAAATTGATATTACCTAATAGATTATATTGCGTTTATGGATATACTAATTGTGCTTTGTAAATATTTGTAAATATCAGGATCTTTTCAGGAAACAGAATCTTATGAAAAAGGGCAAACTATGGACGTTATTCGGAATCACCTAACAAGGAGTTTTATATAAAAAGACCCATTTGGCTTGGACAGAAAAAGGACATCGCTTACTGTACAATTATTGTTATTAAATGGACCATCACAAAACTTGTTCTGCAAGTTCCGGATGTGTGAAATTAGTAAAATGGCATGTGCTGTCACAATCTACTTTACTATTTTTTACAATATGTTAATGTTAACTGCTGTTCACACCCTCTCACACACACGGATTCTATCAAAAACCGCAGAAAGTTTAGGTACATTAGATAAAGAATAACTGGAAACAAACATCGCAAACGTTTGATTTTTTTGCAATGATATTGCATATAGAATCAACTTTCTCTTCAAGCTTTCTACTATAAATTTACAAATTGAGATATATAAAGCAAAATGATGATATGGTAAAATGTACAATATATGTTTAGCAAACGGGTACTGGATTGTAATTTTCATTTTGATGATCTCTGGAAGATATTTTGCGGATAATTTTATCATTATTGTTCAAACAAATGAGTCGGGTGTCTGTGATTTATTTTTGAATTATGCATATGGGAATAACTTTTAAAATAGTGCTGTCTCTCTTTTAGATATTTCATTTACTAGCCAAAATTTTGTGAAAAAAACAAGGTTTCTACTAAGAGCGGAGACAAAGTTATCTGTCTCTTGATGATAGGCACTCGGTTTCACAATTTCAAATTCCAGTTGTTTATATGTATATATTCAAGAAGGAACAACGCGCTCAACTTAGTTATGACCAGGTAGTGAATTGTGCATTGTCCAGAAAAACCAACAATTTATTTCAACCACACATTGATCTAAATGACACACTGATCTTTAAAATTAGCTTTTGACCAAAAATTGGTTGCACTGGCATGTCTCCTGAAGTGGCCTCAAAATGTAGTTTCAATGTAATTTAAGTTATTGACCACTTAAGGTCATTGTGACCGTGTCCTTTGACGTTTGACACAAATGAGGACAACACGTAGGACTCCTAACTAGCTTTTTGTGCCAGATTTACATTCTGTGATTCCAAGTCGCTCTTGATGTGTACGTATGACTTTAGTCATACCTATTCACTATCTATGATTAAATTTCAGAAAGCTTCAGGAAATTCAATGTATTTTAACTTTAAACTTTAAGTTTGATCAATAAATACGAGTATATACAAAACTGTAAATGATATTTTAATAGTATTGTCAAATTGGGCTTGTTCTTTATCAATGCAAGAATAATATATACTGGACTATAATATTTATCATATCATTTACGTAATTTAAACGTGTTTTAATAAGAGTTTTCGGAAACAAAAGAAAAAGTTACTACATTAACGTATTTGAAATGCATTCGACAGCTTCATTAGCATATCTGGAAATCTGAATTGGTTCGTAAACAAACAAAGCTATTGTTTCGGTATTCGTTTCTTAACTAAATATGGACTTCAAGATTACAGTAAACACCACATCAATATCTTACAATTACTTGCCAAAAAAACAAAATGATACGATGCAGTTGAAAATAAACGCTTGATATCACAACTTTGCTTCGGGAAAATCGCTTTTAGCAGCGATGGAAATGCTTAATTTAGTATGATTTTATAACGAAACGCCTGTAAACCTAAGACTTGTCTATCGGATTCGAACGCCAGAGCTTTTTCCAATGCCATTGAGGAGAGTAGCGGTATTAACTAGTATTTACCATTCAGACTCTCTTATAACTTAAAGCGTTCAGTAAAGGGTTCTTTCTTTCAGACCCATGATGTCTTCCATTAGTGTCTTGTGGGGCACAGGTGTAGTGACTTTATTGTCCTTTATTAATCTATGCAAGCTCAAGATAACGATTGCACTAACGCAAATTTATAAACCTATTTATTAAAACAAGCTATATAATTCATAAACAAGCACTTATTCTCGTAATGTTGACAGAGATATAGCCGATTGAATAATAAACAAAACAAGAAATACACGCTGTTATGTAGCCTAATTGACATGATAATCAAAGTAAACAATACGTGTATCATACGGGTATATTCATACTAAGCAAAAACTGCAATTATATAAAAAATAATGAAAAGATAAAATCAGCATTCAGTAGAATCAATAGTTTGTATCTACCCCATAATGAAATAAGCTATTATATAAACATAAAAATTTAATCATATTTGCGATGAAATGCTCTTATTAACATAAAACTGAGTGTTAAATAGTTGAACATTATCTCTTTGCCGTCATTTATATACTACATTGAAAATCAGTTTATTTTTAATATGAACAATTATTTTATTCACAAGATGAAGCAATAAGTATGGTGTCTAAGTTAATTTTCTTCTTGTCGTGTTAAAGAAGACACATGAAAAAGAAAAGAAATTAAAATGATACGATATATGTAACCTCACGCTGCAAAACTAACAAACATAGAAAATCAATTTTTTACAAGCAGAAATTGATATAGAAATGATCTATAGTACTGTCACAGAAGATGATTTCGAAGACATGTTTGCCATGCAAATTTGTGTTAAGTAATTGGCCTACAGGGCTGGGCAATTTAACAACAGTTGCATGAATAACATAACTTTTATCGGGGACCATATGGTGATGCTACATTTCAAATGTCTAAGCTCTTTGCACTGCAATGTCAGAGAAGAAGATTTTTAATTAAGTGTCCAAAAGAATGGGACAAATTGTATCGCATGGGCTAGACTTAAACATCTTTTGTAAAGATATATTACGCAATGCTACATTCCAAATTTCTAAGCTCTTGACGTTGTCGTTTGATTAAAGAATACTCACATGTAGTTCATTTTAATACAATGTTTATATTATTTAATTTTTATCCAATAGGCATGATTAATATAACTTTTGTAGAGGAACACAAGGTGATATTGTACATGACAAGTACCAAGGCGGCTCTGGGCATTGTACTTACATGTTTGAAGCATGTTAACCATGCAAGTCTATGTTCAGTAAGAAACTTAAAGGGCGGACCATTTATTGACCATAGTAGCATTACTATTGTAGACATCTAGGCAATACTACATGTCAAATATCTAAACTGTTGGCGTTGTAGTTTCTTAGCACCTGCTTAAGCGGTACTCAATTCTCAACACTTAAATGTGATCGAATCAATGATCCCGAAGGACCAGAAAAATATAACAACACTGAAGTGACTTTAAAAGAAGGTCACATGGTGATTTATAAGCTCTTGACATTGTAGTTTTTGAAAATGAAGATTGATAAAAATTTCTTGTAAGGGACCAGCTAAAATTCATTCTCATGCAGTTTTGTCGAAATACACCAAGTTGCTTATAAGAATCTATTGTGTAAATAAATTGTGGTCAACGACGGACTACAGACAACAGACACACCTTTATCAGAATTGCTCATCTGTAAGCGCTTTGTGCTCAGGTGCAGTTGAGTTAAAACGAAATCTTATTTAATTAAGCATTTTTAAAACTTTTACATAATTATGTAAATTTGATATATTACTACTTTACATGCAAACATCCATATTCTTTATCCTATGGATCTACAAAATACAAACATTTATAACCACTAGGTACTATGATAGAGACGCAAATGTCAGTGTCATGTTGATGTAATTGTGATTCTATGAAACTCTCGCTCCATATGAAGACATACATTCGAACATATGATACTTAAAGTTAATTAAATATGTGTTATTCATATCTAATTGCTTACACAAGTATTTAGCTTTTTTAAAAAATATATAGCACACACACTTATATCTCGTTGTTTCTCAAAGAATGATTAGGGAAAGTCTTCTCGCTGTCCGTATGCAAAAAACGCTGTGTTTCCTTTTGAATCAAAACTATTTGTAAGTCAATCTAAAAACTGTTTAATCAAATAATTCGAATTGGTCATAGTTCTCCATATTTGCCTGTTCAGACCAAGCGCTGAATTGGGCCCCATCCATTTCTGTTGCCACTTGGTTATCATCTCTTAGCTGGTGGCTCGCTCCCCCGATAGCACTGTTACATTCCGGGCAACGACTCACCTCCATAGCACCACCACATTCTGTGATGACATATATATGCCCTGAAATATTACAAAGGAAAATGTAATTTCATTATGCATCAAACCTCATCGGCGTTTTGATAAAATTAGCTAAGCTTTCAACTTTTTCAAAATTTTCAAACAGAAAGAGATTGAAAGAGTTTGTTAAAAAGTATTTAAGTCAATGAATCAATAATAAGCTTTTTTCTTAAACAATCAAAACAAAAAGATAGATTAAGTGAAATTTATTTATACAGTCCCATAAAAGACAACGTTTGATAATAGAGTATAGTCATGATACTACGTAAAGGTTCTTCCTGCATACGGCTTTACATACCAGTATGTGATTGTTTGATAAATAACGAAATTATATATCATTTAAAAATTGCAGTTTTCTTTCAAAATTTCGCACCATCATGTGGATTTTTGAGTGAGTATTACTCAATTATAATGGCCTAGAAAATTGATCTAAAAAGTCGATTTGGCAACATTTATTATCTTATAAGGAAACAGCAATAAAACCGTGTCAAGAAACATCATTTTACCGTTCGGACATTTGTACCAATGTCCCTTTTTTTGGAAATCCATAGCTTTGACTATCATAATCTTCTCTTCTTCTGAAACACCTAGACCGCTTTGAGGTAGAGCATCCTTTAGTTCTTTCAGGCATGATTCTACGGTACTGCGAACTTGTTGCCCATATTTCCCGCTTCCAATAAGTAAACTCACAGCCTCTGATATATTTGCTTGAAGAGAACTGTCTATGTCTTGACCTATGTCAGTGGCTTGTTGCTTATATAGTAATAACTTCTTAAGGTCATATGATCTTGAAATTTCAAGCTTGGCATCGGATATTTCCTCATCGGTCATAAAAGACCGATCCTGCATGACCCAATACTGGAAACGCTGTAAAAACTCAAGCGCCGTTTTAAGATCGTCCTTTAAATTTTCACGCTGCACCTGGTCCTTCCACTCTTTTGCCAATTTCAAGATTGCTTTCAAAAGAGATAGCTGATTCAGCATTGTTACTAAAGTTTTTTCAGACTTTGGTTCTTTCATCGCTCTTATTTTCTGTTTCACTGATTGTGTAATTGTTTTATCTTCAACTGCAAGAAGTGATTGAAATATTTCATTTTCTAATCTCCTACCTTCCTTTTTATTAAGCAAGATGTTTTCCTTTACTTTTTCAATGTCAAGAAGAGTCTCATTAATAATATGTCTATACCGATTACTTTTTCTTATTGGCGTTTTACATTTTGGACACTCTTTCAGTTTTATTTTACCATCATTGTTTTTCTGATCCATATAATTATCCATAGCATTTGATTCAATGATACATTTAGCTCTACAGTCTTCAAGCAGTACAAACATTGCATCAGATTCGTCTTCATTTCCAAAGAATATTTCGGTGACCGTCTGTTCATTACATACTCTACAATCAGAAGGACATGGTTCTCCGCATAGGCCAATGCATTGATGGCCACAAGCAAGCCTCTTCTTGCATGGCTGGTCACATCTCGCTCGGTCACATGGCTCACTGCAAAGTTTACCACACTGTAAATGTTCACAGTTCCAAGTACATTTTTCCTTACAAGGTACACACAATTCTCCACACCGCTTAATACATTTGCTATGTTGACATCTATTTTCACATATTCTTGTACATGGCAGGCATAGGTTGCATTTGTTAGTACATTCATGATCACATACTAATATTCTTTTGCACTGGTCTTCACACGGCTTATGCAATCGACCTTGGAAGCATTCTGCACATGTTCCTATGCAAGGATGTTCACAAGCTAAGATACCACCACATGGCTCTTGACACATAGCACTGTCCTTTTTGTAGCATTTGACATTGCCTATATGTCCACATGGAAACGTCTTTTCAACATCGATATCGCAAACCTCTGTATGAGGCATATGACATTTTGCTTGACATTTATGACCGCAGTCTAGTATATGTTTACACTCGGGTTCTGTTGAGTCGCTTAAAGTACCGGTATCAACTTTGTCCATCGTGGATGACAAAAGACACTGTAAACAAGATACACGTGTTAGATAAAATAAGTTTGAAGAAAACTTTATTGTTCTAAATAAAAGTAAAAAGAGCACCAATTAATTGTTTAACAAGAGCAACCGCTATACACTGCCCACGCTCGATTTTCTTTTCTTATTTTCTACTTTCTAAAGACAAACGCATCAGAGGAAGAAATGTGTGGTAACGAATTCTACTAGAAAATATTCCTTTGGTACAAAATATAAGTAAAATTTAATATTTGGCCTTGACAGTCTAGGTCAATTACAGATAAAGGTCATACTTGATACATTATTCAATTATTCGGTATTTTCATTAGTGTTGTTTGCATATTAATTTTTGCTTACTTTAATATTTTACTTTCTTATCTTTACAGGTCATGATTATAATTATTTGAGAAATTCAACATGTCGGTTTTGTCATAAGATTTCAATATTTTTACCTTCCCGGTCAAGATCAATAATGGTCAAGTTTATAGTGTAACAATTTACCATTTCGGTTTTGTCATTTGTGTTCTTTCTTTTGTCTAAACAAAAATCGTATTTGTAAATAATTAACTAAGCTCAACGGGATAAGACGCTTTGACCCTACCGACCGCTACCCACTGCCTACTCTTTCCAGTCCCGGTTACAACCGCCAAAAATATGATTTAAAGTCAATTTCTACATTTAGTAATCATAACTACAATAATGTGACACTATTACAGAATTTTCATTATACATCTTTAGTATTAGTTATACAAGGGTAGCAACTCCTACGCCCTTCCAGAGCTTTGATTCTACCAAAGTTAACATTCAATGTCATAACTCCAAAACAGCCAAATATTTATCTTTTATTTAAAACTTGGTCTCGATCAATAGAGTATAGATATATGTATGCAATGACATCTTCTATATTAAGCAGTGTAAAGTATTTTGTTTTGTAAGATCACCAAAACAGTTGGAACCATGAAATTTAACAAGATCTTATTCACGTAGGCACTGATTTTTTAGGACTGAATCGCTAAATGGAGACACTGTTGCGTGAGAAAGAACAAACTGTTGCGTGAGAAAGAACATTGCATCTGTAAAAACTAAACAATCGATGACACTCACCAACGAAAATCCCGTCTAAATCTTTTTTGTGTGTACAAGGGATTGGAGGGAGGGGGGTAGCAGCCGGTAGGGGATAATATCAGATCAACGCGTCTTATCCCTGCGACTAAGCTATGTAAATTATAGCAAAATCAAGAAAACTTCAAGCACTTGACCTTCAGAGTCAATGTCATTGATGAGTGAAGGTTATACTTAATTTGATCTACATAAAAGTATTTTCAAAAGTATCGTTGTGTCCAAGTGTGACGGCAGTAAAATCATGAATTTAAAAAACTCAATAGCCAATTATAGCATTCAAAAAGTTAAAAGATCATTTATGAGTCAATGTGAAGTTCAGTCTTTACTTCATGTACTTGCAGGTCTTGTCAAAAAGTTTGTTGTGTTAGTACAAAGACAATCCATGAGGAAATGAAAACAAAATTACCAATGTTAAGTTTCTGGAAAACAACGGGCAAAGCTAATCGCAACGGGTAGAAAGACATGATTGTAGCAATAGCTCGATATTCTTTTTCTTCGATTAAGTCCAGATTAAGTGGAGCTGGATATATTTATCATCATCTAGATAGATTGTTAAAATAAGATTTTAAGATTTTAACCTAATACGTTATATTTATGAACATCAATTAATCAGAAACCAAAAACAAATATTCTCAAATAGTACGAGTACATGTATCTACCTTTGCGGCATTGCTGTCAGATGACGTCTGGACATCCTTACATTTCTTTGGAGGTACGTCAACGACACCACCATCTTGCATGTCATTGTGACCTCTATATACAGTAAAATAGCCATATTTAGTAAGTATTTCATAAATACAGTGTTTACGATGTAAGCAATAATTGTTATATATTTCATTTGAAGTTAATGTAAGTTAAAAAAAACTGTATATACTTTATACACGCCTTGTAAGAAAAAAAACACTTTTATATATGCGATATTGCGATAAATTGATTAAACATAAAGTATGGCCGTCCTAATGCATTACCTCCGCTTTGAAGAGTATTCTACTGTTAAATACATTGAAACTTTGGGCCCCAAAAGGGTCAACTTTTTTTTCTTTCTTTTAACATTTTATATGAATCTCTCGTATCTTTTTGGGGCAGAAAAAAAGTATTTAGTTGTAATTATCAAATTAATATAAGTATTTATTGGCTAGATAATGCTATTTGATATTTTCAAAGTGCAATAAAATCAAAACTAGACGGTTAAAGTATTTAATATTTTGGTAGATGAAGCAATATACTTTTGAAAAAACAAATAGGAAAACTTTAAAACCAAGCACTCATTTTAGTAAATTTTAGATATTTTTTTAATTAGGCTCTAAAGGTAGAAAAATGGTCAAAAATATGTTAAATACGGATGTGGTAGGGTACCATTTTTATACATATTTTATAAATTGTGTGTAGAAACAATCATTTTGCTTATGTGGATTGTTAGCTGAATGTTATATTTTGTTTCTTACCAAAAGTAAATAGGAAAACATTTTTCATAAGTGATATTGTAGATTATTTAAAGGTTCTTTATTTCTGAAAACGAACCCTTCTAACATCCCAGATTAAATTCAGAAAAGTGGCCATAACTCGATTTCCGTAGTTATGTTTGTTTAAATTTTGCATACAGGTGTCCTTAAAGGTATATATCTGACCTATGTTGTCAGTATTTCAGTTCCTTATAGTGCCCGATAGGATGGTCATACCCTAAGTGTCATGAGCACAACATCTAAATCATGCTCATGTTTAAAAAGAAATATATCGACTGAAATTAAACCTTTTCTATTCAAAACGTAATATGTTTATATAAGAACCAGTACCATTCCTGGTTTAGGTAATAACCCTTATAAATTAAACATTTCCTATTCGAAATGTTATATGCAGTACCATTCCTAGTTTTGGATAATAACTTTATAAATACAATTAGAAAACCTAAAAAAGATATGATGGTTTGATGGCTTTATTTTACTCATGAATGATTTAAATAGATAATATATTAATAGATAAACAATTCTAAACATATTTTTCTCTGATTTTGTTTTATCTAAGACTACACAAACCTCTTTTCGCACTTTGTGAGTCTGTCAGAATTTTCTGTGAATTCGCGAAAAGCGTTCACTACCTCGTCGTCAATAACGTCATTTGTGTTTTCCTTCAAATATTCTATTACCGATGTTAGTATTGCTTTTACACCTGTAAATAAAAAAATATAAATAGGTTACACCAATTTATAATCTTAATCTTGAAATTGTCATTGTAGTATCGTTTTCATAAACATATTTTGAATGTGATTTTGTCCTTTGTGAGTGTTGTTATTTTTCTCTTCAGGCCAGAGAGAAAAAAACAAGAACAAAACATTTTTGCTGCACAGCAGTAATGTTAAAAGTAGTGATTAAAAAACATCTATTGTCTGCTATTTTATATTATCATTTGTTTAATTCCTTACCTTTAAATTCTGTTTTTGAGAGTCTGCATTTCTCAAAACTGTCCATCTCTTTCATGATTGAAAACATGTCAACAATTGATTGCCGGAATGTCGCCTGCTCGTGGATACGGTCTTCATCTTTCATTTGAAGGAAGAAATCCATTGTTTTATCTATGAATTTACCACTTTTCAGTATTTCAAAGACGTCATGCAGCTTATCTAGAGCTGAGGTACACGTGAATGCCTTAACTAAAACACTTAACAGTAATCTTGCAACAAATGGTCTTCGAAACAACTGAATAAGTTCATCCCTCAATCCTGTTTCCGGATTAGCTAAAGTCATTAGAATTTCAAATGGTTCTTGCTTCTGAAGCTCATTTAAGAATTTAAAATTTAAAACCGGTGGCTGAAAACCCATTTTTTCGCGCCCTCCTCTACTATTTAATGTAACTCTTTGGTTGTTAGCTTGGACACCACCATACCATCTGTCTGTATTATTACTTCGAACACAATTTCTATCCGTAGAATGTCTATAAGTTTGTCTCTCCCTTATGTCGCGTCTATTTGTATTACCCTCTTCTTCAGATAAAGAACGCCTATCGTGTAATTCTATTCTTCTACTAGAACCTTGTTTAGCATCAATGTCGTCTCTTCTCGTAAATGCACGTCTATCATCACGTTCAAATATTTGTCTACCGCATCTATCGTCCCGATATCTTCTGTTGTCATACATCTGCCTATCCTCACGGTCATCTCTTCCATGGTTATTGTCATTCCTATTCCCGCCAGCATAGTAACGATTTCTATCTTCACGTGTACTGCTTCTTTGATTCCTCGAGTCATATCTGTCACCGTTTTCACGTAGATCTCTAAACGACCTTCCATTTCGAGAAGGTCTATAGTCTTCGTGCCGGAAACTGCAATTGTGTATAACCATGCTTCAATAAAGGAACTCTTACCACAATTTACCGCGTATACATCGAAACTCTTTATTATTTATTTATTTATTTATTTATTTATCATTTAACTATCTCTTTTTAAACTTAATCAATAAAAAGATGTTGTATATTTGTTATATGTTTTTTGAAAATATTAAACCAAGACATTAAAATTTTTCTCGACAAAATTATGCGTGTATAATACAACAGTGTATGATTTTTATTGAAAATGTGCTTTTTTAATTTCGAATTCGTCTCTTATAATGATGCTCTTGTTTCCAGTATATTAGATATTAGATACCTTCATTATTTTGTTACTTACAATACAACTATAAAACATTGCTTACCGTTCTTGTCTGTCGGCCATCTTTTTACCTGCAGTGTGTATCTTTAATGATGCGAGTAAACAGTGTTCATATGTTTTCAGACACTGAAACGTCATTAGATAATATCATTCTAAGTTTATGATTGCAATTTCACCATGTTTGCATGTTAAATCATTTATTTATCATGGTGGCTGAATTGTGTCATGTCACTTTGTCTTACTTTCCTGTTTTCTCATGGTGTCCAACAAAGCGAAAGTACGACAAAGTGGTCACTTTGTTGTAATGTTGTGTTTTTCTTTGGTGCCCCGCAGATCGAAAGTACAAGTTTTCACTTTGTCGTATTCAATGTTGTCATCTGGCGCCCCAGGAAGGAAAAGGTGAAAACACAATACAACGACAAAATTATCACTTCTTCATATTTTCATGATTTCGTCCGGCGCCATGCGGAGCGAAGCCAAAAAAATATGAAATTACAATAAAGTGGTCACTTTGTCGTATTTGCGTCTGGCGCCCCGCCGATGGAACCAGCGTCAGAGGTCACTTTGTCGTCTTGTGTGTTTTTCTCTGACGCCTCGCGGAGCGAATATCTAGCATGTCACAAATTAGCCACCATAATATATGGAATGCCATAGCTGCTTCATGTTGTTACATTTCGTTTAATTTTTCCCTATGTGCTTCTTATTATGTATAACAGAAGTGTTGGCTTGCCAACGTTTTGTGACGAAGTCTTATTAGGGCAAATAATATGAGGCAGCTATGGCGTTCCATAATAATAAATATCGGCGTTAACGATCGTTCACATTTATATACGCCAGCATATCTTTACATGTAAGTTTTAATTGTTTGATAATGTCATAATGATAATGCAAAACGTCTACATGTATATCTTTATATATAAAGTATTCTTATAGGACACACATATATATATGACAGTAGTAATATATATTAAAGATTTTACACAATGTTATTGATATTAACACTAGAGTATACTTGAATATTCAATAAAATTTTGTGCTATGACTAATTAAAAGATCTCACAATTATAGTTTATATTGTACAATATCAGTAAACGTAGATCTATGTCCTTACCTGATATCATAAAGGTATTTCTTCTAACCTTTTGAGACAGAATAACTAAATATTAATGTACAAATCCTACACGGTAATCCCCGGTATTCCTACTTCCGATTTCAATTCCTACTTTCGTTTTTAATCCTACCATGTTATCAATGCCTTTTAACCAATGATGACAACGATATTATACCATGTGACATTTTGGAAATAACATCAGTGTTAATACGAACGCTAAAATAACGAAAGCGTTTATTTTTTCCAACGTACAAGAGAACAACTTAATATAAGAGCGTCCTGTTAATTAATACAAATCACGACAAATAGAGTAATACAAGTCCGGAAGCATGAAAGGAAGCCCTTCGAATGGTAACGATAAAAGACGCTCACGTGGATGTGCATAATATGTGTATTTTTTCGTGCTTTTTGTCCCTTAAACACTTTAATATATGTTAAGTATACAATGGACCTTTCATATTTTGTATTGTATAATTGACTCATTAGTAAAATGCTTAAGTTTGCTGCAACCGTGAGTAGCTTTACCAACAGCATAGACCAATGTTAGCCTGAACAGCCGTGCAGTCCGACTTATGCAGCTTTTTTGTATTTGATATGAAAGCCCTGAACTGTTTCAAATTTAAAGCGGACCAGACCGGTTATACGAAATCAGCAGATTAAAGTTTTTTCTATGTCAACACATGCCATAGCTGAGATAGTGCGCGTTGGTACAGAGATCATTATCATGAAGTATGGCAATCAATTTAAGACTCGACAATAATTTAGGCTGCGCAATTATTATTCTCCCATTAGATGTCATTTGAAATACAAGGGTAATAAATAATACTATAATATACAACGTAAATTTCAGAACGAAATGTTTCTATCAAACTATTAACATTCAGTGTTTTCCATGTCTTGTGTGTCAAGGAATTGGTCCCGTTAATAAGTCGTTTGCACCAACAATAGAACTTAAACTGTGTTTTGATGTAATATACTTACATGCACATAAATGCAATCATTGAAATATTGTGGAAACCAATAATTAAACAGAAAATTTGGTTCAAACGGGACACAACTCTCTCAATAATAGGTCGATTGCAGTGAAAACAATTCTTGACCTGTGTTTTGGAATAAATTACTTACCTGCCAAGTATAAACACACTAATTGAAATATTTCCAAAGTTATCCTCTAAGACCAATAATAAAAAAATACCCCACAAAATCACAAACCAAAACCAAATTTGGTTTTAAAGGAGGCATAACTCTATCAAAAATAAGTTGATTACATCGAAAAGATAACTCGATCTGTCTTCTGGTATAACATTCCAAATATAAAAACATCCTGCGGACACCATTACTTTACGGGCAAACAAACGGACAGACCAAGAGACAGACAACCGCATTCCATAATAATGTACGTCCATAAGTTTTAGGAGCGTATAAAAACCGTTCATTTTATGCTAAGAAAGGAAATATGAAAAGGTTTGTCTCAGAGAGAGCTTTCTCCACGTGCTCTTCACATAACGATTTGAGCCCTCGTTTAAGTTTTTTTATAACATTTTGCGTATTTCCATGATGCTATGTCCTAGCTAGAGTTAATCCTACAGTTAAATTTAGCCAATCAAGATAAAGTAATATTTTTAAGTACTCAACGTTACATCGTATAGTTGAGTACTATTGTCCTTACGGACATTGTATAACAAAACCGGTTTGTCACGGTTCGTGAATAAGAGTTTATGTTTGGCGGGTATTGATTGTTGAAATCAGTTCTAGCGAGATTTTCTACGTGGCAACATCGTGCACGAAACCAATACACTTCACTATGGATGAACATCACATTGAAAATATTCAAGAGATTGTCGACGAACGTTTGAGATTGTCTCTTCAAGAGCATAAAACATCAATGCTGCGGGATATGGAGACAATTATGGAAAAGATAAGTTCTAAAAGTTCTTCAAATCAATTGAGTCAATTTTCTAATATTGTCTCTGGCGTTCCAACTTTCAAGAGAAAGTCGAACGAGGAACAATTTAAATACAATAGCAAACTAAGCATGGCACTCGAAGAGGCCGAACAAGCCGCAGTGTCCGAGAGAACCGACGAGGCAAGGCAAAAAATTGCAGAAGGTCTTGGTTTAAGAGACACGTTAAAAAGGAAAATGGACGAGGCAGGAATACCATCATCATCTCATGTAGGCATCACGGACAGAATGGCTAGTTATTTGACGCAGTCAAGGGCAGATAACACCGTAAAGAAATATCGTTCTTCTTTCAAGTATTTTGAAAATTACTGTGTTACGCACGGTCTGACTGCGTTACCTGCACAACCAATATCGGTTGCTATGTACTTAACATTTCTTATGGATCAAGGAAAATCTATAAGCATTTCTCTCGCAAACGCATAACAGAGTTGTTATTTCTTTGGTTTTTATAGGAAAGATAGTTAGGACGTCATGTGAGCATTTTCTTTGCTTACTACAAAACTAAGCTATCTTCTACATAAACATGTATTAGACTGATCAAGATAAGTTATTTCTTTATTTCAGATTGTGATATCTCCAGTATTATGTAATTATATAATAGTGAGCCTTCATGAACTCCATATGTTGATGTTAAAATAAAAGTAAAGGACATATAAAATGTCTAGATAATATCTGTGAAAGGCACATTTTCACCAAAGGTATATATATCTCTCTTTTTTACTTCTTTTACACTTTCTGGCAGCCAAATATAACGAAAATTTTCACTTATTTAAGCAGAAACACATTAACGAGCAATGCTTTTTTCATTGCATTTTGTTTGCCGAAAGAATATGCATTACATTATTTAAGTTCTTGTAATTGATGTTAAAAAGTAGACAGTTACCAGGGTGAAGGATGAACCATACAGATAAATAGATATCCTTATACATTAAAAAAATTAAAAGATCAGTTCTGTAGTAATTGCAATAAAAGTCCACTGATATATGTACATGTAACACATATATTATTCAATACATTACATACAAATTGTGAATGCTAACTGGACAGTTTGGGAATATTATAATGCCAACACTTAGCACAGAAAAAACTTTATTGGTAGTTTCAATTAGACACTTAGTCATATATCTTTACGACTAAATTTTCTAGCATTTAAGATCACTCAGATAAGAATGTTTATAACCCAGCATAAATTATGTGTGTATTTTTTTTTATTTAAATAACCACAAATTATAACTACATCCTAAAATAAACAAATATCAACTATAAAAATTACCACAGACACTAACAGAGAAGAATATAATATGCATATATATACACAACATAATTATCTAATCTGACAATTCAAGCCTAATGGATTAAAAGATATTTTAGTACATAAATCTATATAAGCATCAAAGTTCTGGCCAATTTATCAATAAATAACTTTATAAAAAAAGTTCTCTATACGCAAACTTTTCATAAACACGTACATTCCTAGGTTTAGTCTTTGATCAAACATCAGCATACCAATTGAAACGTTTATTTCAATTATTATCATGAAACGAACTCTTATTATTCTAATTAATTACTATAGTATTTATTTTTTCCATGTTTATCAACAATGTACATGTGATTTATCCTAAACGTGTTAGTATACAGTCGTCGAACAATCATGAGAAAAAACAGAAAAGTGATTAGTTAAAAAAATTCAAAACACAAATTTTTTAGATAAACAAAGACAATTAATTTCAAAAACAACATAGTATCTACTCTTTTGAAACTCAGATACAAATTATCAAGTCACTTATTTGTTTTTGGAAACCATAAGCACTGAGAAACGAGTTTATTGTCAAAAAATAATCGGCTGTTGTCAAATTTTATTCAAAAAATGCAAGGTGCAAACGTATCGTAATAAGTTTCATAAAATATACACGGTAATGTATCACGGTATAAGTCATATGGCGACTTTTCAGCTTATCTGATTGGGGAAGACCACAAATGCCCCTCCGTGCATTATTTTAGGCTGACGTCTGAGTAGTACCACCGACATGTCGCAAGCTTTCATCCAAAGTCCCTGTTGGGGTTTGAACCTACAGCGGTGAGTGACAAGTGGTTTGAAGACAACGACATTAACAAAAACACCTCCAACACACTTTGTTTGAATATAACTGTAAAAAGTTATATTTGTTTCAAATTACATAAATATTAAATAAATTATTTGATAACAAAGATAGCACCTCCATCCTTTTCAATGTATCTCAGCAACAAATTATGTATGTATTAAGATTATTTGACTTAAAAATGCACATGATATGTTCCAAATTTAACAAGCATAACCTTTTAAAAGAGAATGACACTTTATCTGTTATTGAATTGACATGTTGCCTATCCAAGGGTACATAGAGGGTTAACAGATCATTTAACAGATAAGTCGAATTAAGTTTACATCACCATTATAACAGTAAATGTTTTGAAATATATAGTCAAATCATAATGAGCATAATGAATTATATAAAAAGAGGTATGTCCCTACAAAAAAGAAAATGACACTTGGTCTGTACTTACTTTATAAACTATAATAGAAAATGATAAAAACAATACCGGATAAACTGACAGCATTCTGTTTTGAGTTTTAAAAAGCACTCTTGCAAAAATGTATTTTTACACATTTCGAAATAAGAAATGCAAATATTGGTATGATATAAAACTATATTTATTCAAAGCGAAGAGAGACACATCACCAAGCACCAAATAAACATTAAAAATATTTCCAAGCACACACAAATTTATATTACCAACTTTTTTAAAGTGGGAAGAATACGAACAACCACTAATATGGTCACACGTTTTAGCCTTAGTATCAATGTCACATTTTTCTTGACATTAAATATTGACTTTATTTAAGGTAATCATAAAATTTCAAATGATGAAAATTTACAAAATATATCACAACTAAATTAATCACAATGCAGGTAAACAAATAACTCAAACTTAACAAAACATTGAAAAGTAAACTACTTAAAATTAGGCTATTAAAGATAGCAATCGATAATAAAGAAGCATAAGGAGTTTAAACAAATCTTTCATTGTCCATATACATGAAAAATACGGTTAAATATCTAAAATTCGGCATTAAATCCATAATTTCCTAAATTGGCTTGCTCAGACCAAGCTGGATGTTGGGCTCCATCCATTTCTCCAAAGAACCGATTGTCTTCCCTTAAACGGTGATTACCCCCTCCAATTGCACTACCACACTCTGGACAAGTACCCTCTGTTGTAGCTCCCCCACAGTCAGCAATAGCATATACATGTCCTAAAGTATGAATAATAAGAATTTAATGATGATTATCAATGAGATAATTTTCAAACCGTTTCAACAAACATATTTTCAGCAAATAAATTGTAAAAACGAACACAGTAACTATTTTTGATTAAAAATTTCTTTTTGAAGAAAAAAATTCCAGCTTATCGGTATAAAGTATTTCAAGTTTTTTGAAAGGCTTCCAACTATAAAGAGGAAGTTATATTTAAATAATATGTGTTCTTCCGTTTCGATTTAAAGGCAGGGCTTTAAAACGAGATGGGAACAACGGACATGAGAAAATTTAATGACGCCTTGATAAAAGGGTCATTTGCTGGCTGCAAAAACCAGTAACCTAAAATTCTTGAATAATTTTTCGACGGAGAAAAAAATCTAATCTATAAGCTTCAAAACCTTGCTAAGTTGACACAGACAGTAGTTACACGATGTGCGATGGAAAAAATGATAAAAGCTGTATACATAGAACCTTCTGCCTTTTCGTTTTACTGTAATTGTTTTTAGAAAGAAAAAGAAAACAACTATCGCACTGGCACTATGAAGGCAGTCGAGTGATAACAAGCAATTATCATAGTATTGCAAGCAATCCATAAGTCCCCTACCGGTTAGAACCCCAGCAACATTCTGATGGGCCATTGGCCATTCAATTTTACCAGTGAATGAATGACATGAATGAACTTAAATCTTTTGAGTTCTAAGTTTGTCTATATCACAGTAATGTGTTAAGTTTCCATGCCTAGTAAGGAAATAATGTTTATACAACCTTGTCATATTATTACGATGTGGGATTGTAAAGTAAATCCTATAAGGAATGAAGAAGTTGGAGTGAAAAATACCAATTTCTCGAAAAAAATCAAGGGGGACATAATTCTGGAAATAGTCTTGCTAGAGTATTTAACCTTCTCAAAAATGTTGAGTGATAATAAGAAACATATATATGAAGTTTGAAGTAGATACATTAGGAAATAAAGAAGTTATTTAAAAAAGACAACATTTTTTTCATAAAAATTCTAAGTTCAAGGGAGGTAATGCTGAAATTTTTTGTGCTAGAGTTGTAAACCTTGTCACATATGATGTGGTTGATGACCAGAAACTTATATTTAAAGTTTGAAGTAAACACCTTAAGAAATAAAGAACATACTCAGTATAGTGAAAAAGCTGAAAAATTTAAATCAGAAATCTTGAAATTCAGGCTATTTGTTGCCATAGCAACCAGAATTTTTAACATAGGAAGAAAAGAAAAAGATGTGCATAATATCCAGTCTGCCATCTACCCATATTTCAAGTTTCATAAAAAGATTTTCAGTACTTTTTGAGTTATCATTGGATCCAGTTTGTGTGTTAAATTTGCCATATTTTCAGACTATTTGTTGCCATAGCAACCAGAATTTTCAACATAGGAAGAAAAAAAAAGACGTGCATAATCTCCATACTGCCATCTATCCATATATCAAGTTTCATAAAAATATTTTCAGTACTTTTTGCGTTATCGCGGGATCCAGTTTTGTGGACGGACGGACTGACAGACAGACGGACAGACAGAGAGACGGACGGAGGGTAAACCTTTAGTCCCCTCCGGTTAAACCGGTAGGGGAAAATTAAATACATATATACACGTATATAGTGCCATAAACATTTAAAACGATGATTAGCTATACATTTGATACTAGTGTATACAAAACAATTAGTATATGTAGTAGTTTTAAATCATAATGCATTAATTACTAACCTTTTGGACATCTAAACCAATGTCCCTGTGGTAAAGCCATTGCTTTAACAATCATCAATCGCTCTTCATCAGTGACACCGAGTTCGCTTAACGGGAATGCATCTTTCAATTTTTCTAAGCATTTTGCAACAATATGTCTTATTTCTCCGTACTTTTTATGTCTTTTTAGAAGTTTTTCTGCCTCAACAATCGTTTTCCTGAATAAAGGGTCAATTGTTTTACCAAGTAACCGTGCTTTCTGTTGATGAAGTAAAAGTTTAAGATAAGCCTTTGACCTTTCCAGCTCTGATTCGGCATCATTTATTTCCTGCTGAGTCATAATTGATCTTTCAACAAGAATCCAATCTCGGAATTGATTAAGAAATTTGACTGCTTCAGCCTTTTCGGTTGCAAAGGCTATTCCGTGTAAATCCTTCCAGTTATCCTCAATTTTCGCGAGGTGTTTCAGCAGAGTCATTTGATTCAGCATGGCGGCTAATGCATTCTCTGCCTTTGGTTCATGCATCGCATTTAATCTTCTTTTCATCGACAAACGAATACCAGCACTTGTTTCTTCAGCAATAGCATCCTTAAGTTCTGTCTCCAATCGAACAATTCTGTCTTTGTTTACAAGAACATTTCTTTTTACAGATTCAATGTCTTGCAATGTTTTATTGATAATTTTCCTGTATCGATTGCTTTTTCGAATTGGCGTTTTGCATTTTGGACAGTCTTTAAGCTTGATTTCGCCTCGGTCATCACCCATATCCATATAACGATCCATTGCATTTGATTCTATAATGCATTTCGTTCTACAGTCCTCTAGTAATACAAATTTTGCCCATGGCTCATCTTCTTCTCCAAATAGTAATTCTGTCACCTTTTGTTTATCGCAAATCCTACAGTCTGTCGGACATGGTTCGCCACACAATCCGATGCACTGATGCCCACATGGCAAACGTTTCCTACAAGGCTGATCACATCTAGGTCTGTCACAAGGCTCACTGCATAGAAGGCCACATCTATAGTGCTCGCATCTCCATGTACACAGTTCCATACAAGGAACACATAGTTCCCCACATCTTCTATTACACTTACTATGCTGGCATCTGTTTTCACATTTTCTTTTGCAAGGTGGACATTGGTTACACGTATCTGTACATTCATGTCCACATACAAGTATTCTTATACAATCGTTAACACATGGCATGTGTAAACGGCCTTGGAAGCATTTACCGCATGTTCCTTGGCAGCGATGTTCGCAGCCAAGTATCTCATCACATGGCTCAGGACAGAGAGCTTCATTCTTCTGATAACAATGAATCTTCCCTGTATGTCCACATGGCCACGTTTTTTCATCAGTAACATTACAATACTCAGTATGAGCCATGCCACATTTCGATTGACATTGATGACCGCATTCTAAAGTATCTTTGCATTCACCTTTGCACTCAAATTCCGACGCACTCATAGAACAGGGCACCTGTTGAATATGGCCACATCTTGGCATCTTCTTTTCTATCTTTTCTAAGCATTGCCCACATTTCTTATCACATATCTGTTTGCATCTATGTCCATTATCGCAAATCACTTTACCGCATCTCTTTCGACATATATAATCTTTATGATCTTGGTCAACAACGTGACAATACATCTCACATACATGGCCACAGTCTAAACGAGTGTTGCATTTCTTGTTACAACCTCCTTCTGGTGCTTGCAAAAAATCTCCCGGTTGCTTTGCAATTAAACCATTATCATCTGGATGATTCTGACAATACAATACAAGACCTTCTCCTAACCTCCCTTTATTTTTCATATCAATAACAACCTCATTCCATAGTTTTGACTTGTCTCTCAGCAGTTCAAAATTTCCTATTGCATAAAACCCTTTCTTTGCCCTTGACAATGCAACGCAAACCCGGTTTTCTATTTTAAGGAATCCTATGCTCCCTTCTTCATTGCTTCTTACGAGAGATAAAAGGATAATGTCGTTTTCCTCTCCCTGATAGTTGTCAACAACCGTGACCCTTACACCATCAAATTCTTCCTTTGGCATCATTCCCCTAAGGCAAAACAACTGACCCGAATAAAGTGTCAGAACTGTTATCTGAGACGGTTTGTAGCCTTGCAAAAGAAGATATCTGCATAACGCAACAATATATTCTGCCTCATATCTATTTGAATGACTTCTCAAATCTTCTTCATGCGTTTCTTCATTTCTATGATCAACAAAAAAGATATTCTGTGAAATCCCTTTTATTGTGTCATACTTTTTAACATCATTGTGATCTTTTAAGTTTTCATAAATGTGATGCATAAGCTCTGCTATTTCTGGTCGCATTCTGTGCTGAAGTTCTAAACAATCACACTTTATTCCGTTACCGATCATCCGTTCAAATAGAGAAACGTCCAGACTATAGTCTGTTGCCAATTTATAAACAGTTGGATTTGGTTTAAGTTGTTTGTGATCTCCAATTAAAATCAAATGTTCACAACCTCTACTAAGTGTTGTTACAATATGAGCCTCAAGAACCTCGGCAGCTTCTTCTACAACGATTATTCTAGGTCCTATCTCTTGAAGCACGGCCTGATATCTTGCTGCTCCCGTTGTTGTCATCCCAATGATTGTTGAATGTCTCATAACTTCTTTGTCCTCTTGCATTAAAGCCTCTCTATATCGTCTTGCTGCTGCCTCAAACTCTTCTTGTTTTTCTCCAATTTGTGTCATCAGAAAATCGCAATATTTCTGCACCCACATACGATACAGTCTCCATTTATCTTTATTCGACATTCTCCACAAGTCTGTTATGCCTCGTGCTTCTTCTTCAGTCATTACTTCTCCGGAAGCTAAGTTTTTCTGTGTTTTCTGTTTAAGTTTTCTTCGCTGCTTTTTTGTTACTTGCCATTCTCCGTCAAGAACATTCTTTGGTTTTTCACCCATCCGGTCCACATGCAATGCAACTGCCTTTTGTTGCTCACTTATAGCCAATCTCACTCTAATTTCGTTCTTTTCTTTTCTCGTTAATTCATGCTCTCCATTTATAATCTCGTCAAATAAGTCATCTAAGTCATCGTCCTCACCAGCATCTAATTGTCTGTTTGCTTGAATTGCGTCAACCTCGTCCTCAACATCAATGAGTTCATCTTCTTGTTCTTCAATATTTGGTATTTCCTGCTGTTCAAACTCTGGTGCTAGATTTCCCTCCATTTCAACTATTGGTGCAAGATTACCAAGCTCCAACCATTCAACAATGATCGAATGGTTTTTACCTATAAACTGCATTGCTTCTGGGTACACTTGCATCAAGATATTAAATTGTTGTGTAAATAATAAACTATGTTCTTGTCCCATAAATGGCTGCAAAAATTCTTCACGAAGTATGCAAGTTGTTGCGATTTGTATTTTTGCACTGACTTTATTAATCTCTGCAGTAACTGAATCCATTTCGCTCTTTGCTTCACGTCTTCCTTGAAAGATTGCAACAGGTATCTTTTTAGCATGTCTAAACCTCTGTCGAAAATTGTGAAGATTATATTCTTTCAGAATTTCGCTACTACTTCTGCCCCCAACACGAAGAATGTCACCCTTATAGAACTTTACAATTCCTTCCAGAAACTGGTCAAGGGCATGATTGGTATAGCAAACAATTAACATTGGACGGTGATCTTTTACACCTGTACCCGGATTCCTTGACCAAACATCTTTATTATGAAGAAGAGCTTTCACTATTTTAAGGCCAATGTAGGTTTTCCCGGTTCCGGGTGGTCCCTGAGTGATAACAAACTCATTTGTTAGTGCTGTGTGAATAGCCTTATATTGCGAATCATCAAGGTGAAGTAAATCAGCTGGTGGCCAAGTTGAACGATCGAGAACCCTGATATTCCTAGCTGGTAACGAACGATCACTAAATTGATAATTTGCATTTACGATCTCCACCTCCCCAATGTTCTCACCAAGTCTTCTGTCATCTTGCAGTATGATATTTTCGTCAACAAGAGGCCGAAGATCGTATCTAGTATCAACGTCCCGGCGTAAATAGGCAGGAGATTGAACCCGGCTTTCACATTGAATAATGTATCTTTCAAAAGGCAAATTACCCTGTCTTATTTGCTGTAACCCCGTCAAAACATGTCTGTATGATTCAAAATACGCCGTTGTTTCAGCCATTGTAAATACTTGTCCAAACAAAGTCCTTACTGTTTCGGGGTCGTGCTCAAAGCGGACTATGAAAAGACCTTTTACCAACTGTTTTGGCTCTCGATTCACAACAGTGGCAAAATAGAATGATGTAAAATTATCTGGGGACAAACATACCAATGATCCATATATAAGTCTCTTTGTCGAGTTCCATCGGACTTTTGTAAGCTGACTGACATCAAACTGGAGGACGTGACATAGACCATTTTCCCCACATTCAGGTGATATCAATCTTACATTGTTGTAAATGCGAACGTCTTGGATTTTTTGTTTTTTCTTTCCCTTTTCTTGCATGACCTGAATGTAACTACTTACACCATCTCTAAGTGGGGCAACGAAGTCTTCCCTCAGTAGGCGAAATTGAACATCTAAGTAATGATCAACGTCCTGGTAGCGACCCTTTGTTTTATTGACTCTTAAGTATCTGTCATCGGTGGGCTGAAAAATCGTTCAGGCTTGTTAACCATAAAATTCCATGTAAATCAAAGCATTGTTTTGTTTATAACAGATGTATTTACTTACAAAAACTAAGGGATCATTTGTTGCCATTATGCTTCAACATACAGGATACGGAAATATACTTCTGTATGTACTTATTACCAGAAAAAAGAGAAATGAGGCATGCATATATTTATCCTACTCCATGTTATGTTTTATAGTATTTTAACAACATATTCAGGATTTACCTGCATGTCAGCGGTCTGGGGGAATATCTGTATCTCTCTGAAATCATCCGGAGGTTCATCAACCTCGGCTTGTCGCTGTCTTGGATTATCAGCACGACGTCTGTGTGGAAAGATTTGAAGTAATTAAATACCTCATAAGTTTTCATAGTAGATATTTTTCTTTTATAAAAACGACATAGAACTTAATTTAATGACAGTAACGAGATTCAGTAACTAGGAAATTCACTTTACAAAGATCTTCATATACTCAATTTATCAAAGGTCAAAAATGTCTTTCTTTTTTTAGAAAGATTAATCTGCTTTTTATTACGTTTAAAGAATGTAATTAAAGCATTTTAGATACTTATCACCTACGAAAGTAATGCTGAATGTGTCTTTTGTCATAAAGTACCAAAATATAAAATGACATCCATACAAAATCAATAAAACTACATGTATACTTATTCCAAAAGGCAATAGAAACAAAAAGTGACTCAGCAAAACGGCCAATGAGTATCGTTTTGGAAACTCTGAACAAGACGCCCACAAGATGGCCCTGTATCGCTTACCAGAAACAACAGCTTTTCAGAGTAAGGTTTTTTTTTCAAATGAACTTTTCCATTTCAGTTCAACTTCAACTTGCCGCTCTAGATATTAGTTTATTAGACACCAATTGTTCTTTTGTTTGTTTTTTTCATAATAAAATATGGAACCTTTTCATATATGACCCAAGTGCATTGTTACTGTTCATCTGGAAAGCAAACATGTCAACTAACGCTACTAGACTTTTTCTATTTTTAGCTCTATCGGTCCCTAAAAGGGGATAACAAAACTAATTAGAGCAAACTTGATAAAAAAACTCAAAGAATGCTAAAGACAAGGTTTAATGATCATCCATCCATAAATTAATTCAGTAAATATTTAATGTTTTTTTTCTATTTTTAAGCTTTAGCGGCCCCTAAAAGGGGGCCAATCAATTTAATACATGTATAAGCAAATTTGATAAAAGACTACCTAAGAATGCTGCAGACAAAGTTTGGTGATCATTTATCAATTAGTTCTGTAGAAAAAGATGTTTTAAGGGTTTTTTTTCTATTTTAGCTTAAGCAGACTCTAAAAGGGATCAGTCAATTGAATATGAGAAAAATACTACCAAAAAATACTAAAGACAAAGTTTGGTGATCATCCATCAATTAGTTCAGCAGAAGAAGTTTTAATGAGTTTCTTTAGCAGTCCCTAAAAGGAGCCAATCAAATTAACATGAGCACATTTGATGAAAGACTACCTTAGGATGCTACAGACAAAGTTTTGTGATCATGCATCCATTAGATCAGTAGAAGAAGATATCTAAATGTTTTTTTCTATTTGAAGGTTCCAATAAAATTAATATGAGCAGACTTTCTTTTTTTATATTTTTTAGCTCTGTTGACACCTAAAAGGGGTCAATTGAAATTATATGAGCAAATTTAATTTAGACTTCACAACGATGCTAGTCACATGGATGCTACAAACCAAATTTATAGTGAATCTGCCCAGCAGTTTCAGAGAAGATGAATGTTGACGCATGACGACGAACGATGGAGCATATCCCTTTAATACGTATAGCTTAACTCTGAACCTTCGGTTCTGGTGAGCTAAAAAAAGGCTTTTGAGAAATAAAAGCAATTCTCAGGCATTATGATTCTTTAAAAGAGAATCATTCAATTCTATATTATTTGAACTTCTTTTTCATTCAACTTCAATGTCGGCATTTTCATTTCGCTTTACTGTTTTAAATTTTTCAGGATCAAACCTGTTTACATTGATAAATATTCATTAACTTGTAAATTAAGAATCGTTTAGTATGAAACAAACCTTTCCCCGCGCTTAAGCAGTTTGCCTGTGTAATCAGTAAATTCACGGAAAGCATCTAGTAACTTATCATCTATGACGTCAGTCGTATTAACTCTGAGGTCATCAATCACTATTTTCAAAACCGAGTGTATTCCTGCGAGTAAAATAGAATACATTAATCAATTCGACAAAACAATGTTAAAACTTTAGACACATACAATTGCTTAAAATGATACATGAATCTATCTTAGGAAGTAGATCTACGTTCTTTAAAACTATTAAGCAAGTTCACATATAAGACAGAAACATCATTCAAAATAATATAATAAAAATGTGCTGCTGATTGTAAATAAGGCAGATGCACCTCTAAAATATACAGCCATTCTGATACCCATTAAAGTGAGTAACAACATTGTCGCAAATAACAGATAATAACAGATTCTGGCAAATACATCCATGCCACCTGTGTTATAATTCAAAATAGTTTTATATCTTGTTTCTTTTAGGTCATTATTTTGATACGTACCTATAAATTGGGTCACAGAAGTTGGATATTTCCTTGATATCGCTTCCATGATTGTTATCATGTCCTTTATTGGCTGGCGGAATTTCCTCTGCTCGGAAACACGATCTTCGGCCGTCATGTCTAGGAAATGATCCATAATCGTGTCAAAAAACTGACATTCTTTTATTATTATGTATATGCGATTCAATTGTTCTGGAGTTGAGTCACATGAAAAAGCTTTGGCTAGCACATTGATCATCAATCGTAACACGTCCGGTTTCGAAACACACTCCACGAGTCCTTCTCGTAAACCCGTATTAGGATGTGATAATGTTAAAACTATATCTGGTGGCTCCCGTTTTTGTAGACCTTCTAAAAATCTAAAACCAACCACCAATGGTTTGTCTCGTCGATTGCCTCCCCCACGCCCACCCCTATTGTTAATTCCACCTCGGTCACCAGGCAAACGCCTACCGTGAGCATGCATTCCTCTAGCACCAAATATCCCTCTGTCATCACGGGCGTCTCTTTCACCATATGCGCGTCTATCGTCTCGGTCATCTCTTTCCCTAACGTTACGTCTATCATCCCGGTAATCTCTATCATCATACCGCCGTCTATCGTCACGGTCATCTCCTCTGTTTGGTCTTTCGTATCGATCATATCTATCATGGTTTTCGCGTGCTTCTCTCCCAGGAGGTAAATACTGGCCTTCATCTTCATCTTCATCCCAATCATCAAGTTCCTGTCGAAGTGGTCTTCCTGCTCTAAGACCTCTTCTTAAACCAGGTCGTGGTCTAAAAGAAAACATATAATGTATTTTTAGTAAATAATAGTCTATTATGACCCCGGCTTTTCTCCCTATGAATACCTATAGACATGTATAATAGTATTTTAAAAGCACAAAGTGTCTGGAAGTCTATTGTAAGCATGCGAAAAAGTTTTTTTAGCATTTTTGTTAACCAGATCGACCGATCATTAATCGAAAGATGATGGCGAAAAAGTATTGTATAAACTTTCAATGAACGGTATAGCCCGCAAAAAGGAGGGTTGATCGCAAGAAGACGAACAGGCTTTAGCGCTTTTTAGACATCAACGTCTATCACCTATTTTTTTTTTAATTGTAACTCTAATCCCCCATAATATATCTAGAATATGATTTCGTTTATCAGAAGTAAAGAATATATTAAAGACAAAAACACAAATATTGTTGTAATTGACATACGATGTAAAATTGTTACACTTATGTTTCGGACAATATTGTTTTGTTTTTGTTTGTTTTTTCTGGACCTGATAATAGTTATATCGAACTCGAACTGTCTTTCATGGTTGATATATAACTTTTCTCGGTCGATATTTAACTTAACTCCAACTTTACTCCGGTCCAAAAAAACTATACATAGTAAAGAGTACACAGCACCGAGGGCCTCATCGCATAATAACTGGCGTCCATTCAGTGTTTGGAACTGACTGGGATGTCACTAAAATGCTATCAGATCCAATTAAGGCACTGTGTGCTATTTGATTCTTACATTATTAACCGCACTTTACTTGAAAATAATGGTGAAAGTTCAACAAGGGAAATCATATTGATAACATAATGTCTAGAGAAAAAATGTATCTGAAAAACTGATATGAGCTTGTTTTACACGCATTTTCGTAAAAATAATTCTAGCGGTTACAAACTGCTAGATTTTTAAAGCCCAAGAAAAATTTAATAGTGCCCTCAGCCGCTCAAGTCATCGTGAATATTATATACTATGAAAAGTCCCGCTCACATTTATTTAAGTATTAGAATTCGAAGGAATATAAATAATTATATTCATGCAAGGTGTTAAATACATTTGTAATTGTGCAATATTGTTTACATTGTAGACCGATATATTTACTACGTTGCTTGGTTTACTACCGTACCTCCCCTTACAAGTGCGCCCTTGTTGTTCTTGAAAACCGGTTAAGTAATGTTTTTTTAAATAAAAAAGTTTAAATTGAGATGTAATCATTTTTAGGCGTTTTACGAGTATGGCCTTATAAATCATGAGCGTAGCTATTCAGTTGTGAAAAAAAACATGATATGATATGGGAATATTTTTACAATGTACTGATTTAAATGTATATAAGCAAAATTAATTAAATTACTCACCCATCACGGTCGCGTCTGTCAGCCATAATGTTTTATCTATAACTTGAAGATTTCTCTGTTAATGATTGAAGGTTAACTGTCAGCTATACTTTCCCTGTATACAATATAGGAAATCGAAAGTAGATTACGTACGTTTAACAGTTCATAATGTCCTTGAAAAATATATTTTATCTTAGACTACAAATGTTAAAATAACAGGATTAAAATTTCTGTGTTTGTAATTAAAAAAGTAATCAACTGCGAAAACGTTTCAACAAATAATGAATAAGATCCTGTGTCTTACATTTATGTTTACGTGCGTGGTAAAACGTAGATTATTTATTAAACTAAATAGATCTACACAATTAACAAGTCTACACAGTCAAAATCCAAACATATATTTTTTACTAAGTTTAACACCTATACGAAATAAAACATAAAATTTACATCAGCTAGCTTTCCTCCATTTTGTTATAATTCCGTATTGGTTTTTCTGAAAACGGTAAATCCCATATCGCTACTTTCGATTTACATGCCGTTATACATTGGTCTTTTAATCAATGCGCGTTTTCAGAAAATGATTCAGTAAAGTGAACGAAGAACGACCTATCCCTTATCTTTTATCAAATTCTTTTCTTTCTTTTTTTCTTTTTTTTAATAGATCAATAACTGATAAAGATTTGATTTTCGAAAAATTTACCATTGATAATACAATGTATACTGATAACGCTGACGACGATATCTGTACCATACAAATGAAAATTATTTACCAACCTGTACATTCATAAACCGGCTAGATCTTTAAATATTAATGTCGAATAGTAACTAAAAGTTATGAATATTGCGTACCAATTGAAAATATACGATTGATTACACCTATTTGCAGATGAAAAGTTGGTGACAAATTACATTTTTATATGCACATCAGGGTTCTTAAAATAACATGTTTTTTATGATTTACTGAAATTAATTCTTCAAAGAAGTTTAATTTTGTATATTATAAATATTAATGTGTATATGATGGCCATTAACTGATCGTTCAAAACATGTGATTTGTTATGTATAAGTGCTTGAATACATTTTTGTTGAATAGAATTGCAATATTTAAAATGAATCATATAATACATTCACTTTAGTAAATCGGCTGACGTTAAAATAAATCAATCTTGTAAATTCCCATTTTTTTTACCAATCTAAATTTGTAAATGCTTACTAACAAACGCTAACCTGTACTAAATGACAAACACATATCTTTATTTTCTAAATAAGTCTAAATACAAAATACCATAAAAAGACAAATAGTCCAAACATTTGAAATACCCTGGTTGTTAATTATCATAAACAAAAACGTGCTGACTTCTGAAATGTTATAATTTGCGACAAAGTTTTATCGTAATCTTTTCAAAGTTTTTAGAAAAGGTCATTCTGATCTTAAACCGAAATTACAATGTTAGTTCTTTGATGCATTATATGGTTCAATTCTATAGGAGGTAAAATAGGCTAGATAACAATGAAACATTAGCCAAGTCAATGGTCTCGGCCTTGTCAAATTTCGTACTCTATGTTCTACGGTAAATCAGTCACATTTTAGGCTTAATATTCTGGATTCCACTATCCTTGATGAATAATATACTGTCTTCATATTTAACAATCAATACTACATGACTGTATTTAAGCCCATGAGGCCCGAAATATTATATATAAGTTATCTATTTTTTTCATAAATCTTCATTCTGTCGTGACCAGAGACATGGTATATAGTGTCTCTGTTTGTGACACTGTTTGAATTTACCCCTTTAAAACCCTTGTCTACATTCGGGTAGTACATATTTATTTTTTTCGCCCAGGAATGTGGTCCTAGAAATTATATACACAAAAAAAACCAAAAAAACATTTAAAGTCATTATATAAACACAAAAACTACACAGATGCAATAAATACATGTATACTTAGAATATGACCATTCAATTAAATTGGGACCTTCAACATGTACTAGAACTATTTTATAGACGGGTTGGGTCTAATTCCGTACCGGGGCCTATTACCGCAAGCTCGGACTTTAATAACAATCCGCGTCGCAAGTTGCCGGAACAATATGATGGTTATTTTGGCGCCAAAAAAATAGCAGTGGATATTTCAAAATGCCAGTGTCAGGTGAAAGGGCAAACTCCTCACAGTGATTTCCTCCAGTGATAAGGGGAGATCACTGTGTAGGGGATTGGTGGGGAGGATTACGCCAGTGAGAAGATCGCTCCGCCAAGTGATTCACGTGACACGGTCAGTAAAAGACGATACTGATATTTTCACAAAACTTTAATGCTTTAATAACTTGAAATAATTACACAAAAAACTTTGTTGTGAGACTTTGTGGTGTTAAGGAAAAGGTAAAGTAGACTTTTATTAGAACACAAATTCTTTGCAAACAAATGCTCACCTATTTCAAATATGATATGAAAATAAGTAATTCTTATATATATGTGTTTATCAGTTTGTTATTTAAAAAAATAAGTTTGGCATGATACATTCAGACGTGAAGTGTACGTATTAACTGATATTAGTTTCGTAAGCGTATGTATTAAAATACTAGTTTAATTCTAATTCATTGAACTTTTATAGAAATTAGATGTGAAAATTTTACCAAAAATATAGATTGTTTACATGGTATAAATTTTAAGTTTCACGCATTTTTGCCATTTTTTTCTACGGTTGTGTTTTTTTATTGATGCTACTTTATAACAGAAAAATTATTTTCATTCCCTGCGGTCTGGAGACCGCAGGGTATTGGTACGCGTTTAACTTTTGAGGCATGGAGGAGCACGTGACCTGTATTCGGTACATGGAGGAGCACGTGATCTGTAAACCATACATGATTGGTTAATTGACTTTCGAAAACCTGGCTAAATACCGTTTGCCGATACGTGACGGATTTACCTCTAGGGAATTAGGCAGAATTACATCTTATTAGAACAAAAAAATATTACGTGATATTTCTAATTTTCTATAAATATTTTACCGTTTAAGGTTGAAAAACTTGAATGATGTGTTTGAAAATTATCAATGTTTCTTTAATATGTATCTCAAATTTTACAGACAATAAATTGCTTTATTATATACATATAAATGAAATATTGAGAAATATTGATGAAATAAAATGCGTATTTTCATTTTCCGTATTTTCACTGTAAAAATTTATTTTTCACTGCAGTGAAACATATTTTCCGTATTTTCACTGGTGTCTTGCCGGACTACTTTCTTTAAAATTCTACCAGTACACAAAATTTAAGGGAAAGTTTTTCAAATTTTATCGCAAAAAAGAGAAAAATGTACATAATAAACAGAAAATTCAAGTTTTTTCTATAAATACATGATTTATTTTCATCTTGTGGCATGAAAATTACCATATTTCACTCGTAGCTACCGCCACTCATGAAATATTTATTTTCATACCACTCGATGAAAATAAATCATGTATTTGTAGAAAAAACTTGAATATCCTCTATATACTGAAAATCTACAAAATTGAAATATTCGATCGAAGTGGCATCTGCCATAATAAATAGAGATATTTTCTGCGTAAACTTGTGTGTTTACTTTATTTTTTTTTGCTCGAAATTATTCATAAAATGGTAGGCCTATTTAATCATTTTCTTAAAAAGAAATAATTGTTTTTTGTTCGACCTTCTCCGGTCATCAACGGTCACCAGTTTCCAAAGATCGACCTTCTTCTATATTGATCGACTATATGTTGTCCCCCCAAACCATGTTGAAAATAGTTAAATGAAATGTCTTGTATCATTAAAAATGTTCCCCGCAGGAAACCATTTTACTTGTATCATTTGGGTACTATACCTTATGATATATCACGTGATTATGGAATTAACACGTAATGAAAAAGGATATATGTAGCACTGGATTGATGTAAACAAGCCAGAAATTAATCCTCGTACTGATAACGATCGCTGCATGATTGGCTAATCTGCACGACCCCTGCTAGTTTGACTGACAGGCGGCGAAAAGTCAATTATCCTATCCCTCAAAGGTTGGACGGAACCGATTAAAGAATAATTAGAGCAAAGTATGACTATAGTACAGTATTAATTATAAAATAATTAATGTCATTTCCCGTAATTAATACGCTTTTACATTTTTATCTTTGATGAATATATATAATTAAAACAACAAAAAATACATAATAAAAAACAATTAATTTGAAACGAAATACATTGTATACGAAAAAAAAAATCTTATATCAACATATTTTTCATCTAGAAAGATCTAATAATGTTTCTGAAGACCGGCGCACTGACCGGGCTAGTGAATATGATACTATTCGCCGCTTTCTCGTAATTTCCGGTCAAAATAGACCGAGAGAGACCGGAGACCGGAAGCGACCGGACCATCCCCTAATTCCCTGCGGGCCGAAGCCCGCGCGCATGGAGGAGCACGTGACCTGTTTTCGGTACATGGAGGAGCATGTGATCTGTACACCGTACATGATTGGTCGAAAACCTAGCTAAATACCGTTTGCCCGGTAGGTTACGGATTTACCTCTAGGGAATTAGTCCGAATTGCACCTAATTAAGAACATAAAACTATTACGTGATATTTCTAATATACTATAATTATTTTACCATTGAAGGTGAAAAAACTGGCATAATGTATTTGAAAATTATCAATGTTTCTTTAATATCTACATGTGTATCTCAAATTTAACAGTGAAAATCTACAAAATTAAAACATTCTTAGTGGTAGCTGCCATAATAAATAGTGATATTTTCTGCGTACACGTGTGTGTTTTCCCTTTACTTGGAATTATTCATACAATGGTATTTAATCATTTTCTTAAAAAGAAATAATTGTTTTATTTTTGACTTTCTCCGGTCTCCGGTCTTCAACGTTCACAAGTCTCCAAAGACCTTATTATTGTCAACAAATGTTTATTTTCCCCCAAACAATGTTGAAAATAGTTATATGAAATATATCACCGCAGGAAACCATTTTACTTGTTAAGTGTCTTACATGCATGCGATTGGCTTGTTTAAACTGAAAGTAGGAAAACAACAAAACGAAAGTAGAATACAGTATATATGCAAATTTATAAACTACTGTATAGATTGTTAACCCGATAAAAAAAACTTGACATCTTATATTTATGAGGAAACACAAAGCAAGAAAATATTAACGATACGTAGACTTTCTATACGATAATATATAAAAATAAATTTGTTCAAGCTTTTAACACGTAAACATCCGGTGACGTCATTGTAATGGCGCTCTCCATGAAAATGAAAATCTGCTTTTCAGTTTTGAAAACTAAAGTGCGTAGATCTCAGTGCCGAGTTGTAAGATAATAGACGCATTGAGGTAAGTTATTTTGTTTCTTTTGTGTTTTTAATAATTAGTCGACAATTTTATCTTGTGGCTTGTAAATATTTGGGATGTTGTATTCTCCTAAAAAGTAAACTGGTGAACTTGTTCAGTGTTGTTCTTGATCTGTTGATAATGAAAAACCTTCAGGCACTAGTTGGGTGTTGAAATTACCAATTATTTTATTATGATTAGCAGGTGCGTTGTCAGTGAACTGTTAATAAAAGACATTATTTATATGCAAATTTAAAAAGATAAAAGAATAAAAGTGCTGCAAGACTAGATTCTACAACATTAACAGATTAATTAAAAAAAAATACTCATTTCCTAACAGTTTCGACGAGTAATATGAAATTAGGCAAAGCCTATGAACGGGGAAGTCGTTAAAAAATTCCTTTCTTTCTTTCCGTTTTAAAATTGTCATTCGGTATTACATGCACCGCTTCCGTTTTCACTCGGAACACTCGACGTTTATTATTTATCCGAAAAGTTGAGATTTGTTCCGTTAATGGAATACCCCGCCTTTTATCATTGAGTTACATTGTAAATGGCGGCGCCAGACTAGAACTGACACTGAAAATTTCATTGATAGGTATAGAATTCTATATTTTTTTTAATTTTTTTTTATTTTTTTTCTTTTAAAATACACGTGTATCTATAGCCGGGAAACCCCCAAACCCGACCCCCCTTGGGGGGGCCCCGGTCTTTAACTTCCCCCGTATTAGCCAAATTTAAATTTTGGCTAAAAGGGGTTTGACCCTTTTTTACAGATTTTTTTTTTTCCTTACGGGTCAAAAAAAGCCCAGCGCCCTTTCCCAAAATTATTCGGTTTGTCCCCTTTGAAAAGTCTAATAATTTTGGACTAAAACGAGTAAAAAAACCTTTGCCAAGTTTCAAATTCATGTTGCCCAAAAATTTAAATTGATCACGTTTTTGCAAATTTTCGGGGGTTAAATTTTTCTTCATTTCCCGTGAGCTCTTTAGTTGTCCTTGGAAGATGTGTATACACTCATTCCTTCAAATATCCCCAAAGAAAAAAGTCAAGTTGGTTGAGGTCAGGAGAATGCAATGGCCACTCGTCGAGTCGGTACGAGATAAAGTTATGCACAAACATATTGTATAGCCAATTGATTACATCTCCTGCTGTGTGTGGTGTTGCTCCGTCCTGCTGAAACCAGATCTTATCAATATCAAAACTCTCTCTCCTCAAAGTAGGGATAAACTTCTTTTTCAAAATAGTCAAATACCGCCTTACCGGTCTTTATTGACAGTAGCAACATTGTCGTCGTCCTCAAAAAAGAATGAACCAATAACTCTGTCAAGGCTAAGAGCAGCCCATACCATGACCCTCTCGCCATGAAGCAGCTTTTGAATATGTATCTGCTAATGGCATCAATTTCCAAACTTACTATCAATACAAAGTACATGAATGATGACTATGACATCCATTTTTATACGGCCATTTGTATTATAGTTTCTCCCTGGCGGGTGGGCGGTCGGCGTCCACAATTTTGTCCGAAGCATATCTCCTACATGCATTGAGGAATTTTACTGTACTTATAATAGAGTTTGGTCCAGTAATGGAAGTCACACACACATGGTCAAGGTCACCTGTACTTACAATAGATTTTTTACCTTCTCTTATACAGCCCCTATTTTTTTAATTTTTTTTTTTAATTTTTCACCAAAGTCTCATATTTGGAAGTAACATACCTCGGGTAGTCCTTCAAGTTTGGGTGGAGTTTGGGATCATTGGTTTCAAGGTCAAGGTCTTGGGTTCATTAATATTTGATCAACTTTTATTGGTAAGTTGAATATTTTTCAACGTCATCAAATAGCAATGCCATGCCGACTTAGATTTTTCTCAATAACAAGAGCTCAAGACTCTGTCAAGTTATATTAATTTTATAACTGTGTTACAATTTTTTTGGGGCAATTTTTCCATCCATAACTGAGTGAATAGTTAACCTTTTTTTAAAAATTTGCTACCGGCAAAAATCTAGGGGCATTTTTGTGTACCAAAAACTTTCTTGTTGCTTTTGAATTAGGAATTTTTCCCTTGAAATTGGGAAAAGAACATACTTTTCAAATTGTGAATATGACCAATTATAGGTCATCAAAAACCAACTGTTTGTCTCTGAACATCATTTACTTATGATAAACACTATACCCTTTTCTTTTCAGTGAATCCAAATTGTAAATAATGTTTCGTCCACGGCAAAGAAGAGGTGGAAACTTAGGGGTAATGCTGCTGGCCCTGCAATTATTCCAGTTTGGATTTGACAAAATACCTCCAGTCACTCTTATATCAATCCTAGTACAAGCTGCAATATTCCTCCGTATCGGTGACTTAGATAGATGGTTTGGATCGACTCATGATGTGTGTATCAGTACACATTACATTCTGGTACAAAAACAGTGGGGTAGACTTATTTTAGGAACTCTAGTTCACGCCAGTGACATGCATCTTTATTTTAACATGGTGTCTTTACTGTGGAAAGGTGTTTTTCTTGAAAGACGTTTTAAAAGTCAATATTTTGCCTACCTGATGGCAGTATTTACAGTCTTGACTAGTGTGGTTCTGGTTGGACTCAATTGGGTAATGGCTGAGGTGTGTCAAGATAGGTCATATATGTTGACCTGTGCGGTTGGATTCTCAGGTAAAAACTGTTTGTTGACTTTTATGTCTATGTAACTCAAGGGATTTATGTCAACTAAAAATGTTAAAGATTTTTTTTCACTATATGTATGAAAGTTTCAATTTAGTTCATGCTTTCTAATGTTTATTATTCAAGTTGAATTCAAGCATAGCCTGGTGAGAGGTGATCAGATCAACAAAAGGTTTTCAGTGGTAGAAATTTACTGCAATCACTGAGTATGGTGAATAAGAAAAACCCATAATTCTTTAATTAAACCCATTTTTCCTTCTTTAAAGGGGTTTATTTTGATCTTTAAAAAATAAACTTTATAAGTTCTAATTTTATTAAATTTTTTAATTTAAATTTTTTAAAAAAGTTTCCATCTGTATAAATCTTTTAAGGAGAAATACATTGTATGTTTAGGAAATAGATATGAGCCACGACAATACCAACATAGCGCTTTTGCGACCAGCATGGATCCAGACCAGCCTGCGCATCTGCGCAGTCTGATCAGGATCCATGCTGTTCGCTTACCAACCCTTTTACAAGTAGAGAAATTGATAGCGAACAGCGTTGATCCTGATCAGACTGCGTGGATGTGCATAAATCATGTAATAATGCACTTGATTGCCTATCTATAGGGGAATATTTTGAAGCATGCTAGAATTGTTGTTTTGCACTGATATATTTTGTTTTATCATTTAATCTATGCAATACTTTTTTACAGGTGTAATATTTGCATTGAAGGTGCTAACAACACATTACTCACCTCCAGGGCTCCACTATGCACTGGGATTCATACCTGTGCCATCTAAATATATTTATTGGGTGGAGTTAGGCATCATACAGCTTATTTACCCAAACGCTTCATTTACAGGTAACAGTTAATGTTAATTAAAATACTGTGTAAATTATTATGTAAAATGGTTGAATGTGATTTGAAACCAGGTGGAATACCTTCCCATATATCTACATCCGGGCTATATTGCCCCAGCTTTGCTGTCCTCTAGTCTTATTATCCCCCGCCGATGGAATCGGGAGGGGGATATTGTTTTGGCATTATCTGTCCTTCTGTCTGTCTGTCCATCTGTCCGTCAGAAATTCGTTTCCGCACTAGTTCTCTGCAACTACTGGCTGGAATTCTCTGCAACTACTGGCTGGAATTCAATGAAACTTAATGGGAAACATCAATATCAAGAGAGATGTGCATATCATCACCTTGTTCCGGTCAGACACTTTAACTCAGAGTTATGGCCCTTGATTAGTTATGAAGTATGCATATAGAACAATAATCGTTTCCAGCTACTTCTCTGCAACTACTAGCTGGAATTCAATGACACTTTATGGGAACCTTTAATACCAAGAGGAGATGCGCATATCGTCGCCTTTTTCCGGTCAGACACTTTAACTCAGAGTTATGGCCCTTAATTAGTAAGTTATGCAGTATGCATATAGAACATTTATCATTTCCACGCTACTTCCATGCAAATTCTGGCTAGAATTCAACGAAACTTTATGGGAACCTTCAATACCAAGAGGAGATGGGCATATCATTGCCTTGTTCCAGTCAGACACTTTAACTCATAGTTATGGCCTTTGATTAGGTATGTAGTATGCATATAGAGCAATAATTGTTTCTGCACTACTCCTCTGCAACTACTGGCTTGAATTCAATGAAACTTTATGTGAACCATTAATACCAAAAGGAGATGTGCATAATGTTGCCTTGTTGAAGTTGTTCAGACCAGACCCTTCATCACGGAGTTATGGCCCTTGATTAGTTATGTAGTATGCATATAGAGAAATATTGCTATTTCTTTGCAATTGCTGTATTGATTTCAACAAAACTTTATGGCAACCATGGATACAAAAAGGCAATTTACATCTCATTGGCATGTCCAGATATTACTATTTAACACTGAGTTATGGCTCTGTTATTGCCCTGAATATTTATCATGTACAAAGAATATTAATGTTTATGCCATGATAAATATATAAATAAAGCCTTATGTCTCCAGTTGTTGTGTTAGTAATAACCAGTACCAGTATATAAATTCAACGAATTTGCTTGTTTTACTTTTAATAATATTTTGATATGAGTAAATTAGAAATGTTGCCTCAAAAAAAAAAAAATGTCATGATTGTGTCCAAACAATAAATAGTTTTTGAATAAACCTATAGCACCCATGGCAAGAGTAACAACCATTTTATGTTTGTATGATTTTAAAGGGTCAGACGCAGGCAAAATTTTCATTTCTTTGTTTTGAATTTTTCATTCATTATTCTGTAAGTGTCCTCAAAATAAATACACTAGGCAGTCACAGGAGCAAAACTTTTCTTCTCATAATAATAAAATGTTGGTTTCCTTACTTCACCTGCCTGGGTCAGGTAAGATCGGTAAAATTTCACAAAAGTTGTCACAGTGTACTTTGGAAGCATTAATGAACATTTCTTAGACAGGTTTCAATCAGGGTTTGTTCAAGTCACATTGCTTGTTTTAAAACTACTAGGTGATTCTGTCGGCGTCTAAACTTCGTTCAACATATGTAAATACTTTTATGCTTCAAACCCAAAATATATAGAATTTATACAATATTTTCATGCTTGGATTTTAAGAAAATACCGTTCTAGCTTGATTTGAGTACATAAGACCATTTTAATATTTTTGTCATTAATTTGCCTGAGTATCCCTTTAAAGCATAAAAAGATGCAAAATAAAACATATGATTTTTTGTGGATTGTGAAATTCTTTTATGTATGTGAAGAAAAATCAAATGTACCGATTATTGCACCTCTATTGTATAAGTTTTTGACAAAGGTTAATCTAATATTTAAATGTTTTATTGGGAATTTATCATGGAAGGTAGTGATCATGTTGATATGAAAAACATCATATTAAAGAAACTGGTTCTGTGATATAGATTTGTGGCATGCAGGTTAGAATGCAACTGTTGGCATTGTCTTAATTTCATACATGACTGTAAGTTTAAATCTGGTGACTAGAGTCTTTGGCTTCATCATGTGAGGAAGCTATCCAGATAGCTTGCAGAAGTTTATTGGTTCTACTTGTTTGCTTGCATGTGCCTAAAATAATACACATGGGGACACCTTAGGTCTTCTTACACCAGAAAAGTGAGGGAGATGTCATAATATTATGATGTTTACATTGACTATGTGACATAGAATCCTACCAAATAAAATATATTGTTTTTTGTTTTAACATTTCAGGTCATTTAGCAGGTATTCTTGTTGGTATGCTGTACATAAAAGGTCCTCTCAAATTTATAATGGATAGTTTCTGGCCACCAGGTATGTTTCTTACTGTAGTTTAATTTCTGTTTGTGTACACAGGTGCCTGACGTCTAACACACACTCGCTACCCTACCCTTATATATATATAATAAACATTTATTATAGTTATAAGAAGGTATAAAGAGTTTATTAGAGGTCAGGCACCTGTGTTTGTGCATATGATATAGACAGAGTAAATTATTTAACTTATTAAATGCACTTAATTTAATACAAAATACAAAGTCTCAGAATACTACTACATAATATTCTGTACATGTATGTATTTCACTGACAGCACCAAATAATCAAGTTCCTAAATGATTTGTTTCAGAAAAGTGAAACTAAATGAAATATTTATTGTACATGCATATTGATGGTACTTAAATGTTAAAAGTAGACCTGTTTACTTGATATTGTGTCTGTCTGTATCAATTGTTGTAAAGGACTATTGAATTTTAAATGTACAGTCAAATGTGTATTAAGCGACCTTGCAAGGGAAACACCAAAAATGGTCACTTAATGAAACGGTCTCTTTAGACAAAGCATGATTAAAAGTCAAATTTTGTACATTTTTAGCTCGACTTTTCTATGAAAAGGGGAGCTATCCTACTCGCCCCGGCGTCGGCGTCGGCGTTGGCGTCACACCTTGGTTAAGTTTTTCGTACCACCCCACTTTATTTCAGAAGTATTACAAGTATGGCTTTGAAACTTACCATACTTGTTCACCATCATAACCTCCATCTACAGACAAGAGTACATAACTCTGTCAAGGTTTTTGACAGAATTATGGCCCTTTTTTGACTTAGAAAGTGTATTGAGCTTGGTTAAGTTTTTTGTACCACCTCACTTTATTTCAAAACCATTGGAGGTATTGCTTTGAAACTGACCATACTTGTTTACCATCACGACCTTCATCAACAGACAAGAGGACATAACTCTGTCAAGGTTTTTTGACAGAATTATGCCCCTTTTTGACTTAGAAAATACATTGAATATGGGTAAAATCCACTTATTGCCTTAACCCTTTGAGATATTGCTTTGAAACTTTTAATGCTATTTTCACATCATTACCCCATCTGTACGCAAGAGAAGGTAACTCTGTCAAGGATTTTGTTTTAAAAATTAAGGCCTTTTATCGACTTAGAATCTTGGTTAAGTTTTTTAGTACCAGTCCACTTTTTGACTGAACTGTTTGAGATATTAATTTGAAAGTTGGAATACTTGTTTACAATCATGATTCCCAAACATGTCCAGGAGAAGGTAATTCTGTCAAAGATTTTATTTGAATTATGGCCCTTAACTGTCAATGTTTTGTATTATAGGCAAGCACTAAAAAACTTAAAAAATCTAAAAAAATTCATTCCTATCCATTGTTCACTTTACCATAAATTATGTCATAATAAAATAATTCTTCACTAAATATCTTAATGCTCATGGCCATTGTTCACTTTAAAAATACAGAGATTCTTGTATTGCCTTTTACTGCAAAAACTTTTTTTATTGGCAAGCAATAAAAAAGTCGAGCGCGCTGTCTTACGGACAGCTCTTGTATATTTCTTTTGTGGGCGGAATGTTTTTAATCTTCATTTATATAAATGTTTAATAATTAGAATGCTCCAATAATCTAGATGGATGCTTATATAAAAAATAACTATCTGATGTTTATTGACAAAATTGTTTTTATTCATTATACGTACACATTTGACATTTTTCCAGAGTTTTTAAACTTCTTCGTTGCTTTTCCTTGCCTCCAACACGAAGACCCTTATAAATGAAGATGTTTTCAGATGTGCATTTTTTATTTGAAATCAATTGTATGCTAATCAAGTTCAAGGTCAATTCAAAGCAGTCTAAATATCAACAGCGAAGTGTATACACCATCTCAGTAGCATTGTTTTATAGATATTATTGGATAATACAATTCATGCGTATACTTAACTTCATTTACATACACTAAAAATGGTTTGGGAAAGAGTTTTTCACACATTTCTATTTTGATTGTTGACACTTGTGACATCACAAGGCGGCGTTCTCTTGTAAACGGTGTACGGACATAATCCCCTTTGGACAAAATCCCCTTCATGTATTTTTGTATATCTGGACATAATCCCCTCCATGGGTGGACATAATCCCCTTCATGTGTGAAATTCTGAAGTGGACAAAATCCCCTTCATAAAATTGCTACCTCGGACAAAATCCCCCTCGGAGGAATTTTTGGTTTATAAAGTGGGTATGATAGCGACATACTGCATTATGCTGTGTGTGTGGTAAATATCTTAATGTATAAAAAAGTAGAAATATTTCAGCAGAAAAGCACATTCAATTAGCACATTTTAATCACATTAAAATTGCTGTATTAAAGCATTCATAACAATCAATCAGGTAGTGCAGTGATCTTGGTTTGATTAAAATTTAATTATCACTCTTTCATCAATAGAAATTGTAGCAATGGATAGTATATATCAATTAGAATTATCAACTTATACAATCAATGAAACAATTATTGGCTAATAAAAATGTTTTTCATACTTATCAATTTAAAACAATTAAAGAAATTGCCTAATCAAAAATGTGTTATGCAGTTGATAATTTACCATAATTTTAATGAAAACATATAAACTAAATAAAGGTTAACTATTGATACATAATGATAAATAAAAAAACAAAAGTTCATTATTCATCAATTTTTAGGGAGTATAATAATACATTATTCATCAATTTTTATGGAGCGTAATAATACATTAGAAACCTATGAAACAAGGGGATTTTGTCTGGGTAGTGAAGGGGATTTTGTCCGGCCTTGCAAAAGATTGAAGGGGATTATGTCCACCCATGAAGGGGATTTTGTCCGGGTAGGCGAAGGGGATTTTGTCCGAAGGGGATTATGTCTGACATTCCTTGTAAACACTTGACAGGTAAAAGTGGTCGTTAAATGAAAAGATTGATCTCAATTAGCTGACTAATAAGCGGTCCCCGGTTGCATTGAACAAAAGTTGCTTAATACATTAAAGATAAAGAGAAAATGATCGGGGGAATTTAATGTGGTCGCATGAGACAAAAGTTGCCTAACACACGTGGTCGCATGGGCAAGTTAGACTGTATTAATTTTATAATGTGCTGTTAATGATCCACTCATCTAAGGACTTTAAGTTTCCGTTTATGTAATAATTGTTTATAATAGTTTAAGTTTTACTTACTTCCTGATGGTTTTACAATTACCTAGTTAATTCAGTTAATTTTTGTGGTCATATAATTCATATACATGTATAAGTTATAATTTGGCTATTGATGTTAGATGCTCACATTTGAAGGAGTTATTCAGTTGGGAAGCAGAAGGCCAATGCATCTTTTCATGTGTCCTGGCGCATATTGTCTGGGTTTTGTGATTGAATAATTTTTATTTAATTATGGCCCTTTGTTTTTTTTCCTTATACACAATATAATTATAGTGAACACTTCCTCTGTGGCAATTCCTTCTTCATTATTCATGTTTTACATTGCACATAGTTACATTGTTTGCTTGTATTTCAAATACAACATATTTATCTCTAATGGTGATAATTAAAAACCTGGTTTCATGGCATTGCCATGTTTCTTGTTTCCCCTGTTTTGAAGAGCCATTGTTTTCCATTTTGTTTCCCCTGTTTTGAAGAGCCATTATCATCCATTTTGTTTCCCCTGTTTTGTAGAGCCATCATACAGATATACAGCAGGGAATACAGGGTACCAGAGACCTATTACTAGAGGATATACTACAGGTATGTAATCTTTTAAGGCATAATTCTCTACTTGTTATTCATACTTTGGTTTAAAACCCTCGTATTATATGTTGCTTGAAAGCCATCATATGATAATACTGGGCAGAGTAGGGTAGGAAGGTGATAAGCAAGTTTTTTGTGGTTTTTTTGTTTGTTTTTTTAAATAAAATTGTTAAATTGTTCACCTTAAAAGTGTTAAATTTTGTACAAATAACACTTTAGTCATTATAATAAAATCCAGTAATTTGTGCTAAAACCTTCATCGAGAGAGAGCTGTTTTGATGACATTATATATGATGTCAATGTTACAGTTTTTGCACAATCTCCTGTTCAGCAGGCTGATTATCTGATTATGAGTTTTGTATTTTGATCCCAGGCCGCAAACCCAAAATTGATCAAGTGACACTAATAATTTGTTAAAATCATGGGCAGTTTTGTAACTATACATGTACATTGTATATAGTAACAAGTGTATTAAACTTGGTATATAACAGTCAAATGTACATTGGTTTAAAACTGTCGTATATACTTAGGTTTAATTAAAAACCATCATAATTATATACATTGGTTTAAAACTGTCATATATACATTGGTATAAAACCTTTATAATATTATATACATTGTAACCTAATTCATATACATTGTATATGCTTTTACTGTTATTGAGAACCTTGTTTATGTTCTAAATTCACTTTTTAATGTTCACTTTATTAAAATACTCTTAATTGAATCCACCTTATTTAAATCCACCTTATTTAATTCACTTCCTATATTTGACTGCATTATATTTACCTTTATAATTAAATGATTCAAATTTGCATCAGTTTTGAGTTGCATACTTATTTATGCATACAGTCTTAATAGTTTAATTAGAGAAATATTTGAGGGGCATCCGTGGCCGAGTGGTTAAGGTTGTTGACTTCAAACCACTAGCCCCTCACCGCTGTGGGTTCGAATCCCGGTTTCTCTCTAATTTATATGCATCATGTTACATGTTTCATGTTACATGTTATCTTAAGGTGGGAGACAGGCAGAATATCGTGCTAATTACAATGATAACAGACAAAACGATGACGGGAACCAGGCATATGACGAATACACTGGTGGTCTAAGTGAGGAAGAACAGATAAGACGGGCAACAGAAGAAAGCCGTCACAATAACAGAGGTAGTATTCAAAGTTTACATGATGATTGACTTTCTTATTTAAACATTGGTCATTTGTACAGAATAAAAAGTGAAAAGTACATTTTTTAATGGTACATAGAGGTTTTGCATGAAGGATTGAAATATATTTTACTGAGTAAACACCAGATGCAATATATTCACTAGTGGCATAGCCAGGAGTGAAAATAGAATGGCTGGTGTTCAGGAATGAAATATATTTCAACCTTATATGTTAAACAAATAAATTTTCTTTTTATTTCATGCTTTTTAAGTAGTTTTAAGTATTTTTTACTGATTTTGCAGCGTAACGTTGCACATTCTCCTTTGTGACGTCATCCCAATATGGCGCCACATCATCAATTTTGAAATATAGTTCTGTTAAATTTCTCTAATTTGGTTACATTTGATGACATTGACTTTCTTTTCCTAAAGAAGCAAAATTTACATATGACGGCATTTATTTCTGCCTGGTGTTCCATTTAGTTATGATTTTCTTTTCATCTGCATTCAGATATAGTCTGGCTACAGTGAAAATTATATTTTATAAATTTCACTAGTGGTTTATCAGATTATAATCATCTGATGTATTACAGTAAAACACTGGAAAGCATGAAATAAAACCTAATCTGTAACAAAAAGCTATAGTATAACAGCCTTTTAGATCTGCACAGCAAATTCACTTACATTGATTTAAAACCTTGTGGTTATATATTGATAAAAACCAAGTGCTTAAGGATGCTAACTGCAAATTACCTGCCCCAGCTGCTGGTGATTCGAATCCCAACAGTGAGTTTTGATTGAAAAAATGGCAAAACAATTGTTAAAAGGAACTCCACTGAGGTCCAAAAGCTTAAAACATAAAATTTGATTTTACAATACATTGATTAAATTCAACTCTTAAAACAGAAAGATATGCTAAAGATCATTAAGAAAATATACTCTGAAATAAATATTCTGGCAAAACAGAGTGAGTAAATTATCTGAAATTTTGCCCAATAGTTATTGATTTAGATCTTCATTAAATGAAACATTATCTTGAAAAAATTTATAGTCACATCATGTCCAAAAAAAACCCTCAGTAAAGTCCTTTAGAATAATCAATTATCTTACATAAATGCATTTAAGAAATAATGTTATTTCGGAGTGAATTGCGTAGAATTCAGGTTCGCGATTGATCACAATTGCGCGAAACGCCTTGCAGTTGTTTATTGCATGCATAATATATAATTCATTAATTTAATTTATCTTAATTTTCAAGAAAATTTATTTTAAATCTATTTCATTCAACAGCGTAGAAGTAAAAAATTGAACAAAAGTGAACTTATCGTGCATAAAAGAGACTTTACCCTGCAATTATTTAGGGTAAATCTGGAACCGTCTGATCGAAGCATTCACATTTTATTATGCATTTTTGAAATATTTCGTGTAATAATGAAACTTGAAATGCCTAATCTTTTAACATTGCGATATAGTGGAAAGTGTTTAGAAATTTGTGATATAACCGTTGCATTAATACAATAATGCAAGAAAAATTAATATCTATTTCCATTCTAACAAGCAGATAGTAAAGAGAATTGACAAAAATGTTGAACTTCATTGAGCATAAAAGAACTTTTACTGAATTATTTACGTCATATCTGACGTCATGACTCGAAGCATTCCATTTTTTATGCTGTGCATATTTCGTGTAATAATGCACTTGAATGCCCTATCTGTTTGATAGGGGAATAGTGTGAAGTGTGTTAGAATGTGTGTCATAACATTTGATAATTAACATGAGTAATGTAAGTATTAGGTTACAATTATTTATTACATATTAAAAAACAAGCAGTATCATGTGGTAAAGATATAACTCTATGTTATTTAGATCCAAACAATGGACAGCAGAGACTGTATCCTGATTTAGATGAATTACGAAGAAGACGGGCAGATCGATACACGTGAAAGAACTTGAGACATTACGGAGTACTTTCTTTAATTATGAACATTCATCAATACACGTGAAATAGAAGAACTGGAGACATTACAAACTACTTTCTTTAATTATGAATATTCATTGATACACGTGAAATAGAAACTGGAGACATAACAGACTACTTTCTTTAATTATGAATATTCATCGATACACGTGAAATAGAAACTGGAGACATTACAGACTACTTCTTTAATTATGAATATTCATAAAGGCCAAGTGCAAAACTGTGATATTGTGGTGTATGTCTTGGCATGGGCAATGGTGATCAGCTTATATTGTCACCTTAGTGCAGAAATGGGTTAAGTCCTCCTAAATCTAAAATGATTTAACCAGTTATTGCACTTAGGTGACAATGTGATCATTATGAGGGAAAAGTATTGTAGAAATATGAAGATAGTGGTCATTGATACTTTGATTAAGAGAAAAGTTGGTTGATGGCTATCTTTATTTGACATTGCAAAATAGTGCTTATTTGTATTATAAATTGTTTCTTTAATTATGAAAAAACATAAAGTTTAAGGATTATCTCTTTTGTTCGTTTTCATTAAGGACATAATATTGTATTCATTGATTTTTAATAACTTTTGACTTACTTCGACATTTGTAAAAATTTTGTTAATTAATTATATCCCACTTTGAAGAAATAGGGGCACATAATTGCTTTAACCTTGTTGGTCCATCCATCCATCCATCTCTGGCTAACTATTTGTTGACCTCTGTCAGCTGATCAAAGGTCAAGGTCACTATTCACAAAAAAAGCCAAATCATTTACTGTAGAATGGATGAAGATGACGGCAATTGATTATGAGGTCAGTAGGTCAAGGTCACTGTCCCAAAAGCTTGCTTGACCCAAACTAAAGAAAAATGCCTTCATATTTGTTAAGGAGACTGGTCATGACTAACAGATGATCCCTATAGGTTAAAGTCAATTGCTCAAAGATGGAGTTTACTGTGACCTTGAGCACAAAAGGTTTCTCTTTCTATCTTTATGTGGTACAGCACCTCAATAGATAATGTTTGTCTCACCAAGATGTGCAGGGAAGCAATAGTTGAAAATTGTAATAACATGTGTTTTAAATATAGAATCAGAAAAGCCTGAAGGCTTTTACATTTGTATGCACTAATACTGCCCATAGCAAATTTAGTTTCGTTGGGAAGTGAGAGAAAAATCAAATTTAAGATTGAGGAAAATGAAAATAAAATATTGAGGTCAAAGTATTAAATCTAAGGATTGACAAGTATTAAATCTAAGGATTGCTGGCCGTGTAGATTCAGACCCAATCAGGGGCGAGTTGTTGTTTCAGTGATCAAGCTACACTTATTGCTTAGTACCGGTTGTAAGCTGGTTTATTCCAGGAAAGGATTAAAGAGAGTTCTAATTAGCTTATAGCTTCCAACAAAATTCAATTATTATAAATTCAGTATAAACTAATCCAAAGTATTTATCTCTTTTATGAATTTAAAAATCATGTCAGAAGTTTGCAAATAATTATATATTTAATAAGAAGCCAGGTACATTAACAATTTATGCTCTCAAATTTAAAAGAATAAATCTTTTTAAGTCAATACGTTCAAATAGGTCTACATAAGTACAATTAATTTTCAAAAAATATTGATAAATCTTGAAAAATGAACTGATTTACTGGCCGAATTTTTAATATAGGACAAACAGAAAAGCTAGAAATTGATAACGGGAAAGTGTCACATTATATAGGGAAGGTATTTTACAACAACACTCGTAGATGTAATAAATTTTAATTTACGGCATACTTAACAAAGGATAGTTATTTACATGGCATTTTCATTTTATCAATAAAATTTTATTTTAACTGATATTTAACTGATAATCCATTTGAAAACATATTGTTTATAACATAAAATCTTCATAAAATGTATGTTATAGAAATGTAAACAAATAATGGTCCCTTTCCTATGTTGCAGCTTAACATATTTACAGTTTTCTGACATACAAAATACACATCAAATACTAGACTTCTATGTTATATTATCATGACCTGTATGACATTTAAGTATATATAACCTTGACCTTTGTGACATGTAAGTTAATATAACCTTGACCTCTATGACATGTAATTAAAAGTTCTGCTCATAAACTCTAGTTTTTTTACATTTACCTATTTATCATAAAAATCAAGCTTTGTGTCGTTTATACCAGAATATTCTCTTGTAAACTCGAACTTTGTCGTAGAAAAACACTACCTTTGCACCATCATGAAACTTTGTATTACAAATATTTTGAGATGTAAACATTGCTACCTCAGTGTCCTCATTGTACTTGTATTTTTGACCTGTAAACTTGACATTATTAAACTCGATGAATAAAACAATACAATATTATCTCGTTCAATAAATTCAGTATCGTCTATCTCGAGTACCAATGTTACAGTAATCTAAACATTGTTAACATTTTTCGAAGGAGATAACTACATTATACATGTTACAAATATTCAAGATATATAGCTATAAAAACTTATCGATATCAAGTGAACTTTTAGAAATGTAATATTTAAAAGTTTGCCGTCAAATTTTTAAGTTGAAAATACGGGTGTGTCCTATTTAAAGTGAATAACATGCGCTTGTCTTATGATCAATAAAACCTGACCCAGTGTGACAAAATAAAAAAAATAAATGAACATTGCTGGAAAGATGCCAATAAATAAAACAAATATCACGATTTTTCCCATTTCTGATTTTCGAAAAAAGCTCAATCAATATATGGACAAAAGTTTGTTGAGATATATTTCCTTATCGACAATAATCTTTAATAATATTGGATGGTGTCCAGAAATGCATGCACAGTTTTCGTTTTCAGGAAATGAATATTAATAGCTTCAAGTACATGATAATAATGTGTAAGATACATGTACACGAAACTTTTACGACCAGCTTATTTACTGAAGATATAGCCTTATATATGAAGATATATGTGAAAAAACATCAAAAATTCAAAAACAAAATGAAAATAGTTTTATTAAATCCTATGTATTCCTTTATGATATATATGATTATGAAGGATTCAAAAAAGATAGACATGTCGTCTGCATCAAATGGGAGATTATTAAAGGAACTCCACTGAAATCCAAAAGTCTAAAAAATCATAATTCCTTACCCAGATCAACTGAGGCACACTTAAAACAGAAAAATATGCAAAACAATAATGAAAAAAAATCTACTAAAAACCGATTTTTGTGCTATTCTTAGCCCGATTTAAGTGAAGTGTTGCATCAATTCAGTTGTCGGTTATTTTAAACAATTAAAATAACTATTTTAGAAAATCATTGAAAGCGAATGATCTGAAATTTAGCACACAAGTGAATGGTCTAGAGGAACGAAAATCTCCAAAAAAAATTTTCCAGTCCCTGCATGTCAAAAACCTCAGTTAAAAACCCTTTAACTTACAAAAATATTATCACATCAATATAATGTTAATATATCTTCCTCGCTAATATTGTCTGTACACTACACTCATTTCCGTAATAATAACTTTTAGTTGAAGTGACTTACAAAATAAAATAGAATAATAAAACAATGTTTTAACACAATGGCTAGTTCATTTTTAGTGCTTGTATAAAATATCGATTACTTTTACGTGACTGTACATTGTATCATGGTAAAAAAAACTCATGGCCAATATATCTCAATGATGTACTTAAATAGCATTTTCTCTTATAAACAGTTCATTAATTTCAAGTAAAAAAGAAACATGTAAAATTGTATGTGTAATTCTAAACAATTAATGCATTAGTGTGCAAAAATTACACGTGCAAAAGTGTATCCAATTAAATATGAGAGTAATCAAAAGAAATTGTCAAAATTAAACAAAATAAATATAATACATGTATTAAAACTTGTTTTGATATGCTCTATATTTTTATCATTAATAACAATGAAAAATAATCTAAAATATCCCGGTGGCATAAATGATTGTACATATAATATATAAAACATACTTAAATTGTATTAAATACCTGTACAAAAATACAAAAGAAGATCGGCCGGTTGTGACCAAATCTTATTTAGTGCTTTAAACAATTATAGAAAAATATACACACTAAAGAAACCAATAAAAGTTTATTAATAATCAATATAAAGGTATATATGCTTTAAATATTTAGTTTATTTCCTAGTGGATACGTTTTCGTACTTTTCATATTAGCTGGATTGATATCACTGCCTTCCATACTTTCCGCCTCTCTTCTTGGTATACCTTGATAATCAAAAAATCACAATTCAATTAAAAGATGAATTCCAAGAAAAGTAGTGCAGTAACACATTATTTATAGATAAGGATGAAGTAATAGGTAAAGCAAAATAAACATGAGCATTTAAAAGAAAAAAAATGTCATCATTTGCATTCCAGAGATTTAATTTTATTATTATAGATGATGTAATATTAAATACAAAATAATCAAAAAAAAAACATGAAAATATCATTTTACACATACTTATCGTAATGAAAGTGTTTATGTTTAGAGCATGAATCTTCATAACAGAAAAATAATAACCTATTGAAAAATTACATATACTCACTTTCTAATTATCTTCTATTGATTATACATTTCTATTTCAGCACTGAGGCAGCCAATGCTTTTATTAACATTGCTATCTAGTTCATCCGTATATAGTGTAGATCCCAACAAGACTGTCTCAATTGCTATGAAATTTTCTCGTATCTTTGCAGCCACGGACATGGGGATAGCTGACATATCTATTTTCAGAAATTTCAGATACGTCTTCCCTCTTCGTATTTCTCTATCGATGTCTTCATTTTCTTGATCAGTCAGGACACTTCTAGGTTGAACAACGATCGTAATAAGTTTATGTAGAAACGAGACAAAATTGTTGCCCTTTTCTGAGTCACGCAAGTCATGTTCCGTGTCGTTAATGCGCTGTATTAGATTACTGACGTTGATGCAAATTTTCCACTGCTTTTCTATAGTCAGAAGTTGCCTTTCTGTGATTAGTACCCCTGTTAAAGAATCTAATCTTTTTCCTAATTCTTTTTTACAAAAAAGCTTGTAGAAATGAGAAGTGTATTTCGTTCTTGCAACGTCTTCGCTTATAGTGCCTTGCTTTATTTCTGCATATATTCTAGAATCAGATTCACTCTCTTCTGGAATATCAGTTATACTGCCTGAAAGTCTATACCGCAAATGAAGGTTTCCTATGGCAATTTTCTTAGAACTCTCAATAGTACTCAAAAACGTTTTGATGATGTTGCCATACCGCAAGCAGTGTTTAATGATCGTAGTACATTTTGGACAACGTATTTCTTTTGATTTTGTCTGTTTCTTCACCATAGTATCCATTGCCTGGTATTCAATTAAATGACCACATTGTTCGAGTAAAACATAATGAGCATTTTGTTTTTGTTTTTTACCAAATGTCATAGCCTTAAACTTTATATAGTTACAATGTCTACAAATGCTTGGACATGGCTCTCCACAAAGACCGATACATTTATGATTACACTTTAAATTTTTTCCGCATGGAAAATTGCAAGCATTTCTATTGCATATTTCTCCACATCGTCTAGTGCAACGTTTATGGATACATTTCCAAGAACAGGGCAACATACAGGGCGTACACACCTCTCCACACTTTTTCCTGCATTTTTTGTGACTACATCTGTTTTCACATGGCTCAGAACATAGTGGGTTATGCTGACAAAGTGCTGACGACTTGTGACCACAAGGATGTGTGACAGAACATCCATGCCTGCATTGCTGATGCATTCTACCATTAAAGCAAGAAGCACATGTACCACTACATGTATGTTTACACTTCAGCTGTAAGCCACAGGGTTGTGGACATGCCTTTGTTTTAGTTTCCAAACATTTAATTTCATAGCTATGTCCACAAGGCCATATGAATTGTACTTTTTCATGGCATTCAGTGGTATGTTCCTCTCCACATTTTTCCTTGCACATATGACTGCATTCTAAAAATTTACTACAGGTTTCTTGACAACAATAATCTTCAGGTTTTGTGGCACATGGTACAAGCTGTGTATGACCACATTCTGGAATAATTTTTGTCACCAAAACTTGGCAAGGAGAACACTCAATGAAACATTTGTCTGGGCACTTGTGTCCTAAGTCACATAATATTTTGGTGCAAGGTTTCTTGCACTTAATTTCATTATGTTCCTTATCGATGACATGGCAGTAAAGGACACATTTGTGACCGCATTTTAAACGAGTGTCGCACTTTTTAAAGCAACCTCCCTCCGGAGCTTTCTGGAAATCTTCGGCTTTTATTGCCACAATAGGATCATCATTAGGATGATTTTGACAATACAAGACAAGACCTTCTCCGAAATGGTTCTTGTTTTTCATATCTACAGTGATTCTCTCCCACAATGATGAATGTGATGACAGATGATCAAAGTTTGCGATGATAAATAACCCAACTTTTGCTCGGGAAAGTGCAACACATATTCGATTTTCGGTTTTAAGAAACCCAATTTTTGCATTTTTATTGCTGCGGACCAATGAAAGTATTACTATTTGGTTTTCTTCGCCTTGGTAATTATCAACTACAGTTACATGAACGCCGTCAAATTCTTCCTCAGACATTAAGTTGCGAAAGTACATAAGCTGTCCTGAGTATGTTGTTAGAATAGTGATTTCATCTTTTTTATAACCCTGCAGCAATAAGTATCTACATAAAGCAACTGCGTACTCAGCTTCCTTTGGATTGGAATAACTTTTAATTTCATTGCTGCATATTTCCATATGCGAATGATTGACAAGAAATAGATTTGTCGAAACACCTTTCACATTTGGATAGGATCTGACATGTTCATGATCCTTAAGGTCTGGATAAATATGTCTCATGATGCTGGATATTTCTGGTCTCATTCTGTGTTGAAGTTCGAGACAGTTGAATTCTATACCATTTTTAACCATTCGTTCAAACAGCGAAATATCGAAATTGTACTTTACAACTAATTCATAAACAGTGGGGTTTGGTCTAAGTTGCTTGTGATCCCCAATGAGAATCAAATGTTCACATTTGTTGCTCAGAGTAGTTATGATGTGCGCTTCCAACACTTCTGCCGCTTCTTCTACAACTATAATTTTTGGACCAATTTCTCGGAGAACTGACTGGTATCTTGCTGCTCCTGAGGTTGTCATACCAATGACAACAGCCTTTTGCATAATTGCCTTGTCAACTTGTTGTAATGCATCACGATAACTTTCAGATGTTGCCTCAAAGTTTGCTTTTTCCTCCTCAATTTTCTCATACAATGCTGTGCATTTCTTCTTAATCCATAACCGATATAACCTCCACTTTGTCTTGTGGTTAAGTCGCCAAACGTTTTGTATAGTGTCGGCCTCTTCCTGGCTCATGACATCTTCGTCCGTAATTTTTGCCATCAAAGTTGTCTTAAATGTTTTATTAAACAATTTATCAAGTTCTTGTTCTTTAGAGGGTTCATTTTTCCTACGACGAGTTTTACCTTTGGATTCTTCTACATAAAATGCTATATCGTCATTGCGTATTTTACGAACAATCAATCCTTCAATTGATGAAAAATTTGTATCTGCATCAAAATCTAACATTCTTTCTTGCAAAGTGCGTGCTATTTCATCTTCCACTCTTACATGTTTTACTTTACGTACGTTTCGAGCTTTTCTTAATTCCTTTACACATTCTTTTTTCATATATTCGACTCCTAACCATTTTACAATGTATGAAAAATTGGCCTGTTTAACATTACCTTTGAAGTCAGCTTTTAAACTTTTAAATAATCGATCCCCTATTTCTTTAGAGAGAGTGTCCTCGTTCACAATTTCGGACTGAAAAAGTTGAATTCTTTTAGCCAGGTTCTGGACACATCGTGATTGGGCGTCCATGTTCCGACGTGACACTCTTTTGTTAAATTGTAGAGTGGCAAGCGAAGAGTTCTTTTTAAACTTTATTTGTCTGTACTCTTTTAAGTTGTACTCTTCAAGATCTGCACTATTACTTCTTCCACCTACACGTAAGATATCGCCTTTGTAGAATTTAAGGATACCTTCAAGAAACTGGTCAAGAGCATGGTTTGTGTAACATACAATCAACATTGGTTTTATACTCTGTCCAGTTTCTGTCCAAACCGATTTGTTATGTAATAGTGTTTTGACAATTTGTAAACCTATATATGTTTTCCCAGTTCCAGGTGGACCTTGTATGATAGCCAATTCTCGAGTAAGAGCTGATTGAACAGCTCTGTATTGCGAGCCATCCATTCGAAGGAGTTCCTTATTAGGCCAGTTTCTTAAACGCGTAAGATGTACTTCTCCTGCTGGGTAAGACTGGAGGGAAAACTCAATATCATTTGATACAGCTAATACTTTGTTTTTAATGAGACGCCTTTTTGCTTTAAGCTTCACATCTTGGTCTACTAGTGGCCTCAAGTCGTACTTATGGTTTTGATTCAAGTACGCTGGATACCCAATCGATTCTTTACAGTTAACGATGTATTTTTCAAAAGGAAGATCCCCGTCTTTGCACGTTTTAAGACTAGAAAGGACATGTCGATATGCCTCAAAATATCCGCTAGTTTCAGCCATTATGAACATTTTTCTGTGAAGTTTCTTCATGTCAATATTCTGTGTTTCGAAATGAACAACAAAATAGCCACGCCGAATATCTTTATCCTCCCTTTCAACAACCGTTGCCAAAAAGAACTCCGTGAAGTCTTTGTCTGTAAGGCAAACCATTGACCCATATATCAAACGCTTACTAAACTTCCATTCAATGTTCCTAAGATTAGGAGTCATTTGAAGTTTCATCTTGTAACAGAGCCCTTGCTGTGTCACGACTGGTGAAAGGACTCTAACATTTTCATAAATTTTCATATCAAGTTCCTTTAGGCGTTCACTTGTAGTTGCTTTGCCTTTATAAGCTGACATGATTTTAATTAACCCGGTTATACCATCCCTCAGCGGACCTACAAAATCTTCTCTTAATAATCTGAAATGAACATCTAGATAATCATGTAGGTTTTCATAGCTGCCAGTTACCTTAACAGGCCTTAGAAATGGTTTCGTTACACTTGTGATTTCGTCAATAGTTGGAGAGGTTGGGTAATGTCGAAAGTCATCAGGGGGTTCTCTCTTTTCTTCTGACTTGAACGTTTGTTTCCTGTCTTTCTCTATAGCCCTCATGTATTCAGACAGACGCTCATATTTTGCATAAACCTCGTCATTACAGCTTCCGATGTTAGCAAGTTCTTCGATAACTTGGCAAATGACCGCTTGCAGCTTTCGAAATGTCCTATAGGAAGACGGATTCCTGGTAAGATGAGCTATTTGTATTATAAGTATATTTTCCAAAATTCTTTGAATGTATGTTCCAGCAGTTTCTTTAGTTTTAATTTGAATTATCACATGCAAAAGACAGTCAATAATTTTGTCGAATAGTCCCTTAGTCTTCAAGTATTCAAAAAGTTGAAGTATTATCTTTAAATCGTGTGTTTCAAAGGCTTTCGATAAAACCTGTAGAAATAAATCAATGGCATTTTCATCTTTTGTCGCCATATCTATGTAGTAATCGAGAAATTGGCGATTATTTAATAGTTCATCTACTATAATGCTTGATTCTTTGTACATCAGATCTTTGAGAAATGCCATCTCTATAACTGCAGGAGTAATATCTGCAGTTTCTGATTGTTTTCTTTGACATGGACCTTTAGCGTAGTTTTGCAGCTGTAAATTACTTTTAGTTTTTAAACGAGCTCCGCCAATTTCGACAGTACTTTGGATCGATGAACTTCCTTGTGACACCGGTTTTGATTTCAAAAAGGCATGCTCATCAATACGTGACTCCTTTTGCCCGTTGAAGAGTGCCTTTTTATCAGACGGTGATATTTTTTGAAAACTAAAGAGCTTTGGACGTTTTTCATTTGTTTGGCTTTTAAATGTATTTTTGTTGCTGTTCTGTTTTTCATCTCTCTCTGAAAAATTGTCGATTTTTGCATTTGGTGAAAAATGTTTATTGTGACCAGTGAAGTCATCAAAGTCTGTTGGCATTCCATTTTTCTTGTAATTCTTGTCTGCGCTGCTTTCTGACCTGTTAAGTATAATTTAATTTGAATGCAAAATCTACTTTTTTATATATATATTTCTTATCATTTGAATTGATAATGATTCATGGGTCTCAATTCTAACTGAAACAAACACTTTTCCCGAAAAATACAAACAATTTGATATGATTATACAAGTAATCAGTTTTCTTTCCCTAATCCTTAAACTGTGCATACATCTGCTCAGTTGCCTAATTATACTTTATAATGTGAATCTTAACATATTTGAATAAACACAAAATGTGGTTAATTATATTTTCACTTTCAACTTTTGCTCTGTAACACAAAAAAGTAAAAGATTTTTGCTGAAGAAATTGCACGCTTACAAAAAATTATGAATTTTAACAATTTCAATACATCTCTTTAAAATGAAATATATGGCATTCAAAAAAGAATGTAAAATAATCTGTTACCTCTTAGTATTAATGTTCCTCGAGTTTCCATCATCTCGGCATTTATCGACAACCTCGACACTTGACGGTCTTGACGTTGTTTCTGCGGTTTTGTTTGATGCCTCTAAATTGAAAGCTGTAGGTACATCTTTCTTTAGTGACACACTCCTGACTCTACTATGTTGCATCCTATATCCTCTAGTTTAATTTCTTGATTGGATAGGTCAGCATTTTCACCAGAATCTGTCTTTACGATTCTATTTTCTCCTATTAGATTGTTTTGAAATCCTCCAGATTCATTTTCTCCTTTTTCTGGTGTTGATATCTTATGGAGAATTTCATAATTTTCAACTTTTTTAATCACTGTCTTTGGAACTTCATTGCCTCTACGTCCGCTTTCAGCGGCTCTGTCTCTTTCCGGTGATTTGTCTTGACTGTTCTCATCAAAATATGTCTTTGTTTCATGGATCATACACTTCTGAGATGTTTCATTCCGCTTCACGGTTGTTTCTGTTTTCAAATCTGTTTCACTCTTAACCCATGCTTTTCTTTGTAAAAACGACTGTTTGAAGTCTTTTGAAGTTTTGATTTCTGTTTGCATTGAACTATTCTCTAACCTTGTATTCGATCTTTGTTTTTTTAAAGGAAGTTCATTGTTTTTCGAGTTAATCGATAATCCATCTCGTGGAACTTTTATAGTGTCATTTCCTTTTGAAGTGATTTGATTTTCCTTTGTTACAGGCGATTTAGAAATAGACATGCTTTGCTGGAACTGTGCAGGTGAAGGACTGCTTGTGGTCAGATAAGGTGCTTTTTGCGTGTTACATTCACCCGCCAGTTTTGATGTATCCACATCGCTTGTCTTATTAGTCAAGAGATGTGACACTGAACTGGGTGTAACACTTTTATCTTTCATCACTGATATCTTCTGCTTGTGAGTAGTTATAGAGGTACGTTCAGTATCATTCAGTTTTGCTTTTGCTCGAATCTTTTGTGTTTCTTTATCGTCAATTTCTTTTATACTCTTCGGTGTAAGACTTGGTGAACAGTTACTTTCTTTTGATATATTCTTTGATGGGTCAGTTTTTGTTTTGGACTTTTCTTTGTCAACAAAAGCTGGTGACGACGATCTCTTAATGTCTGCTTCATTTTTATTTTCCGTTGTATACGACTTTGATTCATGGGTCTTTCTTTGAATCTTATTTCGGCTACCGAAAGCTGTTGGTGTTTCCGAAGTAATGGATTCAGATTTTTTCCATTTCAAGGTTGTCTTTAAATGGTGAGATTGCTGTTCAGATATATCTTTGCTGTTGATCAGTTTTCGACGGTTGCTTGTGTTTTGTTTGAATTTTACCTTTGTTTAAATTTGATTCCGTAGTCTTTATCCCAAATGTATCTTTGCTATCCAGATCTGCAGGTGTAGTTCTTGGTTTAGATATATGTTTTATTTTTAAATTTGAATGATGGCTATCTTGTTGTGATAATTTTGGTGCAGTTTTATCCATTTTCATATAAGATACTGGCCTATGGGTTCGTGTTTCAGGTGTTATAGTCGTGTCAATAGTTGCAGAAGGTTCCGACATATGCAAGTCCGTGTTATCTCCCCTTTCCTTTAACTTTGATTCAATATGCTTAGTTTTAATTCTATCTTTTATATGATTTACTGTAAGGGATGTGTTTGATCCTAGGTTGTCTCTCTTCAAATTTGCGTTTGAATCTTTGAACTTTGATTTAGATATAAGCTTGCTATCAGAATCTATCGATGATCGCACAACAGTCGGTTTAAATTTTTCATCTGTTATACGGGACATTGATAGTTTAGTCTTTGTTTTGGATATATCTTTGCGACTAATTTCTGGCGGCTGGCGCGTAATATTTTGTCCGGATCTTTTTATTTTCACATTTGACATTGGTGTGTGTTTCTTCGATTGTGGCATGTTTTTGGTATCAGAATCTTTTGATGCCTGCTTGGTGGCTTGTTTTGATTTCTTAATCGTCGTCTCATCTTCACTTTCCTTTGGATGTAAATGTTCACTTTTTTCTGGTGTACCTCTCTCAGATGTGTTTTTTAAATCCTTTGTCTTTGAACTCACTACTTTTGATGCTTTTGAAACATCCTCTTTCCTCTTTTCATCTACTGTCATTGATCCTGTAACACCATCTGTTGTCTTAGTGCTTTTTATAACTTTTTTGTCTAGTGAATGGCTTTGGTTAAAAGCGTATTGGTCAGTTTTGTCTTGCTCTACATATGCACAATTATTGAGGACTTTTCCCGTTTCTTCAGCATTTTCATCTTTAGAAACGGACATTTTGTCTATATTTGACAGTTCGTGAAGACAGATGTGCCATAGATGTAAAAAAAAATATCTTATGAACGTGTCTGTTATTTTGTTGCTACGATTCTTTACCTTGAAGAAAACAAAAGTTCACATTTGTTACATGATTTTTAATCAACATTTATTTAAAACAAGCAAGATGCTTCATCTAAGCATCTATCAATTCATAATATTAAATGATATCAGAATACATGTACATGAATTCAAGTAGGATGATATATAGAAATTTACACCGAGGCACGTTTCAAGGGGAATCCTGTGCCATGACTCAACGCGCCACTCCACCCATCGGATTTTCTGTTTGAGCACGTTTTTGTGCTTTTTGAGTCATTTCTCGAAGCATTTTACTGTGAAAACAATATTTCTACCGGTCTTATATTGAACATAAATGTACGTATCATTGGATTTTGTAAGACAGCAAATATTTTACATGTCTTAAATAAAAAAGTTACTATATCATAAAATTTTCCTAAAACGTTTTGAAAGCTGCTCAGATTTAAACCGAAGCATCTGCCTGGTTGTGCCTTTCTGTAGCTACGGCGCTGAGTCAAAGATTAACAAAGGAAAGCCATACAATACTTTGCAAAATCAGCTATTAGATATTTGAACTTTTTATTTAGAATTTGATCATATACGATATGAAAAGTTATTTTTCACGTACTGCAAATTTAGCAATTTTATCAGAAATTTTAGCGAATCTAATTTTAGCAATTTTGTTAATTCTATGTTAAACATATGAAACATGTTTGCTAACAGTATCTCTTAAGTTGTTTTTGTGTTTAAAGATATTCTGTGTTAAATAACCCGGAATATCGAAAATTGGTATATGACACATTGATATCTATAATGCATCGGATGTGCTAGTATAAATAATAACACTTTTTATGAATAAATGTCAATTAATAAACCTTAATAGTAAAAAATGAAAGCTTACACCGGCTTAAAAGAAACTGTTGAAATTCTAATTTAGCCTTTGTATGGTCGGCATAGGTATATATGTAAGCAACCGGCCACGCTATCCGTAGACGGCTGAATTAGGCAGAATTCAACATTCAAACAAACCAAGGTTGTTTAATAAAACCTGAACCTTCAATATGACGCTTTCTTTCTTTATTGCATGCTTGAGCACCTGAAGTCTTTCTCGACCATTAAGGCACGAAACTCGCCATATAACATTTACTGTTTTGCTGCGACGTAAAAACCAACAAACAAACAGACAATTTACTGTCAAGAATAACATATGATGTGTGGACAGTTTACACAATGTCAATTTCTTTAGCACTATAATTTCAGACTCAATTTTTTTATTATTATCCATTGTGTCAAATAGATTTAGAGGTTACTACATATTACAGATATAATACACGCGTAAGAAAAAATGTTACCTCAACAGTGTATTCATATCATAAACACATATTTAAAACTTAGTAAATTATAAACACAACACCAAGTCCTATTCATTTGCATTTCTGTGCTGTAAGTAAATCTTTTATAAACCTTTTTTTTCTGAAAAATGGTTTAACGTTTTGACTTCATTTTCTGAAAACAATTACGCAATTTCTATAAATAAAGTATGTGACTTGTGGTTATCGTTACTATATACAAAATATGAGTCACCTATTTCTTTTATTTTATGGTAATCAATGCTCGTATAGATTGATTTTACTTACGTATTTAAACCTGCTCAACCCAAGGTGGGCGGTATATTTCTATACCTACATTTGTAGAACAGATCGATAAGTCTATATTTCTATATCTAGAACAGATCGATATGTCTATATTTCTATATCTAGAACAGATCGATACATATAGTGGGCTTATTGATACTTCGCCTGCCTGTATGTGAATACATTTGAGCCGCGTCACGACAAAACCAACGTAATGCATTTGCGACCAGCATGCATCCGCGCAGTCTGATCAGGATCCATGCTGTTCGCTTACAAACCCTATTACAAATAAAGAAACTGATAGCGAACATCATGGATCCTGATCAGACTGCGCGGATGCAAACGCATTAAGTTGGTTTTGTCATGACGCGGCTCATTTTACCCATGGTCTATCGAAGTATTGAAAAATGATCTTGCAAATGATTAAATATTTAAAAATTATGAAATTTCACAATAACATTATGATTATATATTTCCTTATCTTGAAATGCTTTATGATACTGTAACCGCATCTGCTAACGCCATTATTATATGGATAACAATACTGCATGTCATGTCTGTAGCGTTTCAATTTTAAATATGAGGAAAAAAAGTATTCAAGTTGTCTAACAGTTCAAGGTCCTTTGTATAAGTTACAAATACTAATTTGCAGTATTGTATTAATTTCACGGACAGTTAACTCCATTTAGAACCTTTTGTTGTAACGTATGTATTTCAAAAGCGTTTTATACAAATCATTGTAACAGACGACAGTTTTACTGCCAAGTTGTGTTATGGCAAGGTTTTAGTTTGCATGTCATTCACACCAAACCTCGACTATGTCATGTTTTCGACTTTTCCGAGTACATGATAAATAGATATTATATTTTACTGTCGCGTACTCTAGTGGAAGTCCTTTAACGTGATTTTGAGGTTTCATTTCATCACAAGAAAATCATCAGCAAAAAAACATAATTATATTTACATTTAAATTCGGAACAGACGTAAACAATGGAAATGTGTCAATACAATGAAACAAGGTTGCAAAACACGTTAACTTATACAATTTAAACCATGAGACATCAATATTTTAATGACCATGAGGCATCGATGTAAAAAGACCATGGGAAATCGATGCTTAGTTAAATTACCATGATATATCGATATCTTAATGACCATGAAACATAGATGTTTAAATGACAATGAGGCATCGAGGTTTACGTGACTATGACAAATCGATGTGTAAACGAGACATCGAGGTATAAATGACCACGAGGAAACGATGTTTAAACCACTATGAGACAGCCATGTTTAAATGAACGTGATACATCGAGGTTAAAATGACCATGGGACATCGATACTTAAATGACTATGAGGCATCGATGTTTAAACGACTATGAAGCATCGTTGTTTAAATAGCCATGAGACGTCGATGTTAAAATGACCATGATACATCGAGGTTAAAATGACCATGGGACATCGATACTTAAATGACTATGAGGCATCGATGTTTAAACAACTATGAAGCATCGATGTTTAAATAACCATGAGACGTCGATGTTTAAATGACCATGAGGCTGCCTCGATGTATAAATGATTATGAGGCATCGATGTTTAATGACTATGAGGCATCGAGGTTTAAATGACCATGAGGAATCAATATTTAAATAACTATGAAACATTGATGTTTAAACGACTTTAAGACATTGATATTTAAATGACTTTAAGACATCGATGTTTAAATGACTTTAAAACATGGATGTTTAAATCACTATGAGGCGTCGATGGTTAAAATATCATCGATGTTGACTAGCTGTGTGACTATTTACATGACATATGTTTTAATGGCCAAATTGGCCATTAGTAATGTGTATTGTATGCGACATAAATGTCCATTTTTATTATATAATAATTGTTCACTCACGTTATTTGCAATAAGTTACATTCAGCAGTATTCAAGTTAAACGTGGTTTACATAGGTTTTCGTTCATGTGTACAAACATGTACATTTCTGATGCATCCTTGTAACGTTACTCGTTGTAGAAAGATCTGATAGTACGGTTTACACATTGTAGATATGTAATCATATTAATGTTCCAATCTCAACAATTTCATTAGTTAAGTCTTTTTTATCACAGCGAGATAGACAAGAATATTTGATAGCTTAAGATAAAACACTTGGCATGCTTGGGGTGTGGAGTTCAAAACGCCTTTAAAAATCCAAATAAAATGTATATTTGTCAATCCCAGCACATGTACTGATCATATATTTATATCAAAAACGTAATATAAGCCGTTTTGAACCACTGATTCCTATGAAGTTTCTGGACTATTTGATGCGGTCACTTGAGAACACAAAATCAACCTACTTACCGGTATATTGATGAAGAACATCCGGATTTGGAATCACGACTGCGATTGAAAAAATTGAAGGTCCGATGACTCGTTAAGGGGTCTGTGAAACTTTATTACTGGTATTGTTCTATGCTTCTCAAATAGGTTAATTAATACGTTTCCTAATGATAATGACTTATTGTTGTAGCAAACTAATGTTTGTAGCATTTTAAGTTCATTCTTTTTTAACTTGTTTTGGTTGGGTGGATGGTTCCAGCATTCCTACTTGAATACATAGGCTTCATTACCTCCGATCCCCTTTTCAAATTTCCTTTTTATTTTATATTACTCATTGTTTTTTAGTTTAGGGCTTTCTTTCACTAGGTGACAATACACTGTTTTTCAGTTCTTCTATGTTTTAAACATTAGACATATAGTCCCTGTCATTATCAGGGCAGAACAGAGTTTTTGCTAGTGGATTTACTTTTTAATGTTTAATATTATAGTTTTGGACAAGAAAAAAACAACCATGAACAATTTAGTAACGATTTGATTATGATTCTCTTAATTAAAAAATTAAAGGGGGGAAAATGTTCCAGTATAAAAATGTATTAAAGTCTATTACGGTTACTTCCCCTTACACATATAATATTTCTTTAGCTCCAGTGTGAGTCTCTTAGTTTAGTAAAGGTATAGAAAACATCACACTCTTGTCTTTATTCATTATAATATTGACAATATGGTTGCCATAATATTGACAATATAATATAGATAAAAAAAAACACATATCGCTGTTGTTATATTTTCTACAATGCTTCGAGATTCGATCATTGATTAAATACTTTATGTGTTGACAAGATAATGCCACTTGTTTCTTCTATACCGGTGCTAGCTAGGGGTCTCATTAAAAACTTAATTGAAAAAGGGCGGCCGCTCCGGAGTATCTTTTTAATTATCAAACTATATTCAACAAGATGCTCTGTAGATAATCAGTTTAAACAGAACAAAAGCCTCCATTTTTGTGAAACGTGCTTAAAAAAGACTGTCGAAACCACTTTCCCCTAACCGCTGTTGGTTCGAATCCCGAAGGGACTTTAATTGCTTTCATGTGAGGCAGCTATCCAGCTAGCTTACGGAACGTCGGTGGTTCTACTTAGGTGCCTTTTGCGTGTCTATAATAATGCATGGAAGGGTACCTGAGGTCTTCCCCTACCAGTACAGCTGGAATGTCACCATATGACCTTCACTGTTTCGGTGTGACGTAAAAACCAAACAAACAAGCAATCAAACAAAGACAGTATCAAGAGGTCTATATCGAAAGGTATACTTCTGAAAGAGGGAAACTATAAGTTATTTAAAACGGGGAAAGTAAATTCCATTTTAAGCGTTAAATATTATTGTGCTGTAGTTCGAAAGACGAACATCATAGTAAAATGGATAAATAGAAAATAATATCACTTTCTTAAACTTTTCTGTTTATTCATAACCTATATTACGTCATAATTATATTTTACTTAATATACATAATAAAGAACGATTTTTAAGTGCATACAAAAAAATAAAGGAACTTCACTTGCGTGCTAATGCCTCAATGAAAACATAAAATTAGAATTTCTAAGGAAGCTTATCTATAGCAATTAAAAACAGGAGAAAAAACATGCAGACATGTAAAATAATTAGCTGAATTAATTGAAGACCGTATGTTTGTGATGTTTAAGCCCGATTTGAATGAAAAATTTAGATCATTTTTCACATTCTGGAAAAGGGAGTGAGCGAATGATCTGAAAATTGGCATACAAATTATTGTTCCAGACTTCCATTAAATAGAACATTTAACCTTGACCTTTGACCCAGTGACCCAAAAATCAATAGGGGTAACTTACTAGTTATGACCAATCAGTATGTGAAATATGAAGACTTTGTGATCAATAGTTTTCAAGATAATCAGCGGAAACCATTCTGATATTTAAAGCCCATGTAACCTTGACCTTTGATCTAGTGACCTCAAAAGCAATACAGATCATCTGTTGGTTATGACCAATCACTATGAAATATGAAGAAATTTGTGATAATTATCTTTCAAGATTATGAGCTGAAATCATACTAAGATTAAAATACCCTGTGACCTTGACCTTTGACCTGGTGACACGAAAATCAATAGAGGTCATCTACTAGTTATGACCAATCAATATGTGATAAAAAGTAACCAAGATAATAAGCATATTACAATTTAAGGCCTCTGTGACCTTGACCTTTGACCTAGTGACCCCAAAATAAATAGGAGTCATCTACTATCTATGACCAATCAATATGTGAAATACGTAGACTTTGTGATGAATACTTTTCAAGATAATCAGCGGAAACCATTCAGACATTGAAGGCCCCTGTGACCTTGACCTTTGACATAGTGACCCTAAAATCAATAGGGGTCATCTAGTAGTAATGACTAATCAATATGTGAAATATGAAGAATTTGTGATATATAGCAATCAAGATAATAAGCAGAAATCATGTTACCAATTAAGGCCCTATGATCTTGACCTTTGACTCCCAAAATCAATAGAGGTCATTTACTAATTATGACCAATCACCATGTGAGATATGACGACTTTGATATGAGAACTGTTCAAGATAATCAGCGGAAACCATTTTGACATTTAAGACTCCTGAGACCTTGACATTTGACCTACTGACCCAAAAATCAATAGAGGCCATCTACTAGTTATGACTTATCATTATGTGAAATATCAAGACTTTGTGATAAATAGTTTTCAAGATTTTTTCTCTCTTTTTTTTCTTTTCTTTTCAAAATATATAAATTGAAATAAATGTTACTTCTACTTAATTGACTCGACCTAACATTGTTCAAAAACAATTATTTTTAAATAAGATAAATTGACATTCAAGCGAAAACAATTTTTATTTATTCATTTATTTATTTATTTATTTATTTATTAGATTCTCGTCAATTTAATCAATTAAAATACACATAAAATCCAATATTAATGCACACTGCCATTCTAAAATTATTATAATAGACTAAAAGTTGAACCACTTACTTACAAATAAACATTAAAAATACCCAAATGTACCTGTATGAAACTGAATATACTGAAGTAAATCAAAATACTAGGGTAATAAGGTACCTTAAATATTCAAAAAAGGAGCTAATATAATAGTCACATTAATAGTCACATTAAATAATACCAGGTTTAGAAGGTACATGTACATGTTAAAACATACAAACAGTTATTTAAAATAAATGTCTGTTTAAAATTATAACATTATAAAGTGTTTGAACAATAAAAATGTGATTAAGTGTCTCTCCAATTAGTTTAGCTAATTATATTACACAAAAAACACAAGCAGTTCATGACCTTCAAAGTCAAGGTCAAAGATGAGTGAAGGTTATCATCAATTTTTCAATTTACCATGAAGGTTATTTCGAAGAATAGTTGCAACAAAATATGAAAACATAGTTGACAATGTGGAAGCAAGAACTCGAAAATTTTCTTCGAACCCATCATGAAATTGATTTTTTTGTGAATAGGTTTATTGATTTATTGAATAAGTAAAACACTCTTGGCCTTTTTCTAAGATGAATACTTAAGTACATATTTTTTAAGGTAAGGTCTTAAGAACATACGCATACTTATTTAGTCTTTAATAGATATAAAACTTTACTTAATCATTATTGATTGCTGAATTGTCAATCATAGTGACCATATGCCATGTATTTTGTAAATGTATATTGTACAACGATGTTCCATATGTTGTGTACGAGTTGAAAATAAAATCATTCTTCTTCTTCTTCATTCTTGGCCTTTATTGTAAACTTTAATATTTTACGAGCTTTAAAACATGTAAGAATATGAGAAATATAATTATACAAACGTCTTGATATCAATCAAATGATGATATATACAAAATATTATAATAAATGGCTCGAAATGAAATAGAATTGCAAAAAAAAATCATTACGCCCTTTCAACAAGATAAATGACTTGGCATGCAAGTAACATTGAAACAAATAAAAAGTATAAATATGTAATTAAAACATATTATACCTGTACAAACAATATAAATATGATTCAACACAAACAAAACATTGGGAAAATCAGTATAAAAATCCTATTTGTGTTTGGTTGTTTTTTGTCGTTTGTGTGTGTGTGTGTGTGTGCGTGTGTGCGTGTGTGCGTGCGTGCGTGTGTGCGTGCGCGCGTGCGTGCGTGTTTTTTTTAAATAATTTTGATAAACCAATCAAAATGCATGCAACACTAGATTTCTGTAATCATTCTTGTAGTATTCAATTGCACAGTTTATCACTAATATACAGCAATGATGTTATTTTTCTTTTTAACTTCTTTTCATTTTTCAATAACATTTAAATCGTGTCACTTTATCTTTGTAATTGAATAGACCATCACAGAGTAACAATTTAAAATCAACGTTAAAAAAGTTTGAAAAATCTATAAACTGCAAAATTTTCGATCTTGTCCAAAATACGAAAAGAAAAAGAAACCTAATTTCAATAATAAATTGAAAATCGACAAATTTGACTGGTGGACAGGACCTTTTAAAACATGGTCATGTATCAGTAGTTTGTTACGTATCCAAATAAAATCTAGAAAAAAGGCATTTTACATCACAACTGCTAACTCATTAAAAATGTAGAAATTATATACAGTAAAAATTACGATATGTTCTAAGCAGCATTTACTTTTCAACTGCATGTCATGCCAACCTTTCCCACAACGTTGGATAGTGTGGATTAAAATGCAAAATTGCAGTTAATGAAGATTGTTCAAATCAAAATTTCCCATATTGTTTGCTTCTTCTGAGTAAGCAGCGAAAGCAGCGCCATCCATTTCCGGTGCTAGTTTATTGCCGTCTGCTAGTTTATTACTCATACCGCCGATGTCTGATTTACATTCTGGACACGTGCTCCTTTGACTGGCTCCACCACATTCCCCGATCGCATATATATGATCTAAATAAGGCGAATGAATATAAGATATTTTCCCTTTACTTTTCTGATGTGTATATTTGTTTGAAGAAAAAACAACCTCTGTTATTAAATTGATATCTTATCAAATAAAACACTGCAAACTTTATAGAAGTTATATTTTTGCCAACACTTTTTCTTTCATTAAATTTTCATCTTAAAGAACAGTGTTAATTATACACGATTGTTTTTTTCCTTTATCTTATATCTGAGAAAATAATATGAAATAATTACAAAACATTTTATAATTTCATCACTTAGTTAAAATGATGCGTAATTACTAATAAATAAAAACTGTCCTTACAAAGCTATTTTCAAAATCTAGATATAACATATTACTTACTTTTTGGACATTTGAACCAATGTCCCTTAGGCAATCCAACGGCCTTAATAATCTGTAGTCTCTCTACCTCTGTTATTCCTAATCCTTCAAGCGTTAGAAGCTTTTTAAAGTCGTGTAAGAATAATCAGGCAATTTCTTTTTTTCTGTTTCTTCCCCCAAATTTTCCCCTTTTTCATTTAAAAAAAGCCGTTAAAATTTTTAAAAAAGGGTCTTTCTTTCCTTCTTTATTTTCCCCAACAGATTTATTGCTGTTTTCTTTTTTTGGAATGTAAAAAATGTTTTAAACCTTTTTAAATTTTTCGCGTGTAAATTCGTAAAATTTTAAATCCTCTGTTAAGCCCCCAATTTCCCTGATGATAAACTTTTTAAAGGAATGTCGCCGAAAAATACGATAAGATTTTTTTAAACCCAACATGCCTCTCGTCTACAGTTGTTTTTTCAATGTTTGTTTTGAAGCGGTATCTTATATCTACTGCTGCTTTAACTAAACGGTGTTGATTTTCCACTGACAGTAACTGCGTTTCTGTGTAAAAGTTTCCGTTCATCAAAATCTTCAAGCGTGCTTCAAATGCACTTTGAATTCGCTCTGAGTAGGCGTTGGAAATTTTCTCCTTCATAGATCTAATTGCTGGAATCCTTACATTACCTAGTCGATGTCTGTCGACAACATTACCGCTGATAATTGGATTTCGAAGTATTTGATGAGACACTCTATCAATAATTCCAGTGTCACCTATCATTTGTCCCTTTACCCTTTCAATATCTTCCAAAATTTGATTTATTAGATTACCGTACCGTAAACATTTGCGAATGGTAGTTTTACATATCGGGCAACCTTTCAACTGAATTGGGTTTGCTTTATCTCTCATATGCATATACTTGTCCAAAGCCCTTGACTCTATGACATGCATGCAGTCTTCAAGCAAAACGAATCTTGCATTTTTGTGATCTTCATTGCCAAATATAATTTCTGTGACTTTTTCTTTATCACAAACTTTACAGAGTGTTGGACAAGGCTCCCCACAAAACCCAATGCAACTGTGCTTGCATTTCAGACGTTTGTTACAAGCCTTGTTACATTTTGGTCGATTACAAGGTTCACTACAAAGTTTGGTACAAGTGAAATGTTTACAGTTCCATGAGCATATCTCTTTGCAAGGTATACAAGGTTCACCGCAAGATTTGTCACATTTGCTGTGTACGCATCGATTTTCGCAGTGAGCTTTACATGGAGGACAGTGTTTGCAAAAATCGTTACAAGCATGTCCACAGACAAGAATCCTATTGCATTTGTGATGACATGGCTGATGAACTTTCCCCATGAAGCAAGTGCTACAAGTCCCATTGCAAATATGTTCGCATTTCAGAATAGCCCCGCAAGAATGTTGGCACTTTGCGGTTTTCTTGTCTGCACAACAAATACTGGCGTTATGACCACAGGGGAATGAGATATCAATTTTGACCTGGCAATGCTTTGTGTGCAGTTTGCCACATTCGTTTGCACATTGGTGACCACATTCCAGTTTTGTTTCACATGGAGCTTTACACTTATATTTTTCTGGTTCAACTGAACAAGGAATTGTTTGCTGGTGACCACATTTTGGAATAAACTTCTGTAATGGTACTGTGCATGGTCTGCATTTATCGAAACATTTTTGTGGGCATTTATGACCTAGTTCACAAAGTACCCTTGTACACGGCTCTTTGCATTGGTTTGTTTCATGTTGTCGATCAAGGACATGGCAGTATCTTTTACAAACATGGCCACATTTTAGACGGATATCACAATATTTTTGGCATCCACCCTCTGGAGCCTTTCTAAAATCATCTGGTTTCACTGCAATAATAGCATCATCTCGTGGATGGTTCTGGCAGTAGAGCTTAAGACCATTTTCAATCCATCCTTTTGTTTTCATTTCTTCAGTTATTTCTTTCCAGAGTGTTGAGTGCGTGGCGAGGTGGGAAAAGTTACCTAAAATGTAGAAACCATATTTTGCTCGTGAAAGAGCGACACATATTCTATTTTCTGTTTTCAAAAATCCAATCTTTTCATTTTTGTTGCTTCGGACGAGGGAAAGTATGATAATTTTGTTTTCTTCCCCTTGGTAATTATCAACAACGGTGACTTTCACGCCGTTAAACTGATCCTTAGGCATACATTTTCGGATACACATCAGTTGACCAGTATATGTTGTAAGAATTGTTATTTCATGTCTTTCATAGCCTTGTAGTAGAAGATACCGGCAAAGCTCTGCTACGTATTGAGCTTCATAGACATTTGAATAGCTTCTGATATCGTCATCTGTTTTTTCTTCATTTTCATGATCGACGAGAAAAAGATTTGCAGAAACACCTTTTATATCCGGGTATGAGGTCACGCTCGAGTGATCTGATAAATCTGGATATATATGTTTTACTAAGCTGGAAATTGATGGCCTCATACGATGTTGCAGCTTCAAGCAATTAAATGTCATGTTATTCTTTATCATCCTTTCAAACAACGACACGTCAAGTTTGTATCTAATTGCTAGCCGGTATACATTAGGATTAGGTCTTAACTGTTTGTGGTCTCCGATGAGTATAAGATGCTCACAACTTTTGCTTAATGTAGTAACAATATGAGCCTCTAGTACTTCTGCAGCTTCCTCGACAATGACAATACGGGGACTTATATCACGGAGTACTGCCTGATACCTTGCAGCACAAGACGTTGTCATTCCAATTACGGAGGCTTTACTCATAATTTCCCTATCTTCCTGCATCATAGCTTCACGATAGCGCTCTGATGCTAATTCGAATTGAGCACGCCTTGCTTCAATTTCGTCGTATTTAGACAAGCATAACTTTTGTACCCACAACCTATAAAGGCGCCATTTTGTGTTATGGTCAAGACGCCAAACATCATTGATTCTCTCTGCTTCTTCTTCACTCATAACATCAACATCAGATATTTTTCGCATGACCAATACTTTAAGGAATCTTTTAAATAGCGTATGTTTCCTTTCTTCATCAGTTGTTTTTTGTTCTGTCTCCATCTTATCTTTCACATAATACACAATTCCTATTCGATGTCGAATTTGTTTCAACTGAAAACTTTCTTTTTGTTTCATACTGTATCCATCTTCGTTATCAAAGTCGGTTATCATGTGTTTTTGTCTCTGTTTGGTATTGTCTTCAATGTTCACATAATTGTCCTCTTTTCTTACAAAAGCTTGCTCGGCTTGCTGCCATGCAATTCCTTCAATGTGTTTTATGCCTAACCATTTTTTAATGTAGGAAAAATGTTTACCGTAGATATTTCCTCTATAGTTGTTGATAAGACTGTTATACAGCATGATTCCCATCTGTTCCCTTAAATGATTTTCTCCTATTACCTCTGAACGGTAGAGTTCTATAGTTATTGCTGTTTCTTCAAGTTTTTCTGACTGTTCTTCAAGTTCTTGTTTTGCCTGTTTTTTCGACATTTGTAGTTTACCAAGGTGACTTTTCACCGATTGATGGAATTGACGGTAGTGTTTAAGATTGAACTTTCTTAATGTTTCACTTTCACTTCTTCCACCCACTCTTAATATATCACCTTTGAAGAAAGCTGCTATCCCCTCAAGGAATTGATCGAGGGCATGGTTTGTAAAACACACTACTAACATAGGTCTTAATTGATTTTCAGATCCTAACCATGTCGATCTGTTGTGTAATAATGCTTTTACAATCTTTAAACCGATATAGGTCTTCCCTGTTCCAGGTGGCCCTTGAATTATGGAAAATTCACTTGTCAATGCTGTTTGTACCGCTTCATATTGGGATTCATCTAGATGAAGGAGTTCTTTTGATGGCCAACTGTTCTTGTCAAGGACATTGACAGATTTAGCTTTGAACGATTTTGCAGTAAACTGATGACTTACCCCAGCTCGGATTTGTGTACCTATGTTTTGAAGTCGGTTTTCACTATGCAATGTGATATGTTGATCAATTAATGGGCGTAAATCAAGCGTTTTGACTGACTTAAGATACAAAGGAGGATCAATATTTCTGTTGCAATGTACAATGTACTTTTCAAATGGAAGATCGCCTTCCCTTATCGTTTGAAGACTTGAGAGAACATGTCTGTACGATTCGAAGTAGGCTGAAGTTTCTGCCATTTGGAACACTTTGTGAAGAACATCATGCACACTTACGTCCTCTTCAAAATGTACAATGAAATATCCATTTGTTATATCCATTTCATCTCTTCCTACTACTGTTGCTAGGTAAAATGTATTGAATTCATTGTCTGTTAGACATACTAGTGATCCATACATCAATCTCCTACTAACTGACCAGTTAACACGTCTTATAAAATTAGTCATTTCCAATTGCATTTTGTAGCATAGTCCATATTCTGTTATAACTGGTGTGTAAACAGATACATTTTCATAAATTTTAATGTCCAGCTTTCTTATCGATTTATTGTCGTTGCCGTCCTGTTTTATCGTTTTTATTTTTATATACTCTGTAATCCCTTCTCGTAAAGGCCCAACAAAATCTTCCCGTAACAAGCGGAACTGTACGTCTAGATAATGGTCAAGATCGTCGTATTCGCCTTCAACCTTGTTCTGTCTGAGAAATGGCCTGTCGCTACTTGTAATTTCTGAGATGCTTGGAGCTACTGAATACTGTCTATAATCATCCGGGGGCTTTCTACTCGATTTTAGTCCAGACGAAGTCTTCTGCTCCTTTTCTAGCGTCTCCTTTTGGCCTGCCAGATCTTGAAACATTGATACTATTTCTTTATTAGCAAAGGTCTCCTTTGACATACCGTCAATGATTTGACCTAGTAAGGTACAAGCTCTTGAAACAACAAATAGGGAGGATGGATTTCGTGTAAGTTGAATAGTTATAATTTGTATGATATTCTTTATCATTTGTTCTGTCGTGCTTTCTAGTTTGAGTCCCTTCCCCAATATGTCAATAAGCAGAAATACGACGCTGTCGAAAAAACTTGCATCTTTCAATGTTTCAAACAATTCAATCATAAGCCCAGGTGTCGTTCTGCATAAGTAAGCCTTGGAAAGAGCTTGAAGGAAAACTTCAAGAAATTCTTGGTTTTCAGATGTTCTTTTTAAGCATTCTTTTAAAGCAGTTTTGTTTTTTGTTAACTCTAATACAATATATCCAGGGTCATTCCCTATTAAATTTTTCAGAAATGGAAATCCTAATACAATTTTCCTACCGGTATGAACTTCTTTGTCTTTCCTGTCAGCATTGTAATTGTTTCTTTTTGATTGTATTTGCGATTCAGCGGTACTCACTCTTCCATTATATCTTCTGCCACTAACTTCATCTGTTTTGTCACGATAATTAAAGTTCAACTGACTTTCTGATCCCGTCCTTCTGATATCAAAATTGTCTTTGTTTGCATTTGTAATGCTATGAAATCTTTTTGGAAATCTATCGTTCTCTTGTCTCTTGCATGTATATTGATCTTCACCTCCTATTCTATTTGTCTTTTCATTCCTTAAAACTGCTGAGTGTGGCCGATGTGCACTGTGTGAGTTTCTTCTATTTGATGCAAAGGCAGGTGACTTTTCTGACTGAAATTTCTTGGCATTTACCGATTTTGGCCTTGCTCCTTTACTTGACCAATCTTGCCGTCCTCTATCTGACTCGTCTTGTTTATCTTCATTCCCATTAGCATTGTTTACTTCTTCTACATAGGATTTTCTTTCTTCAATATTCTGACGTCCCCGCCATTTTTCTCTAGACTTTCCAGTCGGTCTTAAATAAGTTCTGTGTGAGATAATAAAATTTCATTACCAAATAGTGACGTTTCTATAGGTTTGGTCAAATTCACTTTTTAATATCATATCAAATGCACTATTTAATTCAATTTATTGGAGTTTTGAATTATCTGGTGTAAATGGTAAAACGCACTTGCACAATATGATTACTTATTTTTACTTATTGAACCAACCTGGTCAGAAAATTTTCGAACCATGATTTTAATGCAATTTTAATGGCAACACTAATGTAATGTCATCAGTGCAAACACGGTATCACGACCATGTTTTCTCCTGATTAAACAAAACTTAATATTGATAGAGTAAATAGCGAAACAAAAAGGTATTTGATCATACACAAAAAAGACTGGAATATAGACCATGCTGTTCGACATAGTGAAATGACAATGCGACAATGCAAAGTGACAGTGCGACAATACTATACGATACTCACAATTGAACATGCGTAGTAATATTTAAATATTACTTATTACTTACTACTTTTACGCGTTTACGCTTAACTAGCGGTTAGAAGGTAAGAAGGTAAATTTGAAACCTGTTAAAGTAGAAAGACTTTTTTATAACTCGACTTTTAATTATTGTCTCACTGTTTTAACTCATTATCAAACGTTCGAGTGATATTAAGTTTATCCTGGTCGAGCGTTGCTTTGCATTGTCAACCGTTGTATAGCATTGTCGCGATTTCACTTCCATTGTGGTGTGTCTACCCTAAAATGGAGACATTATAAATGGCGCGATGAGGACATCGTTATACGATAAAGTACACTTAATAGTTCATGTTATCGTCTATTCAAAAGTTGGCATGATGCCATGTGAACATTTGATACACTTATGAAACTGTCTGGGAAAATGTACACTTTAAATGCTTAAATTAAAAAAAAAATCTACGGACTAGTTTTTCTTTAACAAATGACATCAAAAAATTTGAGCTATGTGGTGTGTGTTCGTAGCAACGTGTTTCATTTTGAAAAAGAAGAAAGGCTGGATTTTTATGTATACGATTGCATCTGCGTTATTCGAGGGTGATAAACATGAGCGTTTATCCCAATTGAAACTTGATTTTCTCAAAGTCAGTACCCTATGTGTGATAAATTGTTTTTAGAACTTCTTTTTATTATTTAACTAGAAATGTTTGTACCCAAATACGGCTCAGCTGAAGTAACTATTGGAAAAAATGAAATGTTTCAACTTGTTTATTATTGTGATAGTGTCTATATAAACATAATACCTTCATGTAGAAAAATACTAAGCGTGTAAACATCATACCATTTAAACAATGTCATAATTGTTTTAAATTCGCATTATAATCGTAAGGTCAGAAAAAATGTAAACTTGGCTGCCTCTGTTTAAGTCTAATAATAAATTTAGCTTATCACATAATTTTATCTAAAGTTAAAACTATTGATTTCGTTATATTTGTAACATGTGTAGTCACATGTGTACGACTTTCGAGCTCACACGTGTCGTGTTTGTTAGTTCTATTGTAATATTTAGATAAAGATGAAATACGTTATCTTTTTATCGTCGTTTTGACGTAATAGGACTTGATTAATCGTGCACTCTCGTATCGGTTTAAATGATCTTTGCGTTATGACTTTATATTATTTATAATCGATGTAGGCGGAAATTTGGACATTATAACGGTAGCATCGACGACCCAGTTTTCACATTAGGTATAATTATGTTTAAAAATCTGAACTCATTTTTTTTAATTGATCACCATAGTTTAAACTGACCTTTGTTATTGTTGAATCATAAAATTATCCAATTAAATGAAACTTAAAATATATCTCCATACTCGTTTATTATTTCAGACATAAATAGATAAACGATACACCAAGAAAATCATGAAATTTCTACGACGGGCGTAAATTTTCTCAATTAGTGTTGGTTTCTTATTTTATTATTTTTATTATTGTTATCATTATTATTATTATTATCATTATTATAAGTAGTATTTTATTTCATTATTTTATTATTATTATTATTATTATTATTATTATTATTATTAATTCCGATTTTCAATTACCACGTGATTTTTTTAAAAGATGAAAGAACATATTTAAGCACGCCCTAAAATTTTAAATTCTGCTAAGCCCTTTTTAAATTAAAAAGGGTACAAATATTTTAAAAACCCCCATGATTAAAAAAATTTCCCAAAAGAAACGATGTCCTGAAAACAGTACATGAAATAAATTCTATAGCGGCCTAATCGATAATGTTTAAAAACATTGATTCAATTTAAGATAAGAAAATATAATTATATAATTTATCTTGAATTGTGTCAAAGAAGCTATTGCAAGAAATCAAGTTGAAGATAAGAATATACTGTTTAAACATTTATTTATCTTAATAGCTGTTGTAAGATATCAGGTATCAATGTAAACAACTGTGATCTTCACTGAGTTATATAAGAAAGTAGGATGCAAACTTTTATTTAATGCAGCGCGGCTACTGTTCTACAAGTTCATGTCTTTTTTTAATGAAAATTTAAAAAATAATTATAATTAGAAGACATTTCAATAAAGTGATTTAAGATAGTTTGAAAAATGTGTTGCCCATATACGACTTTGACAACGACTTTTACGGTTACAAGTACGATTACGATGACGACAACGGCTATATAATGTATATGTCCACGTAAATAGGTACGACAACGACTGCTAAGACTACGAACAAAAGGATAATAATAATAATAATAATACATGTAATAATAATTATAATGATGATAATAATAATGATGATGATGATTTGTCATTTTATCACCGGATGTGAAGGCTCTACCATTTTAGAAAGTGGATGAATATACATCTTACTTACTTATATCAAGTAGACTACATTATTCTTGAGCTAATTTTCCTAATAGATTTAGAATACAAATATTTTACCTCTCTGTTAATTGTTTGTAGATATTTATTTTTGACATAAAGGAATTCTTAACCCTTTAAAGTAATTTTAACCGGAAGAAATGGATGGATCTGTGATTGTTGAAATAAAGAAAAGTAGCAAAAATTACTAGATATATTATTTCGTTTTCTTTTGTTTGCTGTCATTATTCAAGTATCTGAAATGTCATTGATACCCCATACAATGTAATAAATGCAATACAGTATAGTACTGTTATTTGACAGTGTTCAACCTAAATTAAAAAAAACTATTTTTTTACTCTTTTAACTGATATAAGTAAAAACAAAAGTAACAGATGGCTTACGAACTTTTTTTTAACTAACATATATGTGTAAATCGAACAAATGTTTTTTAAACATCAAATATACAACATATTTTTCGACCAAATTTACCCAGATGAGCCTAGCACCAATCAGAAAACTCAAGTGGTCTGACGGACCAGTTGATTGTAAAATGATGTAGTCTTTGCCAAAATCAGGTGGTCCCGGACCAACGGATCACCACTAATGCCGAGGCATGTCTGTTCTATATCAATTAACAAATCACTGTAATTTGTATTAGTTTTCAATGTGGAAAGTTGTTTACAACAGTGCCGCTTTTAGTAATTTAATACACATCAATATAGAATATATATTGTATATGCACAATAACTAAACAGTGGCTTTTTCACATTCTGGTAATCTGTATAGAAAAAAATATTCTACGAGGCATAGAAGTCTTCGATTTATGAAAAATAAGCGAATTCTTTAAAAACGAATGTTTTCAGACACTACCAGGGACGGTCAGAAAATATCCGGACTTTTCATGCTCCTCTCTTTCCACGTGCAGCTATATACACACATTATATATTGGTGAAAACTACATTCATCCGCCAATAACGTGGTCAGTTTATTTTCAATGATAGTTGTGTATACACAGTATTTTGTCCTCTGATATATGATAGATGTTTCGTCTATCATGGACTCTTTGGCTCTGTAATAAAGTTTCTGGTTGCAGAAGGTGAAAAGCCCTGCCACATCTTTCAGAGGCTTAAAAAAAAGATTTTCTGATAAATGTGTATCACGTTCAACCTTCTGCAACTGGGTTTCTCAGTTTCGTGAAGGCAGAACAAGTGTTTGTGACAGGCCTAGGACTGGGCGGCCAGCTGAGGCGGTGACCCCAACAATGGTAGCAAAGTTAAAGCTTTTGTCAACAAAAATCGTCGAGTAACTTTGGAGGAGGTAGCCAACAAGTTTAGCATCGGTAAGGCATCGGCACACAAGATTTTACACGAACACCTAGGCATGAGCAAGGTAAGTGGCAGGTGGGTGCCTAGACATCTGTCCGCAGATCAAAAGGCAACCAGAGTAACCAATGCAAAAGAACATTTAAGTCGTTTTAATCGTGAAGGAGATAAGTTTTTGAACCGCATTATCACTGGAGATGAGATGTGTGTTCATTATTCCGAACCTGAGACAAAAACTCAGTCAAAGCAGTGGAAACGAGCTGGTTCCCCACCTCCTAAAAAGTTTAAGCTGTCTCCTTCGGCTGGCAAAGTCATGCTTGTTGCCTTTTGGGATTCACGAGGAATGATACTTACTCATTTCATGCCAAAAGGTCAAACTGCCAAGTACTATTCTGAAGTAATTCTGAAAAATCTCAGAGAAAAGCTGAAGCAAATGTGTCCCAGGTTAGCACAGAAAAATGTCCTCCTTCTCCACGATAACGCCCCTCCCATACCGCCGCAGCTACAGTAGAGTTATCAACTCTTACAAATGGCAATTGTTGTCTCACTCTCCTTATAGCCCAGACCTCGCCCCCTGTGACTTTTATTTGTTTCCAGAACTGAAAAAATTGCTTGCTTGAAAAAAATATAAGACCAGGGCGGCTTTGATATCTGCTGTTACACAGTACCTAAAACATAGGTCTACGTCATGGTTCACAGCGGGAATACAAAAGCTCCCACGAAGATGGCAAAAGTGCGTAGACGTAGGTGGAGAATATTTTGAAAAAGATTAGAAAGATTTTTTTTAAATGTTGAATGGTTTTCGAGAACGAGTCAAAAGTCCGGATATTTTCTGACTTCCCCTCGTATGTTAACTTTTTTCAGCTTTGTTTTGGCCGAGGCCTCACGACAGAAGATCACCAAAATGCGAAAGAGCCACTGTTACTGTTAACTAAGGAAAGTGTGATATGTATATACGCCTGTAATATCACAGTGGATTATGAGGAAATACTTGTATTTTGGTTGTGTCATCCGGGATATATATTTCAGTTTTATACAAGTTTATCAACATAATTATACATGTATTTTCAAAATGTCATGTAAAATAATATGTTTTACAGATCCTACCTGGGTTTGACAGGCTCCATTCGAGCATGCTCTGTAAACGCTCATCAGATATTCTGTAAATAAAATGTCCCAAAACTCCGTTTAACAAAACTTTATATAAAACTATATATCCAAATTCTTCCGCATTTACGACACATCGCAATTATAAAATCTCGTAAAGTCTCGTATTACGTAATTTACATCGACATCTTAATATTGCACTGCAGGATAGTGTATCGAGAAAACATCGTATGTGAAATATATATATATACCCTGTCAGATGTAGTTATTTTCTTTCAAATATTAGATAATGGTATCATTAATTCAACAATTAATTAAAAATGTAGTAATAAAACTTCCAGTATCTAAAATGACTATTGAGTTATTTGCTGATTTAACAAAAAAAATAGATATACTTTGTTATGACTGAACAATTTAATGTCGCTCTGCCATAGTTTGAAAGAGTGGAACGCGTACACGGTATTTATTACCATTGTTAAATTCAGGCCCGTATATGTGATTGTCCTTTTTCAGATTAATTTTATATAAATTAGGTAGTTTTCAGATTATTTGTTTGAATACCATGTTGCATGCAAACAATATATCACGAAATAAACATGCCGCTATTAAGGATTCAAACACTCAAAGCCGGGTTCGGTAAAACCAAGGTCTCTCCTATTGCATTATTCAGACGGTTGTTAGATTTTTTATTAGATTGATTTATTTATTCTCATCAAAGTCAGGGATCACTCACAGATATCAAGATTATCTGTCCCTAAGATGTCGGTGATTTACCTAACCGAGAGAGATTTAAATCATTGTCATTATGGAGGGGAAATTTGGGCTGTTAAAATTTCCAGGGACATGTTCCAGATGAAAGCATATCCCAGGAATCTAAGACTTGTTCACTTGAATGTAGGTACATACTAGTAAAGGCACTTTAATCACGGTTCTACAGAGCTGCATGTACAAAATAAACAAAACAGTTAATTCAAGCTCGACATAGTTTGGATTGGATAAAAAAAACCGCTAACCATTGCCGGGCCTTAAAAAATGTTTCCTTAAATAACTTTTTATCTGTTATTAAAATGCGTCATTCTATTTTTCGAAAATTAATCGTCGATTTGTTATATATTTATGTATACTATATTGATCTAGTCAATAGTTTATATCTTACTACACATTTCTTAAACAAATCTTTACATTGCTTTAATCATAAAGTACATTGATTTATTACAATGTCCATTGATTTTATCATTATGTAATTTGCTGGGAGTTTAATTCGTTTGATAAAATGGATGTAAAGAATTCGGCATGCTATCAATTTAGACATTCTAAGGCCAAAATAGTCATAATAGATGAATAATTACATGTTATAGACATTTTCTCGTGTATAAGAAGTGACTAATTAAATTTTAAAAACAAATATTTATAAACACTGCAAGAAAGAAAATGTTATATTCGCTAAGTTTTTTTCTCTCTCTTCCCGCTTGTACTTCCGCCTTTTTATCTGAGTGGTTACGGCTTTCTTGACTCCAAGCCTGTTGGCGGGTGCAGGATCTGCCGATGCAACCAGTGCAGGCCGAGATCAGCAGACGTACCAGTTCTAATATCTGATCATGGTCTGCACTGTTCTCTGTCCAGTCAGTACACATATTTTAACTTTTTTCCCTAAATTGATAAGATAAATAATCCTGTAAAGATTTAAAGATAGGGAAGTTTATTTAAGATATTTGCGTGGTTAGGGCTACAGAAACTTACTATATTTACAAGTTTATCTAAGACTAATATACCAACTGTACTTTCTCTTCCGTGATGACGCTGCACTTATAGTCGTGTATATACAGTCGGGTTAACTTTCTTAAATCTTGTCCATTTTATCGGTCAGGATGACAGTATCTTCGTCGTGACTCGAATACAAAGCAAGTCGTTATCTTGTTATCTTAATTGTAATATGTTGCATTGTTTAAACCGTTCTATATAAAGTGTTTTCGAGACTGCTTATTAAAAAGTGTAATTAAAAAGGTGCCTCATAATTTAAATGCCTTGAAATGGACCTAAGGTTTTAATAGTCCGGGATACATTTATTCCTTATCATTATTTAAAAACGAGAAGTTGAATGTGTCCTCTCTTACAGAGAAATCGATGGTTCTGCAAAACAAAATCAAAACGTGTTTAATGATCATGTAAGCTTGTATGTGTCACACAGTTTCGTTTCCATCTGCAAGGAAAACATATCATTAGCATTAACAAGTGATGTCACGTATTTTTATTGTTGTTTTTGTTGTGTTTTCTTCTTCTTATCATTTTTCTTTTTTCAAGTGTTTAGTTGAGTAAACACTTCCGTGCAGTTATCTACACTTATATACAATACTAGTTAGATAGAATAACACTATTGAGGTATAATTAACTATCTGCAGTTATATATAAACAGTTATGAGTGTGCATGTGCGCGCTTGTGTGTTTAGTTTTGTTAAACTGGACCTTATGAACGAGTTACGATTGTACTAGAAGTGTCCTTACTGATAAGTTTATCATTAATAATCACCTTTTATGCATAAACATGTTTACATTTGCCAATTTTAGACATGCCTCGAAGTCCGTCAATAAAATGATTTCCTTTACTTTGATGATCAGGCCGATGAAGCGATTTTTTAAACTGTATGAAGTAGAGTGTTGAAAAAGATACTGTTTAAAGGGAAGTAATTATTCAGTTATTCAAACATTAAAGACAACACTATTTATCTTTCCCTTGCAGCACCATTTCCGATTTTACTATCATCTTGCATTATCCCCCTTGTGGGCAACATTGACATGAATCTGCTAAAACTTTTAAGCAAGCATAACTTAAAAAACGACACTATCTGTTGAACCCAAATGAAATCAAGTACAAAAAAATGTAATGATGTTCTGGTTACAGCGCCATAACATACACTTCAACCAAAACATGCTCGGGACTGATTTGTTTGATCTATGTCAGAAACACAAGCCCGAACCGATTTATGGAGCGGATTCGATCCTTAAGCAACGCGGACACGCGTTTGTTAGGCTTCCACCCTATCACGCAGGCCTCAACCCAATCGAATTAATACGACCAATATGGAAAGGTTGTCGCAAGGAAACTAGATTAAAGATGGGCAGGCTCTTGTGAATGATGTCATTGAGGATATCGCCGCTGATGACAGGAAATCGTGTGTCAGACATGTGGAGGTCGAAGAGAGCAGGTACTATGCATCCGACATTGCTGTCGATAAGGAGATGGACAGAATATGCTTCATGATTGATTCACCAGATGAAGATACGTACACATCCAACTAGGGGGAGTTCTCCGTTACGACCGACAGCGCCAGCTCGACAGAGTGCCACGGAGAGTGAAGACATTGTTTAAATAGCTAAAAATTAAATTGTAACTTATTATATATACTATATATACTATAGCATTTTCGAAAATAAAATCCATGGAAAAATATATGAAAGAATGAAACAAAAAACCTGAAATAAAATAAAAAGTTAAAAAAAGGCTTAATAAAAATAACTTTGTGAGATTTGAAGTTATGACCTTCCGCATGCAAAATAAGCACCACAACCACTACACTAACAGACCAGATAATATTCTCTCACCTTTTTTTCTGGTGGTGCGTTTGCGTATATGGCTTTGCCCGGCCACTTTCCTGTAATTTGTTTGTTTCCATAACCTTATACAGCGTAGGGAACGTGTTACAGTATCGCGTTTTTCGGTTACAGTATAGAATTTTCAAGATGGAGGATTATTTGTTGGGAGGACAGGTAGGTGATTTTTATTCCGGTCCATACTACAAGTACATTAGTTTCTAAAAGATGTTTTTGTGCTTTGCTTGTAAGGAACATAATCCGGTATCTAGTCATATATTTCTTCAGACCCTGCACAACAGACTTATCTCTATATTGTCATATAAATATGCAGATTTGACAGTTTGAAAATTTGAATCGAGAGACCAACGCATTTTTCTGCAATTTCGACATTATTTATGCATGCCTAGAAAAAGTAAATCTGCAAAACGTTAGTCCTTTATGTTAGGAAACGTTTATTAAAGTAAATGACCAGTTGAAGCTATTTTCCTGTTCGTTAAATGCGTTTGAAAAAATAAACAATGTTACAGTATAGAGCGAGGTAATTTGTGCAGGGTTACAGCATAGACCTAGCGATTTGTATCCGATTTTGTTACAGTTTATACCCAGATTTCGGTTACAGTTTAGACTTCGATATTTTCTATATATAGTAGGTAAAATGTATGAATGTTACATAGACTTAAATCTCAGTGAGCTTTTTGGCCCGATGGCAATTCGTCCGTCTGTCGTACATATGTGTGTGCAATCTCAACCGCTCTAAATGTGATGAAATTTATATGACTTTCTACCAATTAAGTTGTTCAATGGTTTCGGTTGCAATCGGGGAAACGAAAACCCAAAACATAGATTTTGAAAAAAGGCAATGTTTAAAGACCCTTCTCATCTCGAACCAAAAGCATTCAAATCAAATCATGATCATGGCGTCATTTCGAATGCTTCTTTGTTGAAGTTACGATTATTTTGTCATTATTAAATTTAAAGTCTTTTTATATTTATTTCAGACATCCTGTATAATAGCAGTTTTCAATTTTCTGAAAAAGAAAATAATGTTGAAAGTTAAAGAGTATAAATTAAGGTCAGACAATAACAATATTTTCTCTAGTGAACCTGATGGAGGTACATAATAGTGGCGCCGTCGACTTCAAATCATCATTCATTTACTGCTGTTGTTGATATCCAATCATGACTTTGGATTCTTTGTATGTGAGGAATCTATCAAGCTAATTTACGGAAGGTCGGTGGTTCTAGTCAGGTGCCCGCTCGTGTCTTTAATGTTTCACAAAGCGTTGACGGTAGCTTGCAGTTACCACTACCGTCCATGAACAGGTTTAATCAAACTGAGCCTGCAACATTTTCATGTTTTCCGTGTTGGACTTCTGTTTATTTTACTAATAGGCATTATTTTAATGTGTAATGATATGAAGCAATAATCTTTCTTCTCTCAATACAATTCGATAACAGTTGCTGTTGTTGTCGTGAAAACATTCCTTACTTAGGACATTACTTATTCTGCAAAAAGTCTCAAGTAAAAAAAATAGCACACTATAACTTTTCTGCTGAAGTAAAAAAGTAATACAACCTTTCAAGAATGTATTAAACAGAAAGGTATGAGTTATTTCATAAAAATAATGGATACACGAACTTCGTTTGAAATTTGGCAAGTATCTAAACTGTAACAGAAATCTGGGTATAAACTGTAACAAAATTGGATGAAAGTCGCTAGGTCTATGCTGTAACCCTTCAAAATTAACCTCGCTCTATACTGTAACATTGTTTATTTTTTCAAATGCATTTTACCAACAGGAAAATAGGTTCAACTGGTCATGTACTTTTATAAACGTTTCTAAACATAAAGGACTAACGTTTTGTAGATTTACTTTATCTAGGCATGCTTAAATAATGTCGGAATGGGAGAAAAATGCGTTTGTCTCTCAATTCAAATTTTTAAACCGTCAAATTTGCACATTTATGAGACAATATAGAGATAAATTTGCGGTGCAGGGTCTGAAGAAATATATGACTAGATACCGGATTATGTTCCTTACAAGCAAAACACAAACACATCTTTTAGAAACTGAACCGCTAGTATTGTATGAACCTGAATAAAAATCACCTACCTCTCTTCCCATAAATAATCCTCCATCTTGAAAATTCTATACTGTAACCGAAAAACGCGATACTGTAACACGTTCCCTATGGTGTTATAGTCGATGCCCGAAAGAGTTGTATATCACATGCATTTCTCTCCCCTGATTTTTTGGTCGAATCTAACATTTCTATTATCTTCAAATCAGCTGATAAAAAACTTTTAGATATATAAATTATGATATTTTAATATTTTTCTTCACTGTTCGGAGCAGCTTCCGTGGCCAAGTAAAGTTACTTAAGGTCGCTGAATTAAAATCACTTGCCAGTCACCGCTGTGTGTTCAAAACCCATCAGTAACTTTGGATTCTTTCTTTTATAAGGAAGATATCCAGCTATCTTACGACCACTTAGGTACATTATGCTTAATTTCATATTTTCAATTCGATATATTGAATAATGATTTGGTGGAATAATCCTTATCCTTATCTTAAAACAAGGACTATATATTGTAAAGTTCACGTAAATTATGTGTATGTTGTATATTTTATAAACAACACTAACTCTTCATTAAAATAATGATTTAATTTTAACATGTTCCCACTTTTGTCAAGGGAGCATGTCATTGAAAAAAATCGGGGAATTAAAAAGTGTTCCACTCTTTATTAGTGTAATTATTTCATGTTGGTAACTAGTGTAATAATACATGTTTTTACTTTAAATTATGCTATACTTTAACTATTCACAAGAAAGAAATTTACATAAGTATTTGACTTTCTTTTTCAATCCTGTATTATAATTATCATGTTGTTGTGACATAATTGAACATGTATATGATTGAAATATATGAAATAAATAGTGTTTAAGCCAAGTGCTGCGTTCATCTCAAAAGTGTTCGGGACTACATGAAACTGATATGACGCCAAATAAACTGTGACTTTAATGTTGTTCCATTTAATAATTTAAATATAAAAAGAAAAATGCATTTACAAAAGGAACAACTCTGCGACTTCTATTTTTCATCCCTAAGCTGTTTACACATAACGAAAGTTCTAATAATAATCACATTTCAATTAAATGTAAACTATTTTGTAGTCAAAATATTTCTATGCAATTATTTGACAGTCACCATTATAATGGTCAAACTTTTGAAATATGTTTCTAATTTAACTCAAGGGCGAATAACCATGCGCATAATGTCATTTTAACTTTGAAGCTTTAATTTCAACATTCAAAGAGTCGTATAATTACATAAAACTCACATTCATAGATTAACATCTAAACACATAAATGAATATAATTTTTCCTATTTTGGTGAGACATAACAAAAGACTGTTGTATATATATATATACTATATATTTGACGCATTTAAAGATATATTCAGAGACAAAGATGATCTATGTCTCTGATATATTATGCTCAAATTTGATATTTTGAGAAACATTCAAAGTTATAATTACTATACAGTCTCTTTTTGAAACGTAAAATAAAACTCTTTTGAATACACATATAGAAAATATGTAACAGTTTAAACTCTACACACTACAGGTAATCACAGTAAAATTACATAGTGTTAAAAATAAATTGATTCACAGCTTCCAAAACATAGTTTCTACATTCACTTATTCAAATTAGATATAGTCAATACACTAAAAGTATTTGACCCAAAGATGAGGTTAGTATATCTTTAAATAATGTCATCTCTTCACCTTGGTTGAGTTTCTTCCTCCAATTTGCACATATACTAGTATGTCAAAGTAAAGTAAAAATTCCAAGATAAAACTACATGTATTCTAATTGTTTTGTTGTCGCTTTACCGCGTGGCATCTCTAAGTTGAGGAACTTCCTGGTGTCGCATGGCATGGCCATATTTTGATCCTAAAAGTAAACAATGAAACAAACTCATAGAAAAAGGAAACATCATAAACATCAGTAAGGGACTTTTAGGAAGGATTTTAACAAAAGTTGACCGCTTATTAAGATATGAATTACCACGTTCGTGTTAAAACAATTGTGCGTAAAACAGATTTGCATTGTACAGGAGAAAATAACGCGAATTTGTTTCTATATGAAACATATATTCTTAATATAGAATATCAAAGACAGTTAAACATAACATTTCATAACATAGCATTTCAAACATTGTTTTCGCTAGATGAATGCAAAATGTAATTTTAATTCTGATCATATGTACATAAAAATTATATTTGTCACTTTTAGTTCGTTGGTTTAATCATTTTTTCCCACATTTTTTACACATTTCAGCAGTACTTAATTTACAAGGAAATAATGAAACGTACATATTTCCGTTATAAAACAGTTTCTCAGACATTCTGAAATAATTCCACTTTCAATTAACCATCCATCATCAAAATATATTTAACAAGCTATCTATTTCTTTTATAATGATATTTAAATTAAAATTCTGTTTATTTGTTTTCAAAAAGAGAAAATAAAAAGTCAGTTAGAATTTCTCAAATTTAATGAATATTTTGACTCGTAGAATGGGTTTAATAGATAAATGATTGGGGTTTAAGTCAAAGACGGAACACGTCTAAATTACATGTGTCAAGTTGGCAAACACATTGTTGTCATAATTTAACCAGCGGGTTTCCACAAATTTCTTTTCAAATAACGCGATCAATTTTAATTCGTTTAAACCAACAGTTTCATTAACTCGAAAATTATACCCCTATCGTTTCATATAAAACCGCAAACCAATCGTTGCAAAATGACAATTTACTAAGCCACGCCTACTTGTCGATTCGCATCCTCAGCAGCTATTACTGTAGTCACGTGACCGGGAGTCGTTCACGGGCCGTTTAAGGCATTGTTAAAACGGTATTTAATTCACTATTATCAACATTTATTTCTCATTTTAAAGATACTTGTGGATTTAGATCACATTGTGGATAAAACTTCGGTTTCATTTAGATAAGTTTACTTAATAAAAGCCAAACTTCAGATGCTTGAATTCACTTATATATTACAAAAAGAAACTTAAATAAGTGTATAATTTAAGGCATTGCTAGGGGTATATATTTAACATGGCGAAAAGGTAACAATATTCCTGGATAGCAACGTGAACAAGTGAAAGACAACTAATCCGTTAAAGGACATTTGAATCGGATTTGGTTTTGATGCTTTTAAGAAGACCAAACTCAAACATCACCAACAATGGAGTGTCCAGTGTACAAACCAACAATGCCATTTAGGTAGGTTGAACAACGGTATTTACGGTATATTTTAGATTTCTACGTTTGTTTCGTGATAACTTGCGCGGTGTCGAGTTAACGACGGTTTTAAATTCCATTTTATGTGTTTAATTTTCATATTTGTATTTCTGATGTAATTAAAACGAATACAGTTTATTTTGTATTTTTGTGTTAACTTAAAAGTCATACATGTGTACAGGTACATGCCGTTTTAGCAAACCTCTGTTATTAAAAAATGTTAAATTTCATTTCTAAACGCGATATTTCTTAAAAAGCTTTTAACTCAATCCTTTTTGCATTTAATGTAATTATATATATTGCGTATATATGTTTGATTGAAATGAAATACATGTATTGTTTTAACTAAGTGAAAAAGGCCATATGTAAAATCATTTACACTTTTCTTAAACATATACTCTTCTTTGAGATGTAGACTTAGTGTATAATTAAGATGGCACTTTTAACAATTGCCAATATCACTTTTCAACATACAACATTTTTGGCTTCCGTACAAAGGAAAACATCGACAAATACGGGATTCGATCCAGCAAAAATAAGACTGTAAAAGGCCGTAGGTTCTACTTCGCCTTAAATAGGCTTGCTCAACATAACATACTCGGGAGATATGTCGGGTGGATATGTATGAACGGAAAGACAAGATCATTTAGTTTGGCAGCAACACCTTATTTTTCCCCATGGTGTAGAAAATAGTCTCATTGGCCTCCCGTGCATCAAAATAGTAAACATCACAAAAATTAACATACGTACATATTTAGTACCATTCAGTGAATAACTAAATTCAGAATTGAAAGGTCACCTTTTGGCCGAATATTATCTTAAAAGGTATGAGTGTTGACATTTCCGGGGTCCGTACCTTTCGTGCTTGAAAGGGCGGATTGACCCTCATAAGGCATAGGATACCTGCATAGTTTGGACGGAATATATGTTTATAAACTTGTTGAAAAATAAATATATGTTAAAATTACAAAGAGCAAGATTCAAATACTTTAAATATTTAACACCTAATATATCGGATATGATAAATTAAATTCCACAATTGTCATGTTTACTTGTTTATGTAACTGGACACACACATATTAAAAAAAATATTTTTTGGTAATATGTTATGATGTAATGAACTGTTATTAGGGACAAAAACAAATCAATATAAAACTTTAAACTCAATTTACTCAAGTCATACATATTGGCGTATATAATTTATTTCACTGATTAATATGTTTTTAAATCTTTGGCATTTTATGGGCACGACTCCATTAATAATAATGCCAAAAGGTCGGGATACCGGGCATACAAAATCCTGTTAGGGCATCCTTATGATACAAAATCACAACAAACAAATGTAACAAACTGTATTAATTTTTGGAACAGTGTGTTCTAGAAAATCATTTATCAAAGCTCTTCAAACAATACTAGTCTTTTAATTTTTCGTTCACAAAATAGTCAATTTTCACAAATGTACATAAGCAACAACTAAACATTGACACTGTAGGGCGATACTAATATATTGATATTTTGAAATCAAAACAACCCTATCTAGAAAACGACTTTTATTTGTTTGTTTGATTTTTGTTTGATTTTGGTTTTACGTCACACCGACACAGTATAGGTCATTTGGCGACTTTCCGGCTTTACTGGTGGAGGAAGACCTCAGGTGCCCCTCCGTGCCTTTTTTTTCAGACACGAAAGGGCACCTGAGTAGAACCACCGACGTTCCGTAAGCTAGCTGGATAGCTTCCTCACATGAAAGAATTCAAAGTCCCTGTCGGGATTCGAACTTTTATTTGTACATGGGTTTGAACTATAGTTTGAATATATAAACTAAAAATGGAATAAATGAAACTTCTTAAATCTACTTTTGTTTGCTTAATTAATTATTCGAACATGTATACGGAATAAACATGTATAATAATGCGTGAGGATTGTACCGTTTAGTAAATACCTATACATTTTTGAAAGAGGAGCGCTTTGCTAAATTCCGTTAAAATTATACAAAATATTACATAAACGATTACATTAAAATAATAAAAACACGTAACTACTACTAATATTTACGATGACAGAAAATATTAACAACGGGTACTCGGACAATGTTATAAAGAGATTTACTTAAAATTTGAAATATTTTTACTAAAAATACCCGTTATATCAATTATTATACATACATGTATGTGTAATAACTATTTGTGAGCAATTCATTGGCACTTATCTATATAAAACTGAATAAATTATAATAAAATTGAATGAATTAGAGTTTTCGTAACTGTAAAATTTCTTTGATATTGATGTCTTTTTTAATATTTAAAATGTTTTAATTACTAATAAGACACAATTGATATTTTTTTTAAAATTCACACTTAACACGTTGGTATATCTTCAAAGTTCGTTGTATATTCAATCTAGAAATTTTTGTTCAGTCATGAAGTACTAGAGATGTAGAAACGAATACGAACGAATATATGCCGTTTTTAAACTATACTAACACTTACAATATAATGTTCCTATAGATTGATTTATACCTAGGTAAACAAGTTTTCTTTTGTTTATATATTATTTGAATTTGTGATACACCTGTTACACGTGCAAACACTCAATTTCGTGCAGGTAACGTGGAGGCGACTGCTTCGAGCTCTTGAAACTTAACAAAAAACTTAACAAAATGAAGTGCTTAAAATCTGTTCTTGTCGAAAAAAAAAATGAAAAATTCATTACATTTAATAACAATAAAACAAGATCACTTTTGAGTACAATTGAAATAATCAAGAAAGAGATTTTATATATAAATTTGTTTGGCAAAAATAAAATATTAAATGAGGATGTCGCACAAATTGCATGATTTAATTAGGTGTAATATCGAAGATTTGGCATGCCCTAATAATAAAATCAGGACGTACTGTAACTGCAGAAACAAACCTATATCATTCATCATCAATTTTTATCCATTGAAATTAAAATTCTACCGACATTTTAAGTTTTTTCTTGCAGTCTCAGTTGCAGCTTTCGTGAGAAATACAGAATTATAAAGTTGTCACGAGTTATGACATTTGGGGTCGTATTACATAGTTCCATTTTTTGGTTCTGCGTTTCGTACAAAACCTTTAAATTTTCTTTATAAAAAGGAATACAAAATCGATTTTTTATTGCATCAACATAATTTTAGCCGTTGCTTTCTGTTGACCAATACAAGATTGTTTTATCTGCCTTTTTATGACAACATAAATGTGATCTTTCAACCATTCGGTATATGGTTAAAGCTAATACACAGCAATTTCTTTCCTTGTTAGAAAATTTTTCTTAATACTTTTTATATTTATTTTCAATTATTAAAATAATATATTAACTGACAAACACTTACCTGGGCCAGGTTAGAACAAGAGTAGATTACATACGAGAGTTGTTCGTAAAGTTGTGTAACTGTATAATAAAAAATAACCGCTTTAGGGAAACATTGAAAAAATTACAAGCTGACAGTCATAGCTAATAAAGACGATTTCAATAATTTAATTTAAAAAAGCACAAGTACAAGAGTTGCGTATTTACATGAACTTACAATATTGTTCAATTTTAAAAGTTTGCAAAAAGCGAAAAATGACTTCTTTTGCGCCGTAAAAATGTGTAACATAGTTAAAGGAATTAAATTTATGATATTTTAAAAATAATAATTAATGAAAAATATTAAAAAAATAATTTTGACGGCATTGACACAACAGATTTAATCTTAGAGTGGATCTTTTAAGTCTTAACTAATATCAAATTATTAAAGGTGAAACATGAAGAAAAGTAATAACTCCGTCGCCTCCGTGGGTTCTCAGAAAATCACTTGGCCCCTCAAAAAATCTATGGGTTTGAATCTTACATCGGGCGCATGCGAAGAACATATCATTAACGATTGCGGAAGGCAGGTTGTTGTTCGAAAATACTAATATAATTATCATTAACGTAAAAATAAAAATGATAATTTATCATCATCATCATCATTTTCAAAATTTAAAAAACAACTTTTGAAGATATATAACTTTATAAACTTTAAGCAGGTTATAAACGACATGGCCGTAATAACTATAATTTTGTTCATATGGATAAACAGGCAATAATGTATAAAGCTTACAATTAAATTAGACTATTCTTATATGTTTATGAAATATCACATACACGAAACATTTATGGTCAATATTTAAATGTACAATTTTCTATCTAAAACATGTAAATAAAAAAGAAGAAAAAGAAAAAAATATCATATTAAGCATCTTTTAAATTGTGTAAACTGTATTGTCTTTTTTAAATATTGAAAAAAAATGTAAACTGTAATTTTAGATGTAAGCCTACAACTGTAAGAACATATTCATTGAAATAATATAATTTTAGAAGTAATTCTTATTAAGAAGTATTAAATATGATTTCTAAACAGTATAACCATTAGCCGCCTGGTGAAAATTAGTTTGATATTGTTTTAAAAACAAAAACAAAACAAAAACATTGATATATTATGAACACATGTACATAACTATATATATGAAATGTTGTTTTTTTTTCTTTCCTAGACAGATATATCTGATAAGATACTTGTTGCTTGTCAGACAGAAATCATAAAAGCCGAAGGCTTCCGTGTGTATGTTTTCCAAGTTCCACTAAGAACCACATACCTGGAGAATAATTGCGTAATGAATAGCCACTGATACTATAAGGGCATGAGTTTTGAATAGTGCTTTTTAATCTTGATTTAATGTCTCTAAACTTAACATACCTTTCTATAACCTTACATGCCTTTCAACAAAAATGACTAAGCAGTCATTAAATAGCAATTAAGTTCACTTTAACATACTTTATTGTTATATATCTCCCAATAAATCACCTGAAAATACGTAAAATCACATCAAAATATAGGTGGATGAGTTCGACATTACAGTGGTTCCCCCAGGTTTACGGTAAAGCCGTTCCAGGCACTTTTATTGCATGTATCTGAACAGATTAACAACGTGAAAGCACATTCGTTTTTGAAAACAACTTCTGTGGCCAGTCTGACAAAAAGGAAAAAAAGGGAAAGAAATAGTTACATTGTCAAAATTTTAACATAGCACTTACATTGATACATGCATATTCACAACAACAATGTACAAAACATAATTTAAGAATGGTACATATAAAACGTAAAATAATCATAAGGCATTGTATTTTAAAATTTACAAACCAGCTTTGAATAATTCATTTTTTATTTTAGAAAGAATTAATTTGTATGGTAAATGAGAAAGTTATGAGAATTGAAAAATAAATATCTAAAATAATATTTTGCTTTCTATTCAGTATCATTCATTTCTGTTTTGTTTATTCCATGTTTACGCCTTACTGGAGTCATCTCTGCGTTGTTTCTTACTTTTATTTCAGTTGTTCTCCTCACTTATCTTATATTTTCATTTATTAAATAAGATATTTTTCTATTTTCAGGCCAATACCAGTTTATGGCCAGAGAAGTCAGGTTTGTTCCCCGGGTACCGATATTCCAACTGCGCATGCGCAAGTTCCTGCAAATTGTCACGAAGACCATTTAATGCTCGCAAAGCATATCAATTTGATATCACAAATGGGTCGCTTGAGAGCACTTGGCGAATATCAACTAAACCATGCGGGCCATCCAGGGAATATACCAACCGCTCACATGCTTCCCGACGTAAATAAATTCAGTGTTAAAAATCTGGCAATGGCGGGCAATATTGGACAAAGTCAGGCGATTCCTGATTTGAAGGCGCAAAATTTGCAACAACCAAAACTGTTAGATTTCGACGTTACTAAAAATCATTCTGACATGAATTTGGCGTCACATGTAAATCCTGTTAATTCTGTTATTGACAGAATGACAGTTCCGGTGATAGTGTCGTGTGCAAATCCGTTTACGTCACAATATGGATACGGCCGTAAAGTGTTTCCGTGTCCGCAATGTCGTTATACTACCGACAGAAGGAACAATCTTAAACGGCACATGCTCACAATGCACCAGACATGCGCAAAGACTCTAGAATGTTGTGGTATAGTATTTGCCACTAAGGCCTCTTTAAGAGAGCATGCAATGATTTTTCATTACCATGGATACACGTGTTTCTATTGTGGACGTCGATTTTGCCGAAAAGCGTTACTCAAACGACATCTTTCGGTTCACAATGGTCAGAAAGACTTTGTTTGCCCGGTATGCGATTATGCCACAAGTCATAAAAGTAATTTAGAAAGGCATAGGAAAGTTCATTGCAGACCGGAAGATCGGAAACCTGGAGAAATGGAGTGTGGAGATGAAGAGGAAATGACTTGGAGGTCAGAAGGTCACGTAACAGACGACAATAATAATCAGAACATTTTAAGTAGTTCTGATGATGAAAATGAAGAGATTAATGTAGACTCTGATTAATTTTACCGGTTTTCTTTAAAACAATTCTGTTGATGCAATTCGAACTATGAGCTGTGTATATACTGTTGTGTATAGGTGGTAACATGGTAAAGAAACTGATATATAGATCGTTACTTGTTTGTTTTTGAATTCTTTAGACTTTATTATCTGTAATACACATACTTAAATTTACTTGAAAAAAGCCCTTCCTTCACTCTTTTATACTCAGACAATGCCATATTAATGATGATGATGACATCATCACCAAAAGCACCATCATCATGATCATCATTATCGTTTTTATGTGTGTGAAAAGTCAAATTTCATGTTATTTCTACATAATGATTCATTATTTAATTCCTTGTCTGTATCAATCGTTTTACCATTTGTCTTGTAGCGGCATTGGCAACATATCGTTCTGACCTGTGCTTCTTATTGTCGGCACTTAAGTTATTTTACCTTGAAATTTTTTTAACTAACCATAGATTACATCTTTTTTTCACAATTTTATATCTGTTTAAAAAAATGATATTTTTCCTTTCCATAAAGTTAGCAAGTTGAGAGTTTATAATATTAAAAGCAATTTTCAACAATTTATCTAGGTATTTGACGTTTTAATGGAATCGTGTGTCTTAAAAGAAACTCTTTTTAAGTAATCAAAAATATTTATTTATTAATAAAATAGTGGTAAAAAAAGTTATATGTAGCAGACACAACTTCAATAAAAAAATCCATCGGCGATAAAAATATATTTCAAACAAATGTTTTAGATTTTAATGGGGAGGGGTGATTTTGCAACATGCGTATATACGTAACATGAAGCAATAAAAGCGTTGGTGGCAATTCTAAATGCAATATGAAGTGGCAGTTGGAACCGTGTGTTTCTTTGAAAATTAAAGACAATAAAATAGGAGAAAAGGAAATGATTAACCTACAATTTACAATGTATCCGTGCAATCAGTAAAACATAAAAATAATTACATTAGTCTGGGACAAAGTATGTCAAAGCAAAATAATACACCTTGGGTAGTATACGAAAAGTGTCGTTAACAAAATGCATAAAATTTTGTAGACTATTAATCAGCTAATTTTGTATCAAAATTAGTAGAATTGGCTATCTTCATTTGACTTTAAAGATTTCAAAGGCTGTTTGGCTCACAACAGACATGTTTGACACAGTGACGCAGTTTTATCTGACCCCCTTTTGGCGTTTTATTTTTTTCGTCGTTAATATATAATATAATTATATATGCTGCGGGGTTATTGATTTGTAGGTAATTATGGAAAATGCTACATTTTATAGGTATATGCTTTATGAAATATATAATTATGTACTTTATCTTTGAATAAATTTTAAATTACATTGAAGATTTCTTAGTACTTTATAGTTTTTTCTTCTATTATTTATTTTTATCTATTTTATATTCTCGTGAACAGAATGTCTGGTGTATTGTGAGCATGTGCCGTTTAAGATTGTTCCACACTGAAAAAGTGACGGATGTGCTTTCGTTTCCTTTAGCAAATATTTGTTGTAGCATTTCTTGTCAACTTTAATGCTCAGTCGTAAGGAAGCACATTTGAATATCTTAATTCTTTACCAGTAGAATAGTGTCATTCAAGCCCACCTCGTCATGCCAGCAGAAATGTGTCTGTACAGTTGGGTATAGTCTACTAGATTTTCTTGCAGAACAACAATGATTAGTTCCAAATTTATAAGTGGCAAATCTATAATAAACAAAGCGGTAAAAGGCTTGTACAGCCTGCCCAGTAACAATGCAGAAGCTGAAGGTCTAGACCAATAACTTGTCTGCAAAATTTCAGATCATTCGCTTACTACGTCTTTTCCAGAATGACTATTCTAATCAAAGAAACACAAGTGGAAAAGCGTCGCAACGCACCAAAATACCTTTGAATTTGTTCTGAGTATATTTCTTAAATATCTTTTGCATATCTTCCGGTTAAAAGTGCCCAAATTGACCTATGTAAGGAATTCAAATCTTTTGGACCGCGGTGTAGTTTCTTTAAGTCATTGCAATTTTCTCTCTTCTCAGTGAAATATATATAATATTTACCAAAATAACATAATATATATTTTTGTTTTCATTAAGGTTTTTACTTTTTCTAAACAAAATATTTGTAAAGAGTTCCTTAAAGTTATTTTTCAAAGCACTTGTTCTGTTTATGCTGCCCCACGAAAGATCTCTTGCAGCATATCTGATACAAATTTAGTACTGATAAAATATTACATTGTATGACCGATTTTACAACATATATAATTATGTCGCTTAATAAAATGCATACTCATTGGAAGATGCATTTTTAAAAAAAAAATATTATGAATGTGCATAGAGTAATGAAAATGAAATTAAAACTTATGCTGTAAAATGGAACATAGGATCAGTTTCACACATAACATCTGGCTAAGCAAAACTATAGCAGTGAATTGCGCACAGGGAAAAAAATTCGTCGCTGTAAAAATGGCAATTTCTACCCTTTACTTAACAGTGACATAAAACAAAATTGAATACTTAATTAAAGAGTATTCTCCAATTCCTAAACACCTGTTAAAATGTAGTTTTATGTCCTCAACTGGTGGTGTAAGTTCGACTATAATACGACTAAAGCTCACGATCAGTCCTGTTAAAATTTTCACGTATATCACAGCGCATTAATTCCTCTAAATTAAGTTTTATTCGGTTTAATATAAACCTAATCTAAGTCCAGGTGTGCTTGGGGATTCGTTTCCTATTTTTTATAACTCGCAGCTGTCCGGATAGACCGTGTTTTCGCTAAATCCCGTATCAGATTTATAACCGCAGCGATATTTTATAGCTTATGTGCCGAATTTGCACGCGATTGTGAAATATTTAAGAAACTTTAAGTGGTACGTTTTGCTCATACGACAATTAATTTACGTATAGATTCCAAGTAAAGAATTTACGGGCATATTTTGGTTTAATTCTATGATTTATATACCTACGTAGGTGTACATATGAAAAGACGAAAAGGAAATAGATAATTTCCTATTGTAATTTTTTTCGCTATTTTTCCTTAAAAACACATTTGGCTAATATCAAAGTACTGTTTTTGCTTAAGTTTTTTAAACATATGATTATTTGATAACTTTATTTCTGGTTGCATCATCTTACTCGGTTCTACATTAAAGAAATATATGAGTATATTTAAGATTTAACTTTTCTTGACTAAGAACTGTAATGTATAATTTAAATAAAGAAGGTTTCACACACAGCAAAATATCTTTTATGATAAATACTTTGCCCTGTACTTTTCTGTTCAATTTACGGAAATAAATCAGCAGAACCAGTTTCTATCAATAAAAATTTCCGTTCAAGCGTTAAATAAAAGGTATGATTAAGTAACGGGTTTTGTCTATTTCTGTCGAGAAGACTTATACGTGTGTATTTACAAGTATTAGCATTTCCAAAAATGCTGGGAATCGCCGGGTATTCTATATATACTTTTACGTGAAATAGACTCCTTCCTGAAAAAAAATACCGCCTCCGTGGTCGAGGGGTTAGAGTCGATGACTTCTAATACAGTTACCTTTCTGGCGTGGGTTCGATCCACGGGAGATGCTTTGGTAGTTTAGCACGAAGGAAGGTAGTCTAGTACTGGTGTAACTCTCCAGGAACGATGGTTAGGAAACTATCCGCCTATATGACTGAAATACTGCTGGGAAAAGGCGTAAAATGAAACAAACAAACAAATCCTGGAATAAAAGATTAAGGGAACTATTCCATATAAGGTTTATCCCGTAGGAGCCTACACGCTAGTTTCGCTTCGAACATGAAGACAGTATTCCAATTCTATACATAGGGAACCAGACAAAAACATGACGGAACAAACAAGACGTGCCCCGTATGCGTCCATTTTGAGCTCTTTTGTCCTTCATTTTGTCATCTTGTGATATTAAATTCTCCATTTCGATTGGCTAAGGACAGCCGCTATAGGGGTAGAAATTGTCAAATCTTGTTCACTGTATGTGTAACTAGCCCGCATAGCTCAATCGGTTAGAGAGCGAGACTTGTAAACTCGACATTGTGGGTTCGATTCCTGGGCTGGCCAACTAAAATTACTAATCAGTCTTTCTGATGAGACTTTAAATTGAGGTCCCGTGTATGGTGCTTAAACACTTTGCACGCTAAAAAACCAGGAGAAGCTTCTGGAATTGGGGCCTCTTTCTGCACTATCCTCCAAAATATAAAATGACTAATACTCTTCTGGAGGACTCGCCGGGAGCGAGTATAAATAAACCCATTTACACACACAAATTGTATGTGTCGGCGTCCAGGAAGGGCGTCAGCAATATCAAAATGAACAACAATCTACAATATCAAGCATGCCACCGCTAATATTACAAAATGAATTTCTCCAAAAAAATGCAGGTATATGCGACCGTTTTTAGTGTAGGTGTGGGCGACAGTATAATTATAGTGTAAGTAAATCATAAAGTATTTAGTATAAATGAATTCGACTGTTTATAGTATTCGACAGTAAATAGAGAACGTGTATCCGACAGTATATACATGTGGTGTACGTGTATCCGACAGTACGTGTATCCGACAGTACGTGTATCCGACAGTACGTGTATCCGACAGTACGTGTATCCGACAGTATATAGAGTACATGTCTCCGACAGTACGTGTATCCGACAGTATATAGAGTACATGTATCCGACAGTACGTGTATCCGACAGTATATAGAGTACATGTCTCCGACAGTACGTGTATCCGACATTATATAGAGTACATGTCTCCGACAGTATATAGAGTACATGTATCCGACATTATATAGAGTACATGTCTCCGACAGTACGTGTATCCGACAGTATATAGAGTACATGTATCCGACAGTACGTGTATCCGACAGTATATAGAGTACATGTGTCCGACAGTACGTGTATCCGACAGTATATAGAGTACATGTGTCCGACAGTACGTGTATCCGACATTATATAGAGTACATGTCTCCGACAGTACGTGTATCCGACAGTATATAGAGTACATGTGTCCGACAGTATATAGAGTACATGTGTCCGACAGTATATAGAGTACATGTGTCCGACAGTACGTGTATCCGACAGTATATAGAGTACATGTGTCCGACAGTACGTGCATCCGACAGTATATAGAGTACATGTGTCCGACAGTACGTGTATCCGACAGTATATAGAGTACATGTGTCCGACAGTACGTTTATCCGACAGTATATAGAGTACATGTATCCGACAGTACGTGTATCCGACAGTATATAGAGTACATGTGTCCGACAGTATATAGAGTACATGTGTCCGACAGTATATAGAGTACATGTATTTATCTAACAGTTCAAAGTGTACATGTATTCGAATGTGTCTTCGACAGTTTATAATGTACTTGTATCTTACAGTATAATATAGTGTAGAAATATCCGACAGGATACAAGAAAAGTGAAATGAAGGTATTGTACACTACATTGGCTGCCTAATTTGTCCTTTTCCGACGTCGCTCCACGAGTTAATAATTTAAATTATAAAAAAAAAACAATGAGGAAGAAGGAGTGAACAAAAATGAATTTAAAAAATTACTTGTTTCATTTTAAACCATACATTGTTTTCTCCAGACGACAAGTCACGTGACGTCAGACGACAAAATGCAACTGACAAAATTTCAATGATTAAACAATAAGTTTTAAAATTATGATTTACTGATATAAGATGCAAATGTTATATTTGGTTAAATGAATTTCCACATTAAAACTGTTCTTTTATATTCATGTTGAAATTATAGTAAATCGGTTGATTATTTATACCTATAATTCTGAACATGAATTATTTGCGCGGGAAAATGATCACATATGATCTTTTTATCTTAATCAAAGAATCTTAATATTTTACTTGTTCATGTGTTTCATTGCTGAAATTATAAGAACAATATTTCACATAAATAAAAAAAAACAATTACGGATAGACAGAGGGAGCATAGTGATCTTTTCTTTTGTTTGTTTGTTTGTTTGCGTGCTTGCTCACTCGCTTGTTCGTTTGGTTGGTTGGTTGGTCGGTCGGTCGGTTGGTTAGTCGGTCGGTCGGTCGGTCGGTCGGTTAAAAACCATGCCCCCGCAGTGCTCATAATAACCAAAACATTGCTTTATGTACATGTTTTTGTTAAAACTAATTACAATGAGTAAGTCTTTATAGAAAGATCTACTTTTATTTTCTGAAAATATTTTAAAAATAATATAAGTGTAACTTAAAATGTAAAACATGCAAATATTGTGAATCAGTCTAATGATATGTAATAATAACTTATGTAACGCTAAATATGATACCATATTAGAATAATGCATTATATAAAATATATTACACACAAAAAAT